AATATACTATTTTTCAACTTATTTATAATGTGTGCGCCTATTATCTAATATAAATAAATAATTTTTATACATAAATTTTTTTTCAATTTGACGTAAATTTTTTTTATAGCAAACCTCTTATGTGTAAAAATAATGATTATTATCTGACAAATAGAGTTATGTAAAGTAATATATATATATATATATATATATTATAGTTATATGAAAGTATTATTCTTATTATTTTTATTAATATTTTGGTTGAAATTCCTAACAAAAATTTCTGTTGTTGTTATTGTGTGTGTGTCGATACATATAATATAATATATTGATATAATTACTATATATATATATATATTTACGTACAAAAACTACAGTATATGTATAAAAACCAATTTTTCTAAGACTTAATATATTAATATAAGATTTTTTGTTTGGACAAAAAGGTTAATACATTATAGACATTATATATATATATATATATATATATAACTGGTTTAACATTCTAAGCCAATATTCTACAAAATCCTCTATTGTATTATGAAATGTGAATTGAATTTTTCTATTAGACATTAATAAATATTGTGTACTATATATATATGAAATACAGTATATTTACTGTATTATATTGTAGTATTTTTCTAGTAGTAAATTCAATTGAAAACGATATATAAAACTATATCAAATATCATACTAGATTTAATTTAATTAAATATTGCATAAATTTGTTAGAATGAGTAAATTTTTATATAAATAAATTTATAATTTTCAATGAATAATATTAGTTTTTATTGAATTTAAATAAATTACATTCAGTTTTATTAATAATTTTATAAATAAATAGTAATAATAAATAATAATTTTTAAGTATTACTATATTATTATCATAGTATTATTAGAATTATAATATACCGGTATATAAAGTCTGTGACAGAAGGGTGCGAACTGGTTTTTGCTTAATATCTCTATAACTAATTGAGCTAGATCAATAAAAATTTTATGAGAAACATGGAATCCTGGGACGTATTACTTAGTATATTTAGTTTTTATAGATTTAAGCTTATGTAGCTAAGCACCGGTAGGTGCCATATCTCTAAAACTATAATAAATATCTAAATTCTGATAATGTGAATTTAAACTAGGTGAAAATTCATTAGACACGTGTTTCAGTAATTTTTATAAAAATTAATAAATTTTAAACAAAAAGCAAAAAAATGTAAAATTTGTGATATTTTGATATTTTCTAGAAAAAAAGTGTCAAGGTTTTTTGTTATGAAATTAATCTATTATTATTTGTTATTTTATTAGGAATAATTATTCTATTTACAATTTTTAATTATCATGCTTAGTTTTTGAGATATTAAAGAAAAACATTTTTACCATTATATAATTTTTTCTTATAAAATTTTATTAATTATATTTATTACTAAATTTATATAATGGTAAAAAGGATTATCTTTAATATCTCAAAAACTAAGCATGATAATTAAAAATTGTAAATAGAATAATTATTCCTAATAAAATAACAAATAATAATAGATTAATTTCATAACAAAATACCTTGACACTTTTTTTCTAGAAAATATCAAAATATCACAAATTTTACATTTTTTTGCTTTTTGTTTAAAATTTATTAATTTTTATAAAAATTACTGAAACACGTGTCTAATGAATTTTCACCTAGTTTAAATTCACATTATCAGAATTTAGATATTTATTATAGTTTTAGAGATATGGCACCTACCGGTGCTTAGCTACATAAGCTTAAATCTATAAAAACTAAATATACTAAGTAATACGTCCCAGGATTCCATGTTTCTCATAAAATTTTTATTGATATAGCTCAATTAGTTATAGAGATATTAAGCAAAAACCAGTTCGCACCCTTCTGTCACAGACTTTATATAATTATTTAAATAATAAAACAATAAACTTGTTTTAAATGATAAAAAATTAACTTTATTTGATTTATTAGTATAAATACTGTTATATTAATGAAATAAAATTAGTTTGAATTTTAAATCAAATCAATTTATTTTCCCAAATAATACTGAATAACTATAATAATAGTGTATGAATATAATACAACTAATAAGTAATTAATGAAAACAATTTAAAACAAAAGTTTCTCCTAAATTATTAGCCAACACTAAAAAGTTTTCGTTGTTTTATTTATTATTTATGTTTCTTATTAGTCATCCTATTATCTCTCAGATGCCAATTACTATTTCTAATAAATTATTTATATGTTTTCAGTATATATATATATATATAGTATATAAATTTATATTTATATATATATTTATTAAATGCTGAATTTGATTATTACTATTATTAGACTATGTTTTTTATTGTTGTTAATACAGTATTTATTTTCCTATTTTACATAATCCATGTGATTATATTTACAAATCATTGTTTTTATATATAATATTTATTTATACAGTCTTATGTATTATTTTATAAATATTATTCATATGTTATTTAGTAATTTGAAATATTTTTTGATTAGTGAGTTAGACACACACACACACACACACACATATATATATATATATATATATATAGAGAGAGAGAGAGAGAGAGAGAGAGAGCTCATTAGCAAACTAAATATAAATAATACCCAGGGCTTTATGTTAGTTGCTTGTTATTTATTTTAATAGTATAGTAAATCTCTCAATTTTAATGCCTAATGCTTAAAATGCAATAAAACATTTTTAATCTTAAATTTGCCTATAAATGTGTAATACAGTGTACATTATTTACAGAATATATATATATATATATATTGCGCACCTTTATATTATGCTTAAATTACATAGTATGTAGAAATTACAATAACATAAAAATTAAATATTAAATGAAAATTAATGATATGCATAGTTAGATAGCATTTTATTTGGTAGTTTAAGTAATTTATTTCGTATTAAACGAAAACTTTTTTAAAAAAAGATTGATTTAATAGTTTAATAGACATAACTAATTAAAGACTGAATTTCAAATTAGTATCTTAAATGAAAAATACAAATGTTTTAGTTTTAAGACTATTTTATAAAAAAAGTAATAATAAAAATTAATAACTTTTTTGAAATTTAATATTCAAAACGAGACAATAGACTAAAAATGTGTTTTTATATTAATATTGGTTTCTATAGAAACTTTTGAGAAGTTATTATATAATTTTGTGTAAATATTGTATAATAATGTTATTGTTTGGAAAAATTAAATAACTAATATATATAAATATATGTATTTATTTATATAATTAGTTTGTTTATTATTTTTCTTGTTATATATTTCTAACAAATTGTCTAACTCTGTATAAAGCAATTTGAAAACCACTTTTGGGTTATTTGTTTATTGAAATAATTTAAAAATAAATCTATAATAGATATTAATGTTTAAATAAAAATTAATAATTATATTTATTAATTGATAATATATCATTTACCAAATAAGCATATCATAATGGATATAAATTGTTTAGCATATAATTAAATTTTATTAATATAAGTAATATTATTGTATTTTGTCATTTGGGAGCTTTAAATTAAAATTTATAAACAATTATAATTAATCAAAAAAATTGTTGTTACATATATTTAAATAATTACAAAATAGTTTACTTACTGTTTTCATTAATTAAATTTTGTTTTTAAATGATACCAATGATTATTATATTAGGTGAAAAAAAGTTGTTTAAAAAAAGTTATAATTTTGTTTACAATACATTTTGGTTATATAATGATTTCTTTTCTCTCGTAATCACATATTTTATACAATAGTTGCTAATTAATTGATAGACAGATCAATATACAAAACAACGACAAATATAAAAATAATATAAAATAAAAAGTTTAATAATACTAACAATATATTATAAAATAGGTATATCTAGACAATAGACTGTAGAAGTAATATTAATGTAATAAATTTATTGACTTAAACAACAACAAAAAAAACAAGAGTTGTTTGATACACTAGTAGACGATATGTATTAAAAGCATAGGATATGTTGTGTATGTGTGCTGTTATGTGTTTGAAACGTTAACTTATAGTGTATTGAATTCACTGTTTACACACCATATACTGTAAACCAAATTCATAGTAATATACAGAATATTCTGTAATAATACTAATACTAATAATAATAATAATAATCTTTAAACCCTAATGTTTTTTTTGTTATACTAACAACATCTGTGGGCAGAGAAACAAATTACAGTAATGATTGTCATATAGTGACTGATATTTTATTATAATGTATGAAATTATTTATATATATGTTTAATGATGTTAATAGAAAATTTTCAAAAAATTTAACTTTAGCTTAGATTTTAAAATTTAAGTTTGTTTTCAACTTTTAGTTTTGAAAAAATAAATGTTTTTGATATCTTTTAATTAATTATATAAAAATATGTTTACAAATTGGTAATAAAATTTTTGCTCTAAATTTTTCCATATATTTTTTAAGTTTAATACTTAAGTTCAGAAATTAATAAAAAAAATATAATTAGAAGAATCATTTTCAATAATTTCAATAAACATAAATTTCAATTACTATTTTGTTATTTATACCATTTGTTAGTATTGCTTGTTTTAAATCTAAAAGTTAAATTAGTGTAACAAATATTTCAAATTTAATAATTTTGTTTTATAAATAAATTTATATATTATAGTTTTCACAATTTTACAGACATTTAGTCTAAAGTTTTGAAATTTTATCCCATAATAAACTCTCAATTCAAAATTTCAATAAAATCTTCGATCAGTAATTGAATAGAAATTATTTTTAAAAAAACTTTTATTCACTATTAAAAACTTATGAGTCAAAAACATTTAAGTAAACATATTATAATTTTAATTAATCGAAAAATTAAGTTTTTATATTTGATTAGTTGATAATTAAATCTATTAAAAATTTAGCCTTGAAGTTTTCTTTCTAATTTTGATGATATATATTTGTGTGACAAACATATTAATCAATTTAATATTTAGTATAACTAGTTAGCACACACACACATACATACACACAAATACAGATACTCTCTAATGATAATATAAAAATTAAACATTAGTTAAAACTCATTTTAAACAGACATACATATGATGTTTTAGATAAATCACATTTTCGTGGTGTTTAATAATTTAATAAAAAAAAATTGTAATTTTTTGGTGTAATTTTTCACACAATTAAAATCTAGAAAACAATAGCTATGAATTCAACTATTAAATTAAAGCCATTTGTAAATTGTTTTAAATTAAACAATAATAATATTATTAATAATAATAAAACTAAACAATTATTAAGTTTACAATCAATACGTTATTTGAGTGGATCATCACCGAAAAAGACTTGTCTCTATGATTTTCATGTTGAAAACGGTGGCAAAATAGTCAACTTTGCTGGCTTTCAGATGCCTGTCCTCTACAATAACCTATCAATCAATGATTCCCATTTACATACACGACAGTCCTCAAGTTTGTTTGATGTCTCACATATGTTACAAATGCAGTTCACAGGTAAAGATTGTATTGATTTTATGGAAAGACTAACAGTGGCCGACATCGATGGCCTACAAGTGAATACAGGGACTCTTACATTGTATACCAACGACAAGGGAGGCATTAATGACGATCTGATTGTGTCGAAGACGGCAAACGATTCCCTATATATTGTGTCAAACGCCGGTCGTATTGAACAAGACTTGAAGCATGTGATGGAAAATTGTCAATTGTATAAATCAAACAACAAGGATGTCGACGTACAGGTGCTCAATAGGGCACTGTTGGCCTTACAGGGACCCCAGTCGGCTACATGTCTGCAGCCATTGGTTGGCGACTATGATTTGGCAAAATTGAATTTTATGACATCCGTGGTGACCAGTGTTTGCGGTATAGAGGACTGTCGTATTACGCGATGTGGATATACCGGTGAGGATGGTTTTGAAATATCGGTGCCCACAGAAAAAGCCGTTTATGTATGCAAAACATTATTAAGCGCATCGAAAGGTGCGATCAAATTGGCCGGTTTGGGCGCCAGAGATACACTGAGACTTGAAGCCGGTCTATGTCTTTATGGTAATGACATCAATGAGACTACCGGTCCGGTGGAGGGATCGTTGACGTGGACTATAGCCAAAAGGCGAAGAAATGACGCGAATTTTATTGGCGCCGATATTATATTAAAACAATTGAAAGTAAAACCTAAATCCCGAAGAGTAGGCTTAATGGGTCTGACATCGGGTCCACCCGCACGATCTCATGTTCAGGTGCTTGACGTCACCTCCAAACAGCCGATCGGTGAAGTGACCAGTGGTTGTCCATCGCCGTCGCTGAAGAAAAACATAGCGATGGCATATCTGCCGTTCAGTCATAAGTTGGGTACAAATGTCTTGTGCGATATCCGTGGCAAACAGTTTGAGTACGAGATCGTGAAAATGCCGTTTGTGGCCACAAAATATTACTTCATTAAATAAAAATAAAAAATTTTAAAAAGTCAACTGTGCCATCAATTAATTGGGTGTATTATCAACTTTCATATATTTAATTGCTTTTATTATTAATATCTAAATAGTAATCATAGTGTTTAGCAAATTTATATTAATAATAATAAGTACCAGTAATTACTTAAATGAATAGCCAAATTATTATATATATATATATATATAAAAATAATTAATGATTTTTTTTTTTGGTTACTGCTATACACTATATGAATAATAATTGATTTTATAAAATAAAATACATTAATTTTATTGTCATTTTTATTATTATTATTATGTTTCATAAAAATTAATGAAATTGTAATTATAAATTCATTTGATTACATGATTACATTTTAAATTCATTCTATAATTATATGATAGTTTAAATTTATTATAAATGTATGCACTATTAATTGATATGTATACATTTTTTTTAGAAAATAAAAAAATTATACAATTATATAAATTTCATGGTTATTAATAGAGTTATTTTAAAAAAGTTATTATTTCATAAAATACAAAAAAAAAACAATTTAACAAAAACATAAAATTCATTGTATAAATAATGATTTATAATAATAAATATATATATATATATAATAATAATATATTGATTCCCTATTTCATTATATAATAAATTTAATTTTTATATAATGAATAATTCATAATACAATCATTTTTTAGTTTTCATTCATTTATTTATTTGTATATAACATAACCGTAATATTGAGTCCTATCATCAGGTAATGACAACTCCCTTATGAACACAGGAACAGTTAGGCGCTTCCTCGAGTAGGGCCGGCCATAGATAGGTCTATATATATAAAAAAAATTTAAAAAGTAATTATTAATAATAGTAATAATAAATAATAATAACAGTAATTTAGTGCAGTTAATAAATTATAAATATGTATACAAAAAAATATATGAAAAAAATCAAAATTTATTGATAGTTAATAAATTTTTAAAAACATTTAGTTTTTTTTATAATACCTTAATTACATCGGACTCCTGATTGGATGCGTGAAACTTGATGTGCATATCCTTGCGGAAGCTTCGGGTCTCGTACTCAATCACATAGGATGGGGTCTGTATGGACAGCGCCCACGCAAGTCGGACACAGTCCCGTACGTATGTTACCAATAGATCGCATGCTTTCAAACACGGATAGTCGTAAAGTGTGGCCCATATCTGTGTGCAAACCTCCTACGAAACAAACAAATCAAACAAAAATTATTAACAAAATTTTTTTGTCAGCATTTTTCAAGTGAACCGTAAAAATATATCACTCATAAAATTGAGCTAATTTTATGGTGTATATGTGTGTGTCTTGTGTAACAAATAAATAGCAAATAATACTAATAAGTCGTAAACTATTAAATACCTCAACATTTTTGTTAACATCAAATCGATCGGTGTTTGACCTCAAATAGTGGTTAACGCTTGAATGCAACTCTTTAACCGACGGATCGATATTATGGACGCCTAATGAGTCCGGAATCTGAAGTAATTGATTCAATCGACGCCTTATGTCGACCAATAAGTGATGCACTGAACGGAACGCCAGCTATTAAATGGTGACAACAAATATATATATATATATTGATATATTAATCAATTAATGGTATTTTATTTCTTAGTAATGGCTAAAATAAATAAATAAATAAAACAACAACAAAAAAATCAATTGAAAAATGCCTTCACTTACGACAACTACAGAGAAAAGGAGTTTTGATTTGAGTTCATCCGCATCTTTCAGTGCTTGCAAACTGTCCAATGCGTCCAATGTGTCGACGCGGGCTATAATCATAAAGTCAAACAGCGGGAGGGGACAGACAGACACATATAGAGAGAGAGTTTAGAAACAGTTAATCAAAAGTGTTTTGTCTATTAAGTTATAATTAATACTAAATATAAGTGTCTCTGAAAATGTGTCAAACCCTGTGCGTAAAGATTGCCGTATTTTCTGATAAGAGCTGTCGGTCTCCGATCTCCGAGACAGACATTCTCAAAGCGAACACCCCTTTCCAGCATTCGCTGTGTTTGTTCAGCCAATCGGTCCTTCATTTTGCGCTCCTTGTCCTGTAACTCAAAAATAGTTTGCTTGGCTTTGACCAGTTCACGGCGCAGTACATCCACTTCAGTCGTATCGTTCACCACATGCTGTGTCCAAATGTTGCCCTTCACTGTCACAGCACCACTGCCGCCACCGCCGACGCCACCCGATGAGTCTCGTCGAGAGCCTAATTAATTAATTTCGTTAAACAGATTCATCAAATTAAGTGCTACTAAATAATTATTTTTGTTTTGTTTGTGTGTATGGTTTGACAAACCAGAAGAGATTGAATCCGATGTAAACTTGACATCAGCTGATCCATTGTTGCCACCGTTGTTGCTGTTGTCCGACTTTCCGCTGTCGGAAAAAGATTGTGTGTCACTGCCGGCTGACGACGATTCGCCGACATTACCCAATCGTCTAGCACTCGGCCTATTGTTTTTGACACGTACTGTAACAACAAATTTGAAAAGATTTTAATTTAATAAAAAAAAAATCAAATAAAATAACCAATTAATTAATTTTACTGTCAGTCAATGTATTTTTAAAAGAAAAATTAAACCATAATTTTTTTCATATAATAAGATTATGTTATTAAAGTATTATTATTATTATTAAACAGTTAATGATTGAAGTTTTATTTTTTTGTGTGTCTTTATTTGTATAGTTAATGTCAAAATTAGCTTAACTAATCTAATCAAAAACATTAGTAATATTAATAATATTTATTATAAAAAAATACTAATAATATTTTTATAATCGAAAAACATTAATATAATAATATTTTATAGTAACAAAACTATATATGTATAAAATAAGTATGCATTTAAATGTCTATGTGTTTTACATAATTTCAATTTGTATAAAAAAATTAATGCGATTAATTTATAAAAAAAATTTCACATTTATATTGTAAATGTACTGTATATTACTGTAATGTATAGTTTTTTTGTATATTATAATTTAAAATAAAATAACACAAAAATAATTAATTAATACTAAAATATTAAAATACAAGTATATTAAATATTTATAGAGAATAGAGTATAGTTTAATTTAAGCTAAAAATACTATACATTACTGTTTTATATTGTTTTTAATGCCTTTTTTTACTAATTATTACTAAGCTTGCAAAATCACAAATTATATATATATATAAATAATTGCTATTTTGTTTCTAAATAACTATTCTGTATAAAATTTGAATTATTTTGTATTAATTATATTGTTGTTTTTTCATACAAATTTATAATTTTTCATAAAAATAAACTTATTTGATAAACAAAAGATACATATATAATGGCTTAGTATTTAATAAAATTGCTTATTTCTAATAAATTAGCAATTTTTTAATGCTATTAAATCCTATCATAAATATTGCTTATCACATGAAATAATGGTATTGTCAGACAATCTGATAAATTAGATAACAATGTGTAGGACATAGTATATACAGTAATAAATATAATTGTATTCCCTATTATACCGGTCCTTATAAACAGTATATATATATATATATTAATATAATGATAATGTTTATGAAAATCCTTTTATAATGATATTTCCTAAATATTCAGAGATTATTGAGTAATTTTTATTAAATTAATTTTCAAAATATAAAAATATATGCTAAAAATAGCTTAAATATTGTTAAAAACAAGTGTCATAAATATATATTAAAAATTATATGATATCCATAAAAAATACTAATCAATAAATAAATCTTTTTGAGATCTTAAACATATTATAATAAAATTTTCAACATTACATTTATTACAAATTAATTTTTTAGCACTTTTAAGATTTTATTGAAATTTTGTAATAATTTAAAATGTAACTATTTTAAATTATAAATTCTATTGAATATATTTATATAACTGAAAAATAAGTTTAATTAAACGGAAATAATTTTCAAAAAAATTAATATAATTTTTCTAAAAATGTATGTTTCACTCTAAAAATAAAAATATATCTCGCGTTTCAATTGATTGTGTAATTTAATCTAAAAATATGAGAAATATTTTTTTTTGTTGAAAATATAAATCAACTTTTATTATAAGGCATCCAAATAATTGAGTGATGATTTCAAATTATTGCCATTTATATATTAGTAATGTAGTATATACTGTATAATACTGTATGTAATTTTAAAATAATATAATAATATCAATAACAATTTCTATATAAAAATTGTAAACTACTATAAATATATTATTTCGTGTATATTAATATAGTAATAATGTTTTATAATTATAAAATTACATATGTTTTCTCGATATAATAGTTATTGTATACATATAATAGGTATTATATATATAATTTATATATATACAGTACAGTAATATACTGTACATAACATAATAAAACATCGATTTTATGTGAATTTTATCTAAATTTCATGTGAATCGCTATAAATGCAAACATAGTTTTGTTGTAAAAATAATGATAATTTTCTATTTACCTATTATTTACATTATTATTACTACTATTATTATATACTGGTATTAAATTTATAATATATTTCATGTTTATTTATTAGTTATTTGTTCATAAATTCAACGTATAATTTTTAAAATAAGCATTTATTAAAAGATGAATTTTTCTATTTTTAATTTAATTTTTCAATTAATTTTTTTGAAAATAAAAAAATATTAAATATTTGTTTAGTTTGATAATTTGATGATAGAATAGATATATTTTTAGACATTTTTTTCAAAAAAATAAATAAAATATATAAAAGAAATTCAACTATGAAAAAATTATGTAAATTATCTATATTTAATAAATATATATATATATATATATATATATATATAATAATTATTATATATTGTAATAACAATAATAATAATAAGCAACTTTGTTTTGATCTATACTTTTTGTTTATTAGTTTTAATGATTGATTCAAAAGCAAAGTTTGATGAAAACTCACAATCGTGTTGTTGTTGTGCATCAATATAATTGATTAGTGTATCACATAATTGTTGTTTATTACTATTTATACTACTATTTATATTTGTATTACTAGACATTGAATTGATTAGGCATAATATAAACAATAAAATAAAATCAATACTATTGAATAATATAGTTGAAAATATATATATATATTAGAAAAATTACTAAATAATTTACTTATGAATAATAATAATAATAACACTACAAAACTTTCACGACATATTCACACTAATAATAATATATTTCACTGTTGTTAGTGTTAATAGTTTTGCTTATAAAATGTTAAATATTTTTATTGAAACGCCTGTCAAACACATGTTGAATATTCTATACGCTGTACTATACCATAGAAACTAATTTTGTAGATCAAACACAACACTCTCCTCACCAAAAAAAAAACTGCTATATGTTTTCAACGCTATTATAATTGCATTCATTGCCTATTATATTATATATTGGTATTTGAAATTTGATATAAAAATTTGTTAGACCTTTGAATTACTAGTAAAGTATTTGCCTGTATTTTCTTTGCCCAGAAAAAAATAATAATAAAAACTATTAGTTTATTACTGTAAGTGCCATTCAATACTTTGATTGAAGGCTTACACTACCAAACACACAGCACATACCAAACCCAATAACATACAGTACATGTCCTAATGTATTGCTCTTAACTTTATTAACAGTGTTTTTGGTTGTTTGTGTGACTCTTTTTACTGCAGTATTTTGAAAGCTGTGATACATTACATTACATTTCGAGGATTTTTCCGTCTATTTGTTTGTTTAGTTTCATTAAAATGCTTTGTTCTTTCAGATATATATACAATATATTAACATTTTTGTGTTGTATTTGTTTGGTTGCATAACTAATATACCGGTACTACAGTATATATATATACTATACACTATATATAAGCCATCAATACTGAGTTTACTGACAATCAATCCATTCACAATTGAGTCCCAAAATATAGTGTATAATATATATATTAAAGATATGTTATATTATATTAAATTATATATATATTGAAGAAAAACGCGTGACATAAGGTATTGCCGCACTTGTAATGTGAGCTCAATATTATATGCACTCAACAACACATCTATTATTATATTAATACATTATATTATGTGTATAATACAAATAGTTTTTTTTGACTATAGTATTAATATACAAGTTGTCCAGCACCGTTAGGTCCGGTTTGACAGGTTCTCCCTCTATCCCCAGTTATGTATAACGGGCACCGATAGCCCTTATGTGCCAATAAATAATTGTTGGTAGTAGTAGTACTACTGCTAAAACAACACCAGTCTATAAATTTTATTTTTTATATATTAACCTTTAGGTGCACTTTTATAACTTACAATATTTAATGTAAGTTAAGTGCAATTTTTTTCTGGAAAACTTTGTTTTTCCAAGAGAGAGAGAGAGAGAGAGAGAGAGAGAGAGAGAGAGAGAAGTCAAACAACACATTATTTGAATGAATTGAAAAAAGTTTTTTTTTTATTTTAAACGATCGCTTAAAGGCATTTGAAGTCATCGTACGTTTAAATGAAATTAATTATGCGTTTTGTTTGCCAGTGAATGAATGCTCAATCTATATCTCTTATCCATATCAGATGGTGACTACCATTCCCCCCATCTCTCCTACCTTTCCTTATTAAATCCCATACAAACAGTAATATGATGTGAATGCCATTCAACTTGACCCACAAATTATACCGCAAACAAAGCGCCCATCTATTAAACAAACCCTATATGTATTAAATATAAATATATATATTTAATATATAATTCATGTCTTATGTAATTACGATAAATATATATATATATATATATATATATTAAATATGATATTATTATATTATACAATATAAACAATTTTCAAATTAAAACATGTGCTTCTGATAGACAGCCCTATCATTTACTATAAAATAAATTATTATATAATTTAGCCCATTGTTTGCCGTACAAAACTTTTATATTTATATACAAAATTTATATACACCAGAAAAAAAACTTTTTTAAACAAAATTATGTTTTAATCAAACATTTAAATCTCATTAGATTCTCTATAATGGCAACAATTATTATGTATTTTAGTATTTTTTATATTATTTTGTTGACAACACACACAAACAAATACAACAAAATCTAAAATTAAATATAGAATGTAAATAATAATGTTATAATAATAATAAAAAGTAATAATAATAATAATAATAATAATGTTAATATTAATGTTAACGTTCATAATAATAATAATAATAATAATAATAAAATTTCGTGTTAATATTAAGAAAAATACAGGTTAATTTATAAAATATACATCACATAAAAGATAACAAATTACTAAATAATTGTACACCAAATTCAAGGAGTAATTTGTAATTATCTGCTAACTTTATATAATTTAGATAAGTATTAAATTTTTTATTTTATAAAACATTTTTATAAAAAACATTTTATGTGCAATTGAACAACAATAAAATTACTTGAAAAAATATTTTTATATTAATATATATGTACAGGTATGAATGTAAAAGCCTTTTTGAACAACAAATGGATTTATAAATAAAAATTATAAACTATATATATATATATATAAGATTTGCATTTTTTTGTGCAATTATTATTTTATTTTTTTTTGTTTATAATTTTTTATATTAATGATTTGGAAAAAAATTTCTATTATATATTTTTTTAGATAACTATTATAAACAATAATTGTGATAATAGTTATTAGCGCAACTATTATTTTCTCAAATGAACTTTTTATTTTTTTTAAAGTAAGATACATGTATTATTATATGATAAATAATAAATAATAAAAAAATATAAGATAAATTCCTAAACATAAGAGACACACATTTATTATTATTATTTTATTATTATTATGAGAAAATTAAAGTCAAGTGCATTAGGTAAACAATTTTAACATATATAATAAGTGAATGACATAATTATGTGATGGTGTGTCTGTGTGTGAGTTCTACTATTACATAATATACAGTATATTTATATAAGACATCGGATGATTAGTGTCAAACAAAATAAAAAATTTTAAATTAATAAATACTTATTAATTACATTCAATTTTTTTTGGTTTTTTTGATAAACAAAAATTATATTTGTCTAATAATATGATGTAAATTAAGCAACAAAAAATATTAACTGATAAATTGTTAACTTGTTTACTGTTTAGTTTACAATATTGTTTGCTATGCATTGCATTTTTTTGGGTGAGGAAGGGGACTGTTTGGTTAAGTTTTTGACATCTATCATCAAATGTGTATGTGATGGCACATCCATACAACATCCTAGTGCTCATGGAGTTATCTCATGAAAACAGATTTTCTCCATTGAAGAAGAAAAAATATATACAGTATATACACAACAAAAAATACATAACACAATAAATAACATTAGCACAACATTACCATAAGCTTTAATATTTGTTGTTTATTTATTATTATTAGCTAAACTAAATAAATCTAATGTGCAAAAAACTATATGAATATAAAAATTTCTCTTATGATACCTTCTATGCATAAGCACTTGTAGTTTATATGTTAACGCATACACACACAGGAGTTCCTTCAATAGGTTGGCTCTTATTTTAAGTTATATAACAAAAAACCGGAAAGATTTAACGTGTAAAGTGTGCCCTAAAGTCATGTTATATTATTTAATATCATATACAGTATATATAATATATATTTAATATATCTAATGGCAGTCCTATCGACACACCGATGCTTTCAATTCACGTATGGCTTAACCATTATGTGAAGCACTCGACCGAATGCCTAACATTAGTCTGACATTAGACACGAAGATATTGAATGAAAAAAAATAATAATAGTTTTATTATTCTCATTAAAAATAAGATGAACTATGCATTATATGTGGGCACCGATAGTATAGTATACTACAGTACAGTAAATTCATATCATACGGTTACTAACTATTGATAAATAGTTAATTGCATTTGTAATTTTTTTTTGTAATCTACACTCTTATACAGTATAACATAGCATCTATCACACACACAAAAAACAAAACAAAAAAATATTTTCAGCTAACTTTCCATAAAATTTTTGTATTAATATATTTCAAGTGGTTTTTTATTATTCGTTCACTGCACTCATTAAATGTGAAGTTCATTAACTATGCTTTCCCCATACATACACACAGTTTGTTATATAATAGCTATAATATTTATAATATACTGTATATATACTGGTAATACTATTGAATAATATACCGTTACACTTATACAGAAATACATCTCATATAATAATAATAATCATTTAGACCATAGTTTTTTTTGTTGGTATGATTGTCCCTAACATTACTGTACATACAGTATATGTAACCAAATCAACATTACAAAAAAATATTATTATTATTATTATTATTATTATATCATATGATAGTATTTTTGTGTGCTCTTATGAATTATCATTTCATACTTATGTTTTTTATGATTCATAAATTTGGTTAGGAATATACAATTATTATTATTATATTATATTATACAAGGAGATAGTACCGGTATGTAAAATGTGTTTTTTATTGTCAAAAAATGGAAAAAAGACTATCAAAAATAATATGGATATCATTAATAATATTGTGTGTAAATAGTGTGGTCACTCACCCGATCGATAGAGTACTGTATTATATTTTTTGGTCGCCTTATAGTTTGGTATATTGAGTGGTGAGTTCATAATGAGAGCCGAATCCGAGTCGCTATGATATCCCGATATATCGCTGCTGTCATCGTTGTTGTCCATGGGATCCGACCCATGAACCTCTTTGATGAGATTCAGGACCTAATTATTTGTTGTTCAGTCAGTCAATGAGTCAATTAATTTTTTTTCGCAAAAGAGATGAGAGAAAGAAAGAGAAAGAATTTTTTTTATAAAAAGATTTGAGATCCAGTTGTGATAAAAAAAAAGTTTTTTTAAAGTGACATAAATTTAGGTTAAATTATAAACTTTTTTTTTATATATATATAAAACAGATTGTAAACGATAGTGAATAGTTAGTATACTTCAAGTATTGAATATAAATATACTTTAGGCTATCACTTACACACACACGCACACACACACACATACACACATACACTCAAACACGCACAAGATTAACGGTTACATACCTGTCCACATCCATGTGAGAATCGCATCAGAACTGGAGCAACGATGGCTTCTTTATCAATGGGATTCTGGGCCGTCGAGTTAGGACTGAGCGCTGAATACTCTTTTCTCAGTTGTGTGAACTGGAAAAGTACTTCTTTATCATAATCGATGCGCTTCTGGAGTATGGCCAGCAGTATCTGCAGCGAGTGATTAGTAAATGAGCATGGTTCAATAGCATTCAATAGGGTCTTATTCTTGATCAGCCGCTCCTGTATCTCGTCCTGACGTAGACTCAACAGTCGTTGATGGGAACTGTTGGTCGGTGCCGGTCCCTGCGATAGGGAACGGGTAGTCGGTTCCTTATTTTTGGCTAATGCCAACTCCTCTAACTTTTGGACAGCAGTCTTGTACTGTTGAATAACGCGTTCAAACTCAAGTTTCAGTGCTTCGTGTAGAACCATAAGCTTTTCATCGGAAGTACCGACCAGTCCGTGATGGCCCATACCTTCTATGGCCCGATCAAGTGATCGCTTTTTACAGTACACATGTTTGCGTAACCCGGGCTCAGATAGTATTATAACCTATAGTTTGACCACAACAACAATAACAATAATAAAAATATTTACATCAAAAAATAAATATTAATATTGAAGGAAAAACTAAACATAAGAATGCTATTCCACACCTTTGTGTTATAAATTATTTTTTTTGTGTACTATACTGTATAATCAATTCAAATAATTTATAGTATTTGTATTTTTTCACATATATATAAATATTTATATTAATAGTTAAATCATAACAATTGCAAACAAATATATATCATATTTACTATACCTTTAATAGCTTTTTACACGACACGACTGCCGGATGGTTGGCATCAAACCGTTCTTGAATGCACTGCAACAGACAGTTGGCACTGTTGTCGGGTATACTGGGGTTTTGAAGGGCAAAGAGGCGAACCATTTGCATGATTACGTGATGCGGATGAAGAAAGTTAAAGGAAACGGTAAGTCCATCGCCGCAACTAAGAAACACTTTTGCGTATAAGGCCTCCAAAATTGGCAACGAATTAGGTATTGATTCGACAAATACATCGATTGGTAGATCAGTTAGGATTGACCTAAATGTGCCGTAATTAAGCCGATTGATAAAATTGGCCGCCTCGCGGAACTGTAGATTTTCGTATAGCAATAGTATTCGTCTGATGGCAACAGTAGTCGACACATCACTGATAGTCATACTGTTATCCATGTGCTGCTGTTGTTGTTGTTGACTACTCTCATAGTCTTCATCCCCGTCTTCCCCGTCAAATCCTTTTACCCATTGAGAGCTTCTCCACGTAAGCTTTTGTACGTTACGTCTATTAGATTTTTCAGGTCTGATCCGATTGACAACTGAGCTCAACTGTTGTGAATGATTTTGTTGATTATGTAGTAGTTGTTGTTGTTGTTGTTGAAGATGCTGTTGTTGTTGCATTGATTGCTGTTGTTGTTGAAGATGTAGGCTATGAGGTGGTGGATAACTTTGAAGTCGACTACTTTGTGTGCTGTGATTATTACTACTACTGCCAGTAGTTTGCAGATCACTGGCTTCTTCAGTGTTAAAATTTGAAATTACGTGCGAATAGTGAGCACCGTTAGTATTATTAGTGCCATAACGGGTATTACTCATCGACGCTGGATTTCCCCCGTGATATCTGGCGTTATATATATTGAGTTTGTGGTGATTCATGCCTTTCGATAGGTTCTCAATGGTAAGGGCCGAGGGATTATGAAACAGACTGACAGTTGTATTGGAAGTCATTGCGCTTATCGATCGGTCGGTGCTTTCCTTTCAAAACATTTATATATATATAAATATATTGATATACAGACACACTATATAAATGACTGTCAATTTAATTTCATATTTATATCCCTTATATATAACTATCCCTTATATATAACAACAACAAAAAAGTGGTGATAAATATCGGAACAAACAATGAAGAAAATTGCTGAACACAAGTGTTAGAAAAAATAAGATTTTTTTATAGTGTAATATGTTTTTTTCAATACAAACTTATTATCAACTTTTATCCAACTCTGCAGACTATTCTACTCTTCTCTCTCTTACTGTACTCTCTAAACTAGTGAACCGTTAGCTTAATATACCATTACATCGATGTGTATATGTGTTAGAAAGAGAGAGAGAGAGAGAGAGAGAGAGAGAGAGAGAGAGAGAGAGAGAGAGAGAGAGAGAGAGAGAGAGAGAGAGAGAGGAGAGACATATATAAAGTGATCCTCACGTGTGTGTAAAGTAGCGGCTGTTCAGCGCAAATGCCGACAACACAATACTGAGTCTCTCTCTCTCTCTCTCTCTCTCTCTCTCTCTCTCTCTCTCTCTCTCTCTCTCTCTCTCTCTCTCTCTCTCTCTCTAACTCACACACACATACGGAAACATCTAACTGAGCGCTCAATATATATAAACACTCTTAAGGTTAAGGTATAATATAATAAGGTATAATACGCCAGGTATATTGGAAACCAAACATATGAGAAAAACCTACAGTCATACAAATGCTTTTTTATTTATTTTTTTTTTAATTTAAAGTGTATGCCTGTCCACCAGTTACTGCAAACACATATAAATATATTAGTATAGAAAACTCTTAGCAACACAACAATCAGGTATTGATAAAAAAAAACTCCTACAGTTGTTTAAAATGTTGTAAATACATGAACCCTGTTTGTGTGTGTTGTTGTTAAAGTTGATTTACCAGTACTAATATAACATCTAATATATAAGACAAAACACAACACGAGAGAGAGAGAGAGAGAGAGAGAGAGAGAGAGAGAGAGAGAGAGAGAGAGAGAGAGAGAGATCAACATTTGTTAAGAAGATGTGTGGCTTTAGACGAGTTTTTTGGGGAAATGGTGTCAATCAGACAGTCAGTCAGTCAGTGACTAAACTGATGCTAAAAGCATTTTTGACTCATTTTTTAAAAGAAATTTATTTTGGATGTAAAATATGTTGTTTAACCGTAAGGCAAACACACAAATAAAAGAGATTTTTAATATTTTAATAGATAAAGATTGCTAACAAAACTCATCTTACATTAAATGACCTTAACTTTTATATATATACTCAATATTATACTGTTTTTAATATGATATTTGCAATAACTGTTTATTATAATATAAATTCACAGGACATGAATAAATATTAAAAATAATATTTAATAATATTGCTAATAAAATATTCATAAAATAAAAACTTAAATTCTTATTTTATTTAAATATATCTCTTTTATATGTATTTATATCGATATCTAAATGAGTAAAAATGTTGTGTGTGTTGTGTTAGTATTTTAAAGCTATTTTGTTCACAAAAAAATTAATTCATTATAAAAGTTTTTATTTATTGGTATCATAACTTTTTATTGACTCCAAATGTTTGTCCTTATTTTTAGGGCATCTCTCTCTCTCTCTCTCTCATCTCTCTCTCTCTCTCTCTCTCTCTCTCTCTCTCTCTTGAGATGTTAAGTCATTATTTAATTTTTTCTGATAAAACAAGAAAACCAATTTTATTTTGTTGTTAAATATCTTCATTGATTGTCATATATATATTTTTTTGATTAACTAGTTATTCAATTAATTAATTAACTAATTAATTAAATTAAATTTCTGATATTATTATATACAATATTTATCTTATATTTTAAAAAAATAAATGATAGAGAAAACTTATTTAGTTTCTTTTAGACACATTAAACTTTAATTTTTTTTTAATTTACAAAACAAGCAACTAATGTCAACATTTAACTTACAGCCAAATTACATAATATTATTTAATATAAATTATTGTTTGCTATAATTAATATTTATTGTCTACTTTTTAATTGGTATTAATTCAATTATTATTGCAGTTTAACGATAGAGAAGAAAGAAAAAAACTAGTCGTCGATTAAGTTAAATAAGAAATAAGACATTAATTTGTCTCTTAATGGCTCAATAGGCCTCTCAAAGTCATTCAACATTTATAACCAAATATTATTGTTGTCTTTCAAGTAAAAAAAACTATACTATTAAGTCTTCTTCAAAAAGTATAGTAATAAATAATATTAGTTTTTTTTTCAGTCAATAAAATCGATTATCAAAATATTTATATTATATAATGTTTCAACATTAGGTTTGTCAGAAATATTAATGATTTTTTATATATTATATAAAAAAAATATTTTTTTCTCATAAAGAAAAATATATATATAAACTTATTATTATATAACATATCACATCATATAATAATAATAATAATAAATATGTGAGACTTTGTGTGTATGGTATACTCAATTATGTGACACTGTTTTGTCATATATGTGCCAAAAATCTCACATATATCTCACAATAATCTCCGGTAAACAAATCCTTTTATATATATATAAATATATTATATTTTCTTAATTTTCAAATAAATTCTTGACATAACTTAGCGCTTCAAATGAGGTTTATTTTATATATATATATATATATATATATATATAAATTTTTATATATTTGTATTATATATATATTAGGAATTTAACGATTGCAGCACTTGATAATAGTACAGTACTTTATAAATAGTATTAAACATAACATTTGATTTTCATATTAATATTATATATATATATATATATATAGGTATATCTTAAGTTATGTATGAATTATTTATTATCAACTAGTGTCATCAACAATTTACTAATCTTTATATGTCAAATTAAATTTAATAAAATATAAGACAATACAATACTTATTATTGTTTAATAAAATAATAAATTTTCCCAAAAAAATACATCATTATAATAGACAAACTTATGTAATGTACAAACATCTAACTTATGGTATTATTTTATTTTTTTTAACAAAAAGTTTTATTTTCAAACAAAATTTCTCGATTTAATGTCAAACAAAATTTTTTGACTGCAATTAAAGTCCAATGTTTACACAACAACTACAACAAGAAAAAACTACACACAAAGCAAACAAACAAACAAAAAATATAGAGTAGTATTGAAGCAAATAAATGAAAATTATTTGTACTTAAATTTTTTACTTAAGTTTTTTTTAATACTATAGCATTAATTAGGCAAATGTGAGACACACTCATTAAAATGCTATATTTGCTTTAATTATACCAAAAAAATAAATAAAAAATACATTTGATCTCTCATTTTGATGAGAAAAAATAAATAAATATCTAAATCCAGTCAACAAAAACCAAATACACTTAAAGCACCCGTACTTTCTATCGACTCACACACACACACACACACACAACACAACAACTAATCGACTAAATTGCTTCACTTTATACCCAAATAATATACTGGTATTGTATTGTAGGAATTGAAGAGATGAGATGAAAAAGTAAATATAATTTATATATATTATTGATTGTTTAGATTATTTGTGGTGCAGAGGACTAACTTTCCTATTGCCTAAAAGCTTGCATATATATAATACAGTATAACCAACCTATTTATAGGAAATGCCTGTTTTGGGTAAACTTTTTTTCTCCCTATCTCTGTATCTATCTATCTATGTATACTAAAAATCAATTCAACGATTGTATTTAATTGCAATATAAAGCCTTTTTTTTAAAAAAAAAGTTACGGAAAAAATGCTGGCAATTGTATATCAATAAAAATAATGACAATATTAAGCCCTAAATTACATAAAACTCTCTCTTAAATCATTCATTCATTCATTGGATTCATTTCTCTTTATGAACCAAATTAGATAAATCGTACAATAATTTTAGTACATTTGCCATGAATTTAATTAATGATTAACTCTAAGCACTTATAGATTAGGGACACAACCGGAGAGAATATTACAGTTTATTATTATTATATATTAAGAGTCAAAACGTTAAGATGAGTTCACTCGATGTTTATTTATAGACTGCCTCCAAGTGCTTCACATTTATATATAAATTTATATATATATATAAATGGTTATATCTTTCATAGGTATCTTTCAAATAATATATTTATATATATTATATATAAATATCATATATATATACTGTATATGATAGATAAATATATAAACCATTCACTACTTATATGAGATAATCTCCATTAAATAGTGTGAGTATACATAATTTTATAGTGAAATTGACTTTTAGATAAACTTTTTTTTGTATATTTACTGTGTATATACTACTACTACTACTACTGTAGTACTTTATATCCATAGAAATCAAAATAAATTCAATTTTCATGAAATGCAATTTTATATATTATTATATAATGTATATATAGCTATATATATATATAGTAAATAATAAATATATTATCACAAAACGTTTTGTTTGGGGTATGAATGCCCAGTGATTCGTGATCTGCTTTGATAACCACTGCCACACACACTAAATGTTTGACCAAAAAAGAAAAATCTGACAAAATTTTTATTGTATTTTTCATTCATTCATATGATTGTATTGTAAAGTATTTTTTTCTCTTTTATAATATGATATTATATGAACTCGTGTTGTGTTCACGTATTTCAATTGGCTATTATATATATATAACCGAAACTAAAAACTATTTGATTTAATGCATAAAACACTCTACACACACACACACACACACAAACACACACACACACACACACACACACACACACACACACACATACATACATACATACATAGACACACAATCATCTTATTGCCGATAAAATAAATTTATATAATTTTTAATATTTTTTATTTATATACTAATATACAGTATATCCAACAAAAGTTTGTTGATTTGACGTATAAAATAAATAACATGTACAGTAAAGTATATATATATAAAAAAAACTTTATATACAATCAAACACACATATCATAAAGCATTAAATAACAAAAATATGATATTTCGTGATTCACTTTGCAAATGGGATAATATAATATTGGAAAAAATACTTAACATATTTTTTAATAAATTATTTTCTATATATACGTACATACATTATATGTGTAAAATGCATATCAAATAAATTATTTTTAGTTTTTTTATATTCATACGTTCATTCAATTTATTCATTTATTTGTTTGTCTATGTTTTTTGGTCTCATATATGATATAATAATCGATAAGAGCGTTGAACTTTCAAATGAGAGATTTAATATCATCGATAGGTTTATAAGCAAAAATGTTAGTCATAATAACTAATGTATTAGTTTAGACTAAAAAAATAAAATTATTTAAGCAATTTAATCATTGAATACGATTAGACATAACTTTTTTAAATTTATATAAAAATATCATTAAAAATTAAAACTATTGAACATCAATATTATGTATTTTATTGACAAATTTATCTTTTAAGCAAAACTTTTTTAACTGAAAAATAATAATAATAATAATTATTACCATTATTACTATTACTATAACATTTACTATTATTATTATTACTATTATATTATTACTATTATTATTGTTACTATTATTATTATTATTAGCACTTTGTTAAAAGTTATTATAGATTTTTGAATTTATGTATTTATTGTAATATTTTATTTTATAAGATTTATTTGTATATTATTTGAAAACAATAATAAAAATAATAAACCAATGTTAAAACAGTTTATATTTGTTTAAAAACAAAATATATATTTTATAAATCTATTTTTATAAATATATATATACTAATAGTTTTTATATTAAATATATCTCAAAACACATTTATAAATATATATACACACAACTCATGGCAAATTTTTTTTTTGAAAAAATGTATCATTAATTTCATTTCATTGTTTTATATTTGATAAGTCGGTATTTTTCTCATTGATTTATTTAAACATTTATCATATAAAAAATTTGTATGTATGTTAAAATATATAAAAAAATAAACTATTATTTTATTTTTTATTTATATAAATAAAAACATAATGCAATCTATTTTTGATTTTTTTCTCTATAAGAAAACACATTCAAGTGATGAATGATTATTAAATTTATTCAAAATTTACATTTAATGTTGTGATCACTGCCTATACAATAATATCTCTAACTAACTAAAACTAAACTAAACTTTCAAAATAAGCCACATTTTACAAGCAAATTCATGATAAACAATGAATATAAATAATTATAACAATTTGTTATGACTTTAATGGTCTGTAAAAAACATTATTAAATAAAATCTATTATATATTATTTTTATATATAGAAACTATAACCAAAGCTATACAATATTACATTAAAAATGTTTATTTTTATAGCCATTTAAAAGCATAATTAATCGCTTCTTTGTTTTATAAGCGAAAAACAGTATAAAAAATACACTATTATAATAATAACAACAATTTTTAATTTTATTATTATTATTATTATTCAAGGTATAATTTAATGTAGTCTAACATAAAATAGTAAAAATTTTTAATTTAATAATATTAAAGTTATTAGTATACTAAAGTTAATGATATTAAAATTATATATAAATATATTGTATAAAAGCCAATATATAAAAATTTATATTTATATAAATTAATATATATATATAGTATATACACTAGTATATAGTATATTATATAAAGTTAATAGGTTTTATTATTTGTCAGTTTATTTTTTAATGATGATAAGAATAAAATAATATTATAATATATAATAATAATATTATTATTATCATTATAAAAATATGGTACAAAACAAAATACACTTAAAACATTAACCCTTATATACTGCATAGATATGATATAATACAGTAATTTTGAATATATTATAATAAGTATTAATTTTTTGTCGTTTAATAACAGTTTACATTAATTTGTAATAATAATAATAATATTTTGTTAATTTCTCGTAAGAATTTAAGAATTTATTTTATATCCGAAATTAATTGTCTGTTATAAATACTATTTAAATGATATAATAAATTATAGTCTATTTTTTAAATATTATTATAAAATTTAATTTATTTTATAGATCTCGTAATATGACATAATAAATGAAATATATACTGTGTATACATATATCCTATATATTGAATATATATACTGTATATCCTGTACACGACTTAATTATATTAAACTATGAAGTGATTTAAATTAAATAAAATAAAAAGTTTTTTATTGACTTAGATTTTGATGGGAAAACAGTTGTCAATCACTTTACTAGTAATATAATGTCTGTCCGATAGACTATTTTTTGTTGTTGGTCTCTACTGACACAAATGGTGTACTAATGGTTATTCAGGAGATCGATAGGATTGACTAGACTTGTAGACTATTATGTAAATTGTTTTATCAAATATAATTTGTTTTTTTAATATTAAAAATAAAATGTAATTTCAAATAATTACATGTTTGCTAAACTAAAGATAAATTATATTTTATAATATAATTTTAAACACCAGACAATAAACTCATTAAATACATTACCAATGAATTAATAAATATAAAACAATTTGCATACTAAGTAAAAATAAAGGTGTTTTACCATTAAAATGTAAATCAAATTAGCAATAATACAGTATATAAATTTTATGGCATAAAAGTTTTAAGAACATAATTTGAATAAAATCTATATTAAACATATAATTTTTTTTAAATAATTACAAATATAAAATATATAATAATATTTATAATACTGTATAATAAATATTTACTTCTAGAATATAATGTTAAATTTATTTTATTGATTTTTATTATTGTCAAAAATGACATAAACTTTTTTTTTACATTAATAATAATATTTTCTTTTATAAACTTAATGACTTATAATACAGTATAAGCTTAAACTTATAATACTTATTATTATTATTTTTTATATATATTATTACAGATATTAGTTATTAAGTCTTTTTTCTAAGTATTTTCTTATGCAATCATCATATAATATCAAGCAATTACTCGATAGTCTCTACTATGATATACTATTATATAATATATACTATATTTAGAAATACTACTGTATAGTATATTTTTAGAAAACTAAAAATTTTTAATTTAATTTAAATATAAATAATATATATTTTTATTATAACTTTTTTTTGTAACTAAATATCATATTATTCAGAGTTGTCTTTTTATTATTATTATTATTACTGTAATATTAAATTAACAAAATTATTGATTGAATGTTGTATAAAAACAATGAGTAATAGAGTATATTTAAACATTATTATATAATAATTATAATTAACTATTCAGTAGACTTTTATTTTTATTATTATTTTTTTAATTAATTTTACAAATAATAATCAATAAATTAAGACATACTATTAGACTCCAGGTACAGGTAACTTACTTTATCACATTAAGTAGTAAAACAAATTGATGAATATTATACAGTAATACAGGTAAATATACAGTATATATATATTTATTTATTTATATAGACTTTAGTACTTATGTTTTACTGTCGGTTAATACTTTAAATAAAATCAAATACAGGTAATGTAATGTAATGCAAACAATTTCCAAATAAGTCAAGCACTTAAGCAAAATTTATTTAAATATTATTATTTTACAAAATATTATTTAAATATGTGTCAAAAACTCATAAATATATCTTTTTTTGCACACAAGTCGTTGGCTTTAGTATTATAATACAGACATAGACTGACAGAAACAACAAATTATTGATTAGACCAGTAATTATATAATTGGATTCAAAATATATGAACAATCGATATTTTACCATAAGTTCATTGCTTATTAATCGCGTATCAAATAAAAAACAATTACAGGTAAATATAGTAATAAAATAATTAATTTTTTAAAAAAAACTTAAAAATAATTTATTTTGATATGCATTTTTTTGTACACATCCCATTATATTATATAATAAATTATAAGCTTTAATAAATTCAAATTATCTTTTTTGTGTTTATAAATAATATTTATAAAAAAATCTGTTATTGTGTTTGTAATGTTTATGTTGTATTTGGTCAATAAAATTAATGTCGAGTTTTTTTGTGGATATTAACCATCACCTCATCAATGCTTTTTTGTAAACATATATTGCATTATCTCTATAATTTGCGACTAAGATTTTTTCAGATCAGATCATTCAGACTTAATTAATGTTATATTTGGAGATTGCTTTTTGTCGTCGTGAGAACCCGGACCATGAGAACCGGGACCATGAGATCCGGGACCATGAGATCCCGGACCATGCGAACCGGGACCGTGTGATGAATGACCATTGTTGATATTAGATAATGGAGGCCCGGAATTGGGATTCATTGGAGGTCCTTGTGGATGACCACCTGGCCAACCTGGTGGTGGTCCATTTCCTGGTGGCCCGCCATGTGGTCCACCCATTGGGCCAAAATCGTCACCATCTTCCAGGCCATTCGTTACATTAGCCACGTTGGGATCAAATTGGTGGTTCTCTGTTTGAATATTAGTTGCTAAATACCGTTTACAACACACACTTTAATTTAAAATAATTATTTCATAAAAAACATACCGAGTCTTGTAATAAGTCTTTCGTCTTCGTCGCCAAATTCTCCGCCCATAAGTGATGGCTCGCCGACAACCATAACGTCTTGCGATGCAAGAGTGAAATTAGGCGGACCCGGACTCATGTTTGCCGCGTTGTTGTTCTTTTTCTTTCCGGCCCCTCCTGTCGTTCCCGCGTTTGCCGACGATTTCCGCTTTCTTCGCTTACTCGGTGCGCGAGTTGTCTCCGGTGGCGCTACCATACGCTGCCATTTATGAAATAATACTGTTTTCAGACATTCTCTAGGATTCATTGAATAGGCTTTATGTCTGGCCATCAGTTCCTGCATCGGCTCCAATATAACGCATAGCTATTGTCATGGAATAGTAATTACCGGTATATAAATAAAAATCATATTTGGTATACATTTATAAAAAAAATATCAATCATTTTACTAACCCTTAAGTAGTTAAGTGTCGAATTGGTCAGTCCCTGTCGAGTAATATTTTTCGACAATGTTTCCAAAGATGTCGGATCCTGTTGGGCTTGCATTGCAAACAAACCGCGTGGTATTAATTCATGGTGATTACGAGTGGCAAAATGCCATGACTTGATTCGCATTAAATCGTCAAAAGTAAACTCCAATATTAGCCGACCCTCAGTACATACTATTACTGAATTTTCTTTAGCTAATTGATCCTTATTTGGATCATTGGGTGGCCCAGGAAAAGCATTCATTGGCTGTTTATATAAGTTTTAATTTATCATTATTAAATAACTACACTATCGGTAAAATTTAAAAAAGTATCGTACCTTAAATGGCTTTCCGTGTTGTGTAATCATAGAGCACTGGTCACAGTCTAACGTAATGGTCGTGTTATGAAACGACTCTTTTGTGTGTTTCATATTTATTGACAATTCTGTAACACCGCCTTCAAAGATACTGCGGAAGTATCGGGGAATCAATGTTCGACCGATCGCTAAACAGACAGACAGACAAACAAACAATAGATTAAACCAAACCGTTTGACATTTTCTTTAATGTCATTCATCGACACAATTATCACATACTATATCGTTTGGGTCCGTCTTCTAAACAAAACGTTAGCGTAAGTGTGGCGTCGTCTTCAAAAAATTCAGTGGAGAACGCATCCCACCAGAGATTATCATTTTCTTGATTTAAAAATAACTGATAACAAGAAAACAAAAACAATACCATTATTAACATCATATCACCAAACAATTTGCAACTTCATCGACAAAATACCTCTGCTCTCTGTTGGAATCGTTTATTCATTTCGTAGACCCGATAATCTGGTTGACCGAAGTATGGTGTATGGCGTCCATTGCTATACATCATCGGCGAAGTATAAATGCCATCCTGTGGCGGAGGAATGGATCCATGTGTCGGATGCGGATGCGATGGATGAGGCATATGTTGAGGTTGTTGAAGATATGGTGGTTGCGGCGGCTGCGGGGCGTGCGGTGACGGTATCGCTGGCGGAGGAATGGAACCGTGCGGTGGATGCGGGGAATTACCGCCGTATGAAGACATATTATTATTGGCAAACATTGGTCTCATTGTCACAAACAACACTTCATTCAATCAAATCAACACATCTGTAATCAACAATATCTTTAGGCTCTGTTTGACTGTCACTTCAAGTCTCGTACCAATAACTGGTCACTCAAAACAACTAATTAGCTAATTGTTATCGTGTCCGGCGGTTAACTACGGATGTGATATTACATGATGTAAGTGATGACAGTATGTATGTTGTGTTGTGTCAGATGATAATGAAGTGACAAAATCACAACTCAAATGATGTGATTGTGATTACAACTAATGATTCAAAATATAATACAAATGTCAGTAATGGCCGATCAATGTATAGCAGCTATTGTTGTGTTTATTATCTAATAGAGTATATCGATGGCGGCGACACCTGTGGTCACATATAGGTATGTAATGATATAAAGTACGACAACCAATATATTTGTGATCCCTATGTATGTGTTTGACTGTCTGTCTGATTGTCCCCCCATTGGACGTCATTGATATGTTGAGTCAATGGTTGATATTATTATTATTATTATTATTACTATTATTACAGTACTGTATAAACCATTGAAGTCATCGATTGATGTAATAATAAGTTAATGTATTTTTAGTGACAATTTTATTGGTAGACAAACCAAGTGATGGCCAGTATTGCAACAAATTAGTTGTAACAGTCAATTGGTCGGCCAATTGCACCGAATCTGTTTGACCGATAAGTTGTTGGTCACATTGACTGTCAATCATTGCGTGACTGAATCTCTCCGGCGCCGTCGGATAAGTATGCGACCAATGTTTACCAACAACACGATGCCTTCATACGGAGGCCATTCACCTCACGGACCGCCGCCGCCACCACCGCATCCGTCACACGGATCGCATGTATCCCACGTATCTCACGGACCTATGCCACCGACTGGCGGCCACTCACCTCACGCGCCTATGAATTCGTCGGACGGATTTGTCTACAACTCGCCGATGATGTATAATAATAGACGCCATACGCCATACTTTGGTCAACCAGACTATCGGGTCTACGAAATGAATAAACGATTGCAACAGAGATCAGAGGTATTGGTTGTTAAACTTTGATTTGATTGATGAATTGATTTGTGGTATATTTTTTGGTTATTATTTTTGTGATCAGATATTTGTCAACCAAGAAAGTGATAATCTCTGGTGGGATGCGTTCGCCACTGAGTTCTTTGAAGACGACGCCACACTTACGCTAACGTTTTGTTTAGAAGACGGACCCAAACGATATAGTATGTGATAATTGTGTCGATGAATGACATTAAAGAAAATGTCAAACGGTTTGGTTTAATCTATTGTTTGTCTGTCTGTCTGTTTAGCGATCGGTCGAACATTGATTCCCCGATACTTCCGCAGTATCTTTGAAGGCGGTGTTACAGAATTGTCAATAAATATGAAACACACAAAAGAGTCGTTTCATAACACGACCATTACGTTAGACTGTGACCAGTGCTCTATGATTACACAACACGGAAAGCCCTACATTAAGGTCTGACATTATTTTTTTTAATTTTATTTTATATAAATTACATTAAATAATAGCCGATAAATGAATACAATTTTTTATTTATCATTTTCTAACAAAAAAAAAAGTTTATTTTTTTATGTATATTAATATTTTTAAATTGTATTTATCAAGTGTTTGGTATTTAATTGTTGTTATAATTTCTTATAATAGTTTGTTGCCTAAAATTTGTTGATTATTTTATAAGTGATTTTTTTAGTGCTGTTATAACTTCAGTCTTCAGTGAAAATAATTGATTAAAATAGTCGTCGACTGACTTAACTGAATATGTTTTTATAATAACTGAATGAAAAGTGAGAGCAAAGCGAGTATTGATTTGTTTCTGTAGTCATAGCGATGGTTCACCTCTTCTGTAATGAAAGCACAGTTAGCTTTGAATTTAGTTGAGATCTCTCTCTCTCTCTCTCTCTCTCTCTCTCTCTCTCTCTCTCTCTCTCTCTCTCTCTCTCTCTTTTCTCTATGCAATGCATTTACTCTAACTTTTTATAAGCAATCAGTTTATCGATTTATTTTTGATGAAATGAAAATGTTTTATAAAATATTTATTTTTGGCATATACTGTATATAAAGTATATACTCGCATATAATTTAGCATTACATTTATACTATTAAATTATTTAGTCATTTTGAGTGGGATATATGCCATTTGAAATTTAAGAAAAATTAAATATTTTTTTTTTCAATTAATAATTAATTTAGATGATTAAAAAAAAATATTTGCATTAGAATTATACTTTAAAAATTTAAATATAAGACTATAAGAAAAGTATTATCATGCATATAAAATTATATATGCAGAAATAAGCTAGTTAATTTGTCATTAACAATTTAACCTTGATAATTTGATACATACATTAACATTTAAAATATTTTGAATGTATATCTTAACCCCATTCCCATGTATATCACATTTCTTTATTTAAGACTAAAAACATAAATACATTTTTATTGAAATTAGTTTTTCAAAAAAAAATTGATTAAAAATATGATACATATATTGACAGCCAATGGGTCCGTACCCTAATCTACCCAATGATCCCATGAAGGATCAAATGGCTAAAGAACATCCAGTTATCGTTTGTACTGAAGGACGACTTATACTAGAGTTTACTTTTGATGACTTAATGCGAATAAAGTCGTGGCATTTCGCTACAAGACATCACCAGGAATTGATTCCGAGAGGGATTGTTGCAATACAGGCCCAACAGGACCCCACACTGTTGGAGCAGATGTCTAAAAATATTACTCGACAGGGACTGACCAACTCTACACTCAACTACTTAAGGGTTAGTAATCTTTAAATTGAAAATTTTTTAATCAATTGCAGTATGACTTGAAATTATTTTTTTTTATTTTATTTAGTTATGCGTTATATTAGAGCCGATGCAGGAACTCATGACTCGACATAAAACTTATTCTCTAAGTCCTAGAGATTGTTTAAAGACAACACTGTTTCAGAAATGGCAACGAATGGTAGCGCCGCCGGAGACAACTCGCCCACCGAGCAAACGAAGAAAGCGAAAATCTTCGGCAAATGCGGGTACGACAGGAGGAGCCGGAAAGAAAAAGAACAACAACGCGGCAAACATGAGTCCGGGTCCGCCTAATTTCACTCTTGCATCGCAAGACGTTATGGTTGTCGGCGAGCCATCACTTATGGGCGGAGAATTTGGCGACGAAGACGAAAGACTTATTACAAGACTCGGTATGTTTTTTATGAAATAATTATTTTAAATTAAAGTGTGTGTTGTAAACGGTATTTAGCAACTAATATTCAAACAGAGAACCACCAATTTGATCCCAATGTGGCTAATGTAACGAATGGTCTCGAAGAATGTGATGATTTTGGTCCATTAGGAGGACCACATGGCGGTCCACCAGGAAATGGACCACCACCAGGTTGGCCAGGTGGTCATCCACCAGGATCGTCAATGAACCCGAATTCAGGTCCTCCACTGCCTAATGTCAATAACGGTCATTCATCACACGGTCCCGGTTCACATGGTCCGGGATCTCATGGTCCGGGTTCTCATGGTCCGGGATCTCATGGTCCGGGATCTCATGGTCCGGGATCTCATGGTCCGGGTTCTCATGGTCCCGGTTCACATGGTCCGGGTTCTCACGATGACAAAAAGCAATCTCCAAATATAAGTCAATAAATGATCTGATTTTTGAAGTATTATTATTAGTCGCAAAAATGTAGAGAAAAATGCAATATTTGTATAAATCATTTGATGAGGTGTTGGATAATTCATAATTCGATATAAATTTTACATTTTTTTTCACCAAAACACTACATAAAACGCTAATAATAATAATAATTTTTGTAATAAAACACTTTATTATAAGAAATAATTTATGTATTTTGATGTTAAACAGTATTTAACTTTGTTTTGATTGGTATTTGATTTCGCTTTCTCTCTCTCACACAAATATACAATAACTTATAGTAAATCATTTATCATTAAATTAAAGTTATTTATTTATTTATCTATACTCATGTTTTTTAATTTATTTATAAATAAATTTTTAACTAATTGTAAACAAATTTTATGTTATGCTATTAATATAATATTTATCATAAGTTATTTATTAAGTATTTACTTAGATAATAAAAGGTAATATTAATTGATCCCAATATTAATATAATTGCAATTGAATAAAATGAATTTTTTCTCAATTATTTACCACTTGTTGTTTACCAATTATTTTTTGTTAAATGTATCAAATAAATTAAGCAATTTTATTAATGATAATGATTTTAATGAACAAAATGATTGAGTATATTATAATCAGGTTTTTTGGTTTGGATTTTGGTTTTCGACCAAAAAAAATAAATACAGTATAAAAAATTAAAACATTCAATGAATTTGAAATTAAAAACATGCAAATTGTGTGTACAATTAATGCGAGAATTATAAAGTACTAAACATTTCAATAACTTAATCGTAATGATAATTATATAACAATAATAATAATAATCAATAATATGATTATAAATATGTGCTACAATTATTATTATTTTTTTTAATATAAAAACAATTATTTGACACTGAAATCACACATTTTGATATCATTGATTGGCAAATAAAAATATTTACAATTTTTTATTGTCATCATAATTGTGACTAAAACTTTGGTTAAGCGCTAAAAAAATTAACAAATAATTTTTTTTCTCAAAATATCAATAATTTAAAAATAAAACAAATGAATGACTCAAAAAAAATATTTACATATTATAACAAACATTTCTATATATAATTTTTAAATCTTTGGTAACATAGCTGTATATTCATAATAATGTCAATAATAATAATAAATTGTCAAATAATTAAACCAATATTTTGTAAGACAACTATAGTGACAATTAAGTGATTGAATTCACAGAATTATTCAAACAAATTCTTCTTTAGTATGAAAAACATTCAACTTTTCAGTCAAATATCGGGTTTTAATTTCAAGAGCTGTCAGATCATAGGTCCGGTTCTCGATGTTTCGTTGAGCGACAAACTCACGATTACGGCGATTATCATCAATAAACTTAGTATCGATAATAAGTTTTTTCTCTTCTATCGACTCTATGTCGACAACTTGTTGTCCATTATCGGAACAGGTGGGCGATGTCGATGATGTTTCGGCAATCGGTACGGACGTACAATCAGTGTAATCGTAATCCAATTTTAAATACTCCTAAAAAATTGTGAAATAATTTTAATTCTTAATTTTTTTTAATTTTTTAATTATTGTAAATAATATTTATTTATTTTATATTTTTTTGGTGCTTATGTTTAAGATTTAGTAATGTTATAAATACAGTACTATATAATGGGTGTCATTAAATCTATCAGCAAAATAATTATTTGTTGTTTTATTTGTGTGTTTTTAGTAATTAGGATGTTATTGCTATTTAATAGATTTGTTATAATAAACAAAACATAAAACAAAATAATTGTCAAAATTACTTGATTTGAGTTACAGGAGATGATATCACCCAACACTTTGACTAACTGTGCAAACGTTGGCCTATCCAATGGCTTCTCCTGCCAACAGTTGTTCATAATCTGGTAGATCTCTTCCGGACATTTGTTGGGCGGTTTCATTCGGTAACCTTTTTCCAAGAGTTTGATGAGATCTTCTGCCGGCGTACCATAGTATGGAGTACCGCCTAAAGTGATTATTTCCCACAAAAGTATACCATAGCTCCAGACATCCGACTGGGATGTATAGATCTGACTTAATAATGACTCGATTGCCATCCATTTGACAGGAAGTCGTCCATCGGTTGTCTTTCTATAGTAGTCTCCCTGTATATTACGGGCCAATCCAAAGTCGCATATCTTGAGGACATTATCTTCGGAGACCAGAACATTACGGGCGGCCAGATCTCTGTGAACGCATTTTTTTGAGGCCAAATACTCCATACCTCTGGCAATCTATTTTTAATTTCATAATTTTAAAATGAAAAATATTTTAATCATTTATTTATTTATCTAATGAATAAAGCATTTTATTTTAAACAAAAATTTTAATAAACTTCTTTTCCGAGCAAATAAACAAATAAAAAAAACGGAGTGACTCACTTGGTAGGCATAAATGATGAGATCTAAATATGTTAACGGTTTCATCATCGCATCCCCATCCCTGTCCTCCAACCCACTGCCTATAGGCTGTTCATAAGCACTTGAGTCGTATCGATGTTTACGTAAGAAATCCCTAAGATTTCCATTCAGAGCGTATTCAACGATCACATAGAGGGGCCCTATTGACGGGTGCCAATACATTAATATTATTTATATGTATACATCAATTTATTAGATATAGAGAGAGAGAGGAACAGGCATATAGATGCTGGCATAACCAGCATCTATACAATACACAACCAGCCTTTTCTTCCAAATGCATTCATTGTATAAATAAACACAACGTTTATATGTATTTCAATATACAGTATATATATATATTGTATATAAATCTAAAGAAAATCTTTTCAATAAGTAATATATATTTTTGAAGAAAACTCAAATCAATTGATGATATAAATAAAGTGAATGCATTTGAAAGAAGAAAAGTCTTGGAGAGAGAGAGAGAGAGAGAGAGAGAGAGAGAGTATTGACAGCAATCGTGAGCCCAAACAACTATTCCTACCGTTTTGTGTACAACAGCCCAACAAATTGATTATATTTATATTTTGTCCGATCTTTTTCATGACCTCCATCTCAGAGACCAAGTTTGTCATCTCGTCGTCGTTATGAAAGTCTTTCAACATTTTGACGGCCACTACTGTCTTCTTTTTGGGCGAACATTTCAAATCGTAGGCCTCAGCTTTTACTACCTGTCCGAACGCCCCCTGACCTAATTGTTTGCCCAATATTAGTCTAAATAATCAAATAAAAAAAAATTTTAAAAATAAAAACATATATAAATACATATAAATAAAAGTAATAATATAATGATAAACATCTTTATCTTTTTTTGTTGTTTTGTTTATTCATCAATAATAAACAAATAGTGTAAACAAAAACCAGACAATACCTGTCTCTGGAGTGTTCCCATAGTGGATCCAATGGCAGTTCGTAGTGATCTTTTCTATTAGATTGATCACTGTTTGCTGAAACTTCGATGGCCTGGTAGTCAATTTTGACTAATGGTATGAGCGAATCGTTGCATTTGTCCGGATCGGGACTCTCGAGAATCACTTTCTTTTTGATGACATAGCTTTTCTGTGCAATTATTGTCACATTTTTCTTTCGTCGGGAATAACAGGCGAATAGAAGACAACCGAAAAAACAGACAAAACACAAGACCGACAATATTGATACAGCAAACAGATTGAACGGTGTCTTGAGATTATCCAACTTTATCACCGATGGATCAGCTGTTTTTAATTTGATTTAAAAAACAAACATTGTTAGTATATAATTAATTTTAGTTTTAATGTTATACTTGATTTATCAATAAATGTAAAATAAATAAATAAATGAATGAATACTTACTGGATAGGACTTTAAGTGTAAAATTTTTGAATGAAGGACCGTATAGGTTGGTGACAACACATGAATAGTTTGCTGTGTCTTCAAATGTCAAGTTATTGATGACCAGTTGATAAGCATCAGTGCCATTGTATTTAATGTCTTTGTGCTATTCAACAACAAAAATGTTATTCATGTTAGAAAAAACCAATAAACATAACATTCCTCATTGAAAAAATTGAATTTCAATGAAAAAAAAATCAAATAAATAAAAACTTATTCAATAATATTAATAATAATGAATACAAAAAAATCAATCATTACATCAATGATAGTATAGGATGTGGTGTTGCCATCATTTGAACTCATGTACCAATCAATGAGAACCTCGACATCCGACATAAACATACAGTCAAAGATTGCCGTTTGACCCAATGGTAGCGTCTGATTGATATTATAGAGATGGGTATCAAATACGGGTTTGTGGGCCAAAACACCTTTCATTTTAATGAATAATAATAAAAAGCGTTTTATTAGTTATCAAACAAATCAATCAATAATTTTTTTTTTTAATTTTTAAATTCAATACATACTATAGACTTCCACATTATATGTGTGATTGATTTGACCAAATATGTTGGACACAACACATGTATAGACACCAGAATCAGACGGCGCTATATTGTCCATCGATAGCATCCATTTCTTCATTTGCATCTATTTATCACAACAACAACAAAAAGTTTTAAATAATTTATTGATATTTATAAATAAATTTCTTTTCTTTTTTTTGTAAACAACAAAACAAACTTAACAAACCATTTCTGAATTCTCTCTTACGGTTCCCTCCAATAGTTTAGTATCTTTAAACCACCGTATGGTAGGAGTGGGTGTACCACCAGATGGGCAAAATAGTTTCAATTGACTGCCAGCCGGTTCGCTGATCAACTGAAGCCGCATTTTATCCCATTTAGTAAAATATGGTGCGTCTAATCATTTAATTAAATAATTTTTTTTTGTAAAATTGAAACTAAAATTTTAAATAAACAAAATCAAGAATTAATAGCCTACTGGATCTGCTTTCAGTTGTTTTCCTATTTTTGCCGCTTCTTTCTGTGGTCAATGGCTGGTCCTGTTGTGGCGGATCAACCTCTAGAGTATAGTTGATCCGAAGTGTCTCGCGAGCCGTGAGTACGACACATGAATAATGGCCGGCGTCATCAAAGTCAACCTTTTTGATGGTCAAAGTGCTTAATGTCATCCGATATTTCTCTGTTTGTGTGATCTGTTCCTCATTTCTAAGCCATATCTTTGTATAGTTTTCGTCGTTGACTATATAGCACTGGAAGATGACATCCTTTGCAAAGGGCGTGAGAAAATCGGTCGACGATTCAATCCATTGAAGACGATCTTAATATTTGCAACAAAATTTAAAACCCATAAATGAAATTATATATATATATACTGTATATTTATAAATCTGGATTTATTTTAAACTATTGCTCTCTTAAATATGATAAGCAAATGATATACAGTATATTATGTATCATATGGGTTGTTGTTGGTTGTGTATGTGATTTTTGGTATGCCTTAAGTTATATATTATGCATTTTGATTGATAATATAAGTGAAACCATAACTTTTTTTGGGTAAATTCATATTTTTCTAATTATAGATATTTGTCTTAATATACTGTATGTATGTATGTATGAAATCAAATGTGGTGGAGATCATATGCAAATTGAAGGCACACTTAATAAAAATTAGTAGATATTTTGGGAACAGTAACGACATTGGATACGTGAGCTCAATAGGATCCCAGAGCCAGAGTTTTATGTGTACTGTATGTGTGTGTGTCTTATGATTCCTGAGCCAACATAAACACTATCTCTTAAACATATTCTGTTAATTCATTTAAAATAAACTTAATATATATGTATATACAGTAAATAACAGTCTCTCTCTCTCTCTCTCTCTCTCTCTCCTTCAATCTCTCTCTCCTTCAATCTCTCGCAACTCATCTTAATTTTCTTTACATTTATCCAAACTATTTATATTTATAAAATGTTTATATAAAGTGAAAAATATTTTTAAAACTAAATCTAAACTGTATATCGCTATACACATTAAATTAGATGACTAAAACAAAAAGCATCAGTTATATTATATATACAGTTATTTAATATATGATATAAATATAAAAACTACTAAATAAGCATTAATAAAAGTGCATTGAATTGAAGGGGGACTTACCATTAGATTTTGGTGGCAATCCTAATACAACATGTTTATCGATAACCAATAAGCCAGTGATGATAATCAAACTTAACAATAATATAACACTCATATCTATCCACTTCACTGATCTATTAATAAAACACAATAAAATAGATTTAATTATATACAGTACATACAGTATATTAAATAATTATTAAGCAAAAATCAGCAATTGTCTTAAAAATAAATTAAATATATTAAAACAATATTTAAACACTAATCAAAAAAAAAACAAAATAAAAATAAAATAAAAGATTACTCAGTCTATCAAATTAGTCATTCAAACAATTGATGAATTGGTTTAACATTATACAGATATTTTGAGTATTATATTACATTAATCTCTGTATACAGTATTACACATTAGATAAACATTTGGCTAAAATTTGTTTTTTATATAAATATATTGATTTGATAACTAATATATTAATCTTATTATAATAACAAAATCAGTTCAATGGTAGACAAAATAGATGATAAAACAAGATATATAAGAAAAAATACCTATTGTTCACACATTAAGACATCATGTCTTTTGAGAGTCAAAAACCCCGACACAAGACTTATGGGACCCAAAGAATCCTATGCTATACACAAACACAACAATACAGTTGTGTTGAAGAACTATTGGTAGGCCTTAATCTCGACCATTGGTTAGTTGACATTTGAAGCCTTCAACTGAACTGAAACCCAACTGAAGATTTGGTTAGCCTTAACACACATCTGCAGTCCAGATGCAGATACAGTCACCAAACAAACCTAACCAACACTTTTTTTTGCCCAACACTTCTCAACTATCACTAATAAACCAGAGGCAGTGTCTCTCACTTATGGTGAAAACACTTAAAGGCCTACTAAAAGACATCTTTATATACTAAGGTTATATAGAACTTAGCTGTGTCTTACTGCCCAACCCCCTCATGCACACCAATGCCATCCATCCCATCCCGTATGGGTATCTAATATAATGTACACTATTATATATGTTTTAAATTTTGTCAAAAAAATAAGTTATTGAGAAAACTTTTTAAGTGTACCCCTAATGTCCTGTTTAAGGCTGAAGACATTAATGTCTTTAACGAGTACCATGTTGTCAATTGATAGGGTACACTGGTATGGGCAATGTTGGGGAGGGGAGGGTGAATGGGGGAGAGGAAGAGATGGAGAAGCGCACTGGTGTGCCAAGTGTCGTGTCCTACCAGTTGTTGGCACGCGCTCTGTGTCTAATAATTTAATGAATATTATTCACCAAATTGTTGGACTTAATGTCAACTGTCTCTACAAAGAATTCATTTCCGGCACAATCAGTGCATTCAATCAATGCAGATATCCTGTCCCTTACGGAGAGTGGCATCCCTGTCCCCATCACATACACACACTCACCACTCATTATATGATATATCAACTTAAGTTTTTTAAGAGTGCGCCCACAAAATATTACAAGACATTTTGCACGTGTTTAGTATGAGATATAGTCACCACTAAATTGTAACGCTTTTTCCCGATTCACTGTATTTTTTTAATACACTTATTATTACTCTATTATTATAAATACTATCTTTCAGATAAAGTGTTTCCTTTAAGACCGACCCATAAAATATAAGGCAATCTTTTATAGTTAAAGATTTATTTTTTGTTAATTTTTTTTGTCAAAGAGAGTTATAGCGCCGGATATGGTATTCAATTCAATTTATATATAAAAAACGCTTTTATATTAAAAATAAAAACTTTTTTTTTCTCTCAACTAATAAGTGAAATGATTTATTTAAAATCAAATTGATTTATTTCAATGACTTGTTTTGAATGTGTCATTCAATTGGCAAATATATAAATAATATATTTATCTAACCCTTTGACAGATGGTTTGGACAAACAATTAATTTATAGCTTAAAATACAAACTTTTTTTGCAAACTTCAAATTTAGTTATTAGTAAAGTCACTGTCTCTATAAATATAGGATATCCACTTAAAAACTATATATCATATATTTTTCAATGCTATATAAATATAACAAAATATATTTAAATTTTATACAGTTATATACAATATATATTTATATACTATATGTATTAATATAATGTTAATCTAATTTCTATTAATTAACAACTAGGTATTAATAATTACTGGGAATTGTATTGAATTAAATATTTAAATAAAAATTGAAATACTTATTAATATAAAAACTTTATATAAAAATAAATCATTTTCTATTTGTATTGGATTTAAATGTCGATAAAAAATACTATAAAATTTGACAAAAGTCTTAAATTTTTACAACTTTTAAAACTTGAATATCATATAAAACATAATTAGATAAACATTAATATCATTAATATAATACATTATAATAAAACTGTACAATCGTCTCATATTTTTCATACAATCAAAATACAATGCTTTTGTAATTTTGTAATATTTGATGATATTTTTAAATTGTTTGTAATATTTTTATAATTTTATTGTCATAATTGAATAATAAGTTTTAACATCGATTTTATAGAAATTAAATTTATTTATTTATAAAATTAATTTAATAATATATATTTTTATATAATATAAACAATGATAACTAAAATAATTAAAAAAAATAATAACCAAATAAAATTATCTCATAAATGATTTATAAATTTATTTTAAAATACAAGTTTTTTAGATATAGGTATAAATAATGATTAATTATCTAAAAATAATAATAATAATAATAACTCACCAAAATAATAATCTCAAAAATCAGACACAATTTTGTGGCACCGGTAGGTATCACTTGAAGAGGATAATAGTCTCAAAAAAATTATACACCATTTTTTTTTATCGTTAACTACTTTATAAAACGAAAAACAAATTTTTCAATATTAAAGAAAAACTTCAAAAAAGTATTAAACCATAAGTTTTTCACATTAAGTGTTAGTCAAAGCAACAAAAAAAGAAAAGTTAATGTCGTTTACCAGTGAAAAGCTTTTACAGTTATTTTCAGATATAATATGTTTTTGACTTTTCAGCCAAAAAATATCAAAAAAAAAGTTAGGCCTAAAAACAGCTTACAGTTTACAGTGAATCACACGCACACACATACACTATGTATTGGGTATATTGAGAGCACTGGTAGTCCATCTAACGGTGCAAACAAACACATAAAGTACTACTACTACACTGTATTTAATGTTTTTTTTTTTATTACATTATTATTATTTGACTATAAATCTAATGCCAAAACACAACACAAAAACAGTCCAAACGTTACACTCATTGAAGTCGTCAACCATTTGTTGACATATTATTTGTATATTTTATCCATACGTTTGGCCACCGATTGAACCGATCGTCTGAGTGGACACCAGTCAGCTGTAGTCGAGTGTAAATCCGTTCTTCGAGAGTGTTTAGCATCAGACATGTCCGGTCGTATCGGGTCCCGAGTGACCTGTCCGTCACATCCTGACGCTAACCTAATTGAAGATTACAGAGCTGGCGATCTGGTGTGTCCCGAGTGTGGTCTAGTGGTCGGCGACCGTGTGGTGGACGTTGGCTCCGAGTGGCGTACTTTTAGCAACGAAAAGTCCAACGCCGACCCGTCACGTGTGGGCGCCTCAGAGAATCCGTTGCTAACAACCGATTTGTCGACAATGATTGGCCGCAGCAGTAGTGATGTTGCCTTTGACGAGTCGGGTCAGGCTAAGTACCAAAATCGCCGACACATGTCATCGTCTGATCGGGCGTTGGCCAACGCTTTTCGCGAGATCTCAAACATGTCCGACCGAATCAATTTGCCTAAGACTATAGTGGACAGAGCAAACCTACTGTTCAAACAGGTTCACGACGGCCGCACACTGAAGGGCCGCAGCAACGATGCCATTGCGTCGGCCTGTCTTTACATTGCCTGTCGACAGGAAGGCGTTCCCCGAACATTCAAAGAGATCTGTGCCGTCAGTAAAGTGTCCAAAAAAGAGATCGGCCGCTGCTTTAAGCTAATTCTTAAGGCATTGGAAACAAGTGTCGATCTCATCACAACTGGTGACTTTATGTCCAGATTTTGTTCCAATCTGGGACTGCCGTCGTCCGTACAAAGAGCGGCCACTTATATAGCCAAAAAAGCTGTCGAATTGGACATTGTTCCCGGCCGTAGTCCTCTGTCAGTAGCAGCAGCGGCCATATATATGGCCAGTCAGGCATCGGATGACAAGAAATCGCAGAAAGAGATCGGCGAAATTGCCGGCGTAGCCGACGTAACCATTCGCCAGTCGTATAAACTAATGATACCGAAAGCGGCCGATCTGTTTCCATCTGACTTCAGGTTTGTCACACCTATCGATCAATTGCCGCAAATATGATCAACCATTACATACCAAACAATAAATTGTTTTTTTTTAATTATTAATGTCTATTACCGTCTAAACCTAACTGTCATAATATTAATAATAATAACATTGTTTGTATGTTAACATGAATTTATTAATAATTGCTGTTTATTTTTATTATTATTATTATTGATAATAATTATATTGGTTTAACACTTTGAAGATTATTTACAATTACTTTTTATTGTTTATTATTATTATTATAATAATAAATTATTTGAATAATAAAAAATTGTGTCTTCTATTTGATAGCATTAATTTGTTTTTAAATTTATTCAAAATGATATATCTATTTAAAATACTGTATTTAAATAAAGGTATAATAAAAAAATTTATAATCAATTAAAAGAGAAATTGCTTAATTGCTATTAAATACAAATTTAATTACATGTACGGGCCGACCAAATTAGTGAACCGTCTATTATATTACAATCGGTTAATGTGAGACAATCATACTCCTCGGTCAGCAGTTTATTTTGAAAATAGACGGATACATCTGTGGCTTCTATACCTTCCCGGTTCCCAATACAACGCTTTAATGACAAAACTAATTCAGTGTCGTATGATTTGATTAGATAACGTTTACCATTGTATAGCACTTTAATTGTTATCTTTTTGTCAGTCAAAACATTCATTGATATGGATTCCGATACTTTAGACTTTTGTTTTTCATTTTCAAACACAACAACAGCTAACTTACTCTTCTTTTCTGTATTTATTTCGTTCAGATTTGTGTCCAGTTTTACCAATTTTCTACTTTCTTTGGTTAAATAATTTTTTGGACGATTTTTATTACTATTATTCGACAATTGATTTAATTGGGCTTTTAGTGATACAATCTCTTGCAATTGAATTTGTTGTTCACTAATCTTATCCATCAATTGTTTGTTATCAGTTATAAGCTGATCAGTATCTTCTCGCCATTTAACTTCTTGTTCATGTATTTGATACATCAATTGTTCGTTAGTAGTCTTAATCTGATCCATTTCATTACATTTCCAATTATATTTAGTATTAATAACTTTTGCTCTATTGGTTAATACACGAATCTTATCATTCATCGACTCAATGGTGTCATTAGCGGCGACTAACTTATCATTAACTTTCTGGAGATTGTCTTTTAGTTGTTCACATTCTTTGTCTGTGTTAATCAACTTTTCTTTTTCTTCATTCAATTTTTTATTTAACACTTCATTTATGTCTTTCATTTGTTCATTAGTTGCATTCAATTCCATTACTTTAGTATTTAATTCTTGATTTTCGGTGATAATTGCTGTTAACTTATTGACCTTTTCTTCCAAATTTGTGTTCAATTCTTTAAGTTTTGTTTCATTGAATACCGAATATTCTTCCATTTCTTTTTCCAAATCTTTTATCAATTTGTCTATCGATTGACCCCTTGATTTAGATTCTTGTAGTTTATAGTGTTGTTCTGTAATCTTTGCCACCAATTGTTGATTGTTTGCCATAATCTGTTCCGTCTTATGAGTGGCCATTTCATACTTTTTGGTCATTGAATCCAATTCATTGCTAAAATATGTCAACTTATTGTTTAATTCATTTGTTTCTTTTTGATGATTTTCAATAAGCTGTTGATAAACATTGATATCAATGTTGTTATCTCTGAATCCTTGTAACTCCGCGTCCATCGTATCAATCATTTGATTCATCTGATCGGTAGTTGTTGTCAACAACTGAAACTTACTCTTGAGCTCTTCATTATTAGCCATAACTTCATTCAATTGTTTATTTTTCTTCTCGAAACTTGACTCCATATCATTCAACTTACTATCGACAATACAATCCACAAATGTTTGTCTAAAAGATTTGGCCATTTGTTGACAATCTTGTATTATTACCAACTCTTCCATCAACTGCTTCTCCTTTGACGTCATTTCATTATCTATCGACTCAACAACCACTTCCAACTCGTCGTTACTGAACTGCGATTTAGTCGTCGCAAACACCTTCTCGTCGTCTTTCGTTTTGTCCATTGGTTTATAATCAATAATATACCACAAAAACTCAAAGCCAATCAACTTGAGGACAGTAAACCTATTATATACTCTAAACTTAGTGTCAATGGATTTTAAAGGGCAAATCAAGTGACAGTATTTTAAATTCAATTAAAACTTATATTTCAAACTAAACTTTTAGTGAGTCTTATAGAGTCAGATGACTTTTTATAGTAATAATTTTATTCATATTATTTAAATATAAATAAAAGTATTAAAGTGTGAAAAGGATTATTTTTTTAAAATTATAATATTATTTATAGGTTGAGAACTATACGTTAATCCTTAAGTGAATAAATTTGATATATTATTATAAGCTATTATTAATAGCCTATTAATCATAGGTTATAAATTACAATTTTTTTTGTGTCAAATCATTTGCACTTTATTCAAAAATTTATTTTATATAATATCTATTATAATAAGCATAATATTCGTAATGAAAATAAATATATATTAGGTGTATAATAACTAATCAAATTAATTCATTTATTTTTTTGTTAAAGAAAAAACTTATTAAATATACTCTTAATTGTTTATTAATGATAATAATAAATTATTTGATAAATAAAAACTGTGTCTTCTATTGTTAGCATTATTTGTATTTTTATTAAACAAAAAATTATTCAAAATGATAAACCGGTATATATTTAAAATACTGTATAAAAAGGTATAATTAAATTATGTTAAAATTACTTAAAGAAGTAATAAAAAATTTTCTTTAAAAATATATATTTAAATTTCATTCGTTTAACAGCTAATCTATTATTCGTTTGTTCCCAAACTTTCTTCATTTCATTGTCCAGATTTGTCACCAGTTTTTCCGATTTTTCATTTTCTTTGATTAAATCATTATTTAAACGATTATTATTATTCGACAATTGATTTAATTGGGCTTTAAGTGACACAATCTCTTGTAATTGAATTTGTTGTTCACTAATCTTTTCCATCAATTGTTTGTTACCAGTCATAAGCTGTTTAGTTTTTTTTTCGCAATTTAACTTTTTCTTTAGCAATTTGATCCATCAATTGATTGTTATCAGCCATAAGCTGTTCAGTTACTTTTCGCCATTTAACTTCTTGTTGACCAATTTGATCCATCAATTGGTTGTTCTGTATCTTTAACTGATCCGTTTCATTATGAAATTGTATTTCCTGTTCAGTTAATTTATCCAACAATTGTTCGTTAAAAGTCTTAATCTGATCCGTTTCATTACATTTCAAATTATATTTATCATTAACCGATTCAACTTCATTGGTTAATATGTGGATCTTCTCATTCATAGACGCAATGGTGTCTTTAGCGCCGATCAAGTTATCATTTACTTTCTGGAGATTGTCTTTTAGTTGTTCACATTCTTTGTCTGTGTTAATCAACTTTTCTTTTTCTTCATTTAATTCTTTGTTCAACAAATCATTCATGTCTTTCATTTGTTCATTAGTTGCATTCAATTCCATTACTTTAGTATTTAATTCTTGATTTTCAGTGATAACTGCTATTAATGTTTTGACCTTTTCTTTCAAATTTGTATTCAATTCTTGAAGTTTTGTTTCATTAAAAACCGAATATCTTTTCATTTCTTTTTCCAAATCTCTTATCAATTTCACCATTAAATGTCTTCTTATATTAGATTCTTGTAGTTTAGTGTTTTGTTTTGTAATTTTTGCCACCAATTGTTTATTGTCTTCCTTAATCTCTTCCATCTCATGAGTTGTCACTTCAAACATTTTGGTCATTGAGTCCAATTCATGGCTAAAATATGTCAATTTGTCATTCAACTCATCCGTCTCTCTTTGATGATCTTCAATAAGCTGTTGATAAACATTGATATCAATGTTGTTATCTCTGAATCCTTGTAACTCCGCGTCCATCGTATCAATCATTTGATTTATCTGATCGGTAGTTGTTGTCAACAACTGAAACTTACTCTTGAGCTCTTCATTATTAGCCATAACTTCATTCAATTGTTTATTTTTCTTCTCGAAACTTGACTCCATATCATTCAACTTACTATCGACAATACAATCCACAAATGTTTGTCTAAAACATTTGACCATTTGTTGACAATCTTGTATTATCATCAACTCTTCCATCAATTGCTTCTCCTTTGACGTCATTTCATTATCTATTGACTCAACAAACACTTCCAACTCGTCGTCTTTCGTTTTGTCCATTGGATTAAATCAAAATTTATAATCAATAATATACCACAAAAACTCAAAGCCAATCAACTTGAGGACAGTAAACCTATTATATTATACTCTAAACTTAGTGTCAATGGATTTTAAAGGGCAAATCATATGACAGTGTTTTCAATTCAATTAAAACTTTTATTTCAAACTAAACTTTCAGTGAGTCTTATCGTAACTTTAATAACAAAAATTTGATTTATATTATTTAAATAAATTGTTTCAAAATAAGTTACTAAAAGTATTAATGTGTGAAAAGGATTAAAAATTTATTAATTTTATTGATATTAATTTAAATAAGATTTATTGATTAAAAATTTATAAATTTATAAGTTAAGTCCTTATTTGTACGTTAATCCCTTCGTGAATAATCTTAATGATAATTATTGACATATTATTAGTTTATTATTACTAATAATAATAATAATTTATAACTTGTTTTATGTCAACTCATGATGTTTGATTTGCACTTTATTAAAAAAATTTAATTTTATATCCAATTGAAAAACATAGTATGTTTAATGACAATAAATAAATATCTGTTTATATTAAGGGTATAGTTTATTAAGAGTAATTTTGCCGGTAATTATTGATCAAATTTAAGTTCAACATTAAAATACACTTTTATTGAATAGTAAAAATTATTTTGCATTATTTTTCAAAACATAAAATTATCGATAAATATATATTTATAAAAATTACAAATTTTAGCAAAATAACAGTAAAATATTGATATATAATATAATTACTATAATTAATTAGTAAATAATAATAATTACTATGTATATAAAGTTTATATTATAAACAATTGATTTTTTTTGTAATAAATATTTGATAAAACCTTTGTTTTTCTTTAAAACATTTAAAAAATAGCTTTAAAAATGTATTTAAATTTTTTTAAAAATAATTAAAACTAACGAATCAGTTGACGTTTACTTGGAGTCCAAGTCTTCCTCAAATTGATGGCTCTTTTCATAGCTTTGGTCGGAGTTGTTATGGTTTTCAATAATTTTGAATTTTGATTACTTTTAATAAAATTATAAAATAAGATTAATATAACATTGTTATTAAATCAATTAAAAAATAATAATTTTATATTAACTATATTGAATGATTAGTAAATTAATGAAAAATTATTATTATCTTAATATACAGAATCGTTATTAGAATTACAGTATAATTATTAATTTAGAAAATAAAGTGATAAAATTTTTCAAAAAAATATTTGAAAATATCAAATAAATATCAATAAACTTAATATCAATTGAATGATCACTACTATTACTACTACAACAAGTCTTACCTCCTTTTATTAGCAATATATATGTTATCAACAATTGCTGAGACATTGTCTGATCGGATAGAGTTGTCTTTCCATTGATTAATTGAGACATCATTTCGTCGATAACTAATATTTTGTATTTCTTTTAGTGTATTATTTGATTGATTGCCACGAAAACCATGTTTGATATCTTCGGCACCGATCGAGTTGTCGGACATAAACTTAAGTTGATTTTCAAGAAAACCTATTTCTCGACAATACTTGTTCTTCTCTTTCATATAATTTTCATTTTCTTTGACATATCGTTCCTTAGTTTTGCGTTCAAAATCAAAAGACATTTCTTCAATATTGAGTCTATTCATTAGATCAGATATTTCTTTCTCGTATCCATTAATTTCCATTTCTTTGTTTGCGTTAAACTTTTTCTGTTTATCCATCAATTGTTTGTTATCAGTCATAAGCTGTTCAGTTCTCTTTCGCCATTTAACTTCTTGTTCAGCAATTTGATCCACCAATTGATTGTTCTGTATCTTTAACTGATCCGTTTCATTACATTTCATATTATAATTATTATTAATCGATTCAATTTCATTGGTTAATATACGGATCTTATTGTTCATCGACTCAATGGTGTCTTTAGCGGCTATCAACTCATCATTTACTTTCTGGAGATTGTCTTTTAGTTGTTCACATTCTTTGTCTGTGTTAACCAACTTTTGTTTTTCTTCATTCACTTCTTTCATTTGTTCATTAGTTGAGTTCAATTCCGTTACTTTAGTATTCAATTTTTGATTTCCAGTCATAACTGTTGTCAAGTCATTGACTTTTTCTTGTTCGCCGATTCTTTGCAATTCCGTGTCCATCGTATCTATCATTTGATTCATCTGATCGGTAGTTGTTGTCAACACATTAATCTTACTCTTGAGCTCTTCATTATTGGCCATAACTTCATTCAATTCTTTGTATAAAACTTCACTGATTTCTTTCATTAGTTCGGTTCTTACACACAATTCTTGATGATCTTCAATGATCTGTCGATAAACATTGATATCAATGATGTTATCTCTGAATCCTTGTAACTTAGCATCCATTGTATCAATCGTTTGGTTCATCTGATCGGTAGTTGTTGTCAACACATTGATGTAACAGTTTTTTTTCAATTCACTTAAACTTATATATACATTAAACTAAACTTCATGAGTCTTATAATAACTATTTAAGTAAATTTTTTCATATCATTAAATTGTTTCAAAATAAGTTTCTAAAAGTGTAAAGTGTGGAAAATATTAAATTAAAAAAAATTTTAATACTATTTATAAGTTGAAAACTATACATTAAACTGTGTGAATAAACTTAATTATAATTATTGACATATTATTATAAGTTATAAATTATAGCTTTATTTATGTTAACTGAAAAATATAATATGCGTAAATGATAATAAATTAAATAATTAATTAAATGTCTATATTATAAGTGTATAATAACTAATCAAAATCATTCATTGATTTTTTTTGTTAGAAAAAACTTAAGAAAAACAGTATAGCTTAAGGATTACATTTTATCAAATTAGCATTTATATGAAATTATTTTTATTTATCACTATTCACATATTTTTAATATTATTATTATTACATTGTCTGGACATAACTTTGTGGTCACAACAATACGGTCACCGATTACAGTGTTATTGCATTCGTTGTAATCGCAAATGTAATGTTTTTTTAATTGGTTATCAAAATACTGTATACACTCGTTGGTTGACTAAATTAAGTTAAAGTTAAACATTAAAAAAGATTATTTATTTTATATTATTTGTATAATACATTAAAATATCGGTAAATACTGTAATTAATAATATCAAAATTTAATAGTCTAAATATTTTTATAGGTATAAGAATTACAAATAATGAAAAACAGTATATTTATATTACAATATTAATAATAAAACAATTGATTAATTTTTTTTTTGTGATAAATATTTGGCAAATTTGTTTTGCTTTAAAATAGTTTTTTAAATGTAAATTCAATTTAAAAAATAATTAAAAACAAATCTGTAATCGAATTATATGATATAGAAAATAAAATAATAAAATTGAAAACATGATAAAATGAAAATTAGTAAAAACTTAATATCAATTGACTGATCACTAGTACTACAACTACTACAAGTCTTATCTCCTTTTATTGACAATAGATTTGTTGAAATCAATTGCTGAGACATTGTCGGACCGGACAGAGTTGTCTTTCCATCGAGTAATGGACACATCATTTCGTCGATAACTGACATTTTGTATTTCTTTTAGTTCATTATTTGATTGATTGCTATGAAAACCATTTTTGATATCTTCGGGACCAATAGATCTGTCCGACATAAACGGCAGTTCCACTCCATATGATGTCTTCAAATGTGGTGCAACCATAGTGTTACGTCTTTGAAGTATTGATAGTCGCTGGTCATCGAGAACCGAATCACTGACTGAACATTCACCGCGTTTTAAAGCCAACAAATTGTTGGGATTCATGAACTCTCCCTCTTCGTCGGCCATAATTAGACGACTACCGGTTCCTGCCGGCAGTTTTCGACTCATATTCAATGATACGGAACTATTATTTGGATTTGTTATGTCCATCGGATTAATACTTAAATTGGTTGAAGAATTGGGATTTGTATGAATATGTACTGTTGTAGGCATTGAATAGACATTACTGGTTGAAGCACTCGTAGCTATCATTGACTTATTATACGAATCAATAGTTTTCCGAAGTATTCGGTTTTCATTTTCAACAAAATTTATTTGTCGACAATACTTGTCCTTCTCTTTCATGAAATTTTCATTTTCATTGACATATCGTTCCTTAGTTTTGCGTTCAAAATCAAATGACATGTTTTCAGTATTGATTCGTGTCTTCAAATCAAATACGACTTTATTATTTCTGACAACTTCTTGCAAATACTTTGTTTGCCATTCACTTTCTCTGAGTTGTGATTCATTGAATGCCTTCTTATAAATAGAAACTCTTTTGTCGACAATTGAATGCAATTCTTCCATATCTTTGTTTGTTTCAAACTTTTTCTGTTTTTCTTCGTCCAACTCTTTGGCCATCGAATCAACTTTTCTATTGAATTCTTCATTCATTGAATCAAACTTTCGTAGTTTAATGTTTTGTTCAGCTATTTTGTCCATCAATTGTTGATTGTCTGCCTTAATCTGTTCCGTCTCTTGAGTGGCCATTTCAAACATTTTGGTCATAGAGTCCAATTCATGGCTAAAATAGGTTAACTTTGCATTTAACTCATCCGTCACTTTTTGATGATCTTCAATGACCTGTTGATAAACATTGATATCAATGCTGTTATCTCTGATTTCTTCTAACTTCGCGTCTATCGTATCAATCGTTTGGTTCTTCTGATCGGTAGTTGTTGTCAACACATCAATCTTACTCTCGAGCTCTTCATTATTGGCCATAATTTCAATCAATTCTTTGTTTATGACTTCATTTATTTCTTTCATTTTTTTCATTAATTGTATTTAATTCCGTTATTTTAGTATTCAATTCTTGCATTTCAATGCTAACTGCTTTCAATTCAATTACCTTATAATGACTTTTATTTAAGTAAGAATTTTATTCATATCATTAAATACATAAAAATTATTTCAGATATAAATTACTAAAAGTGATAAATTGTGAAAAAGATTAAAATTTAATGAAAAAAATTATAATACTATAAAGTTTGAAAAGTTTTCAATTAAAAACTATACGTTAATCCCTACGTTAATAATCTTAATCATAATTATTGACATGTTATTATTATAATAATTTTTTTTTGTCAAATCATATATTTGATTTGCACTTTATTAAAAAATTTATTTTATATATTAATAATATCTATTGAAAACATAATATGTGTAATAATGAAAATAATAAATGAATTAATTAAATATTTATACGATATTAAGGATATAATAACTAATCAAAATCATTAATTGAATTTTTTGTTGTTACAAAAAAATATTAAATATCTCTTAAGGATTGCTTTTTTTATCAAATGTGAAATTTTAAAATGTTATTAGCATTTATATCAATTAGTTTTTATGATTAAATATGACATTATTTTTAGTTATCACTTAAAAAAATTATTTCAAATATCTTTAGTTAGATATTAGATATATGTTTGTAACTAACTATTAGTTAATCTATAGATATTTAAACTACAACTTAAATATATGAATAATTTGTGAACAAGTTTTTACATTAGTAGTTAATTAATCAAATAAAATCACATATTTCATAACACATGTTAGTTTATAAAAAATATTAATTTATATATATATTATTAATGTGTAATCATTCCTAACTCTAACAAATCAAATAATTATTTTAGTAAAAATTTAATTAAAATGCCCAGAAATAAATTAAATTTAACTAAATTTATTTTTTTTAAATCCAAACAAAATATTACTAAAAATCATCTCAAATACTATAATTTTATTGTTTATTACAAAAAAAACACATTGCTTTTAAATAAAATTTAATTTTTAATCATATAAATTTTATATTTTTGTATTTTTATATTTTTAAGCAATTTTTTAATTGAATTAAACAAAAATTATAATAATCACCAAACAGTATACCTAAAGTACTAATAATATTGTTAATAATCACTAAAACTTTTTTTTTGCATTTCATTATCAAATGTATTCAATTTTATAACTTATGTTATATAAGTATACAGTAGTAAAAAAAACGTTTATAAAACTCAATAATTTCCTAATCATTTGACAATCATTTGAATTGTATTAAACAATTTTTTTTTTTTTTGAAAAATGTTTGTGCATTTAATGTCAATCATTGAGAATTTGTTATCATTTTTTATTTTGCTGTTAATTATATCATACATATCATAGATATGGATAATATTAGACGACAACTAGTGATGAAACGCATCGCTAAATAATAATAAATCTATTGAAAAGTTAGTGCACTTTAATAACACAAAAAAAAATTTTTTTACAAAAAAAGTCTATTATTTATGAATATATCGAAAAACTGGTTATTATTTTCTATGCATTGAAATTGCATATGAATTTGAGATACTGTTTATTATACAACACATTATATATAGTGTTTTACTACTAAAGTATTTGTAGCGTATATTTGAGTTTGAATTTGAGTGCTATTAATACAGAATAGAGTGACTGTATATTGTAATGTACTGTCAATGAGTGCGTCGGCGCACAAGTGGTCGGACTTTAATAGTGTAAACAGTTTTAACAATAATAATAATAACCAAACATTTGATTCAGTGATGTACCCGATGTTTGGCCACCGAAACCAATGGCCACATAACTATATTGACGACCAGATGATCGACTAGATTGAAATGATGGCCTCCGTGCAGGTGCTTGTCTATCTGATCCGAGCCAAATTCAAGCGCAAGTGTTTGTGGTCACCGATCGACTTGCTATTTGTGTCCATTGTTTTATGTGAATTGTTTGCCGCATCCATTACTGGCCACTCAATATCGTTGTCAAGTCCGTCGACGTGCGGCGATGTACTCTGTTTTCATGGTATCTGTCACGACGGACGCTGTATTTGCGACGCCGGTTGGCAGGGCTCGGCCTGTCATCGATGCGGAGGACGAATCAAGTAATTTCCAGACATTTGATATATATTTTATTGTCGAAACACAGATGTGTTTGTTGTGTGACATTAAACTACCATTAATTGTCTGATTTTTTTTGTGAATCAGATTGGATACACCGTCTGGTTATATAAGTGATGGCATCGGTAACTATAGTACTGATCTTCAGTGTACGTGGATTATTGACAGCGGTCTCAATGATTCGGTGATCCGACTCGACTTTGTCCACTTCGAGACGGAATGTTCGTGGGATCATTTGTATATATTTGATGGCGACTCGGTTTTCAGTCCCGTATTGGCCGCATTCAGTGGCGTATTAGTTAAAGACGGACAGTCATTCCAACAGATACCAGAAATTACTGCCCGATCGGGAAGAGCTTATCTATATTTTTATAGCGACGCCGCTTACAATATGAGTGGTTTTAATATATCGTATAGTATTAACACGTGTCCAAAGAATTGTTCGGGTCATGGAGTATGTGTTTCACGTGTTGACGGCTGTACCTGTGATGCCGGTTGGGAAGGAGATGCCTGCGATCGACCCATTTGTCCCAATAATTGCAGTTATCCTAATGGTCTTTGCGATAGAGAACAGCACATCTGTATTTGTCAATTTGATTATATGGGACCCGACTGTAGTCAATCACAATTTGATGGCTATTGGGCGGTTGTAAATGCAATTAAAGGGGTCAAAGGTCGGGCCCTACATCAGTCGGTGATTTATGATTCTTCGATGTTTGTAATCGGCGGCGAATACTATGAACCCGAAGAGTTCCTAATGAAGTTTGATTTAAAAATGAAAAAATGGGAATCGTTTAAAGCTAACAAACAAATAGAAGAGGAGACGCCTGGAGAACGATTTGGTCATTCGGTGGTCGTCTACGACAACAAACTGATTATGTTTGGAGGAATGACCAAAAACGGTACCATCAATCGTGATCTCTGGGCTTACGATATATCTAAACAACAATGGAAACTATGGATTGATGGATATGACTATTATCTTAAGCCGTGTTCACCATCAGTGTATTGTAGTCCGTTGCCAGTGATTGGACATTCAGCTAATTTTATAGATAATACAATGATTGTCATCTTTGGTTATAATCCTGTTTATGGATATCTTAATGTTGTCCAAGAATTTAATTTTTGTAATTATAAATATTGATAATTGATTTTTTAAATTAAAATTTTTCTAATATTTAAATTTATTTTAAAGCTACCCGAACGTGGCAAATAATAACCACCCGTGGTGCTATAGTTAAGGGAGGATTTGGCCACTCCAGTGTATATGACCCGATGAGCAAACTTATCTACGTTTTTGGCGGCTATCACTCTCTCGGCTCATCCGATACTTTACTTGTCGATCTCTTATATGGATATAATCATCGTTTTAAATCATGGTAATGCTTTAGATGACAATCTATAATACCGGTGCTTATTTTTTTTATCTAATTGCCTCTTATTTTTTGGATAGGTTTTTATTAAACCCAAGTCCATCGCCGCGATATCTACACACCGCCACTATAATCAATGGTCTAATGTTTGTTTTCGGTGGCAATGGCTATAATGCTACTACTAATAACTCAGGCGATCGTTGTTTTTCACCACAATTTCTAGCCTACGATATCGCATGTGACGCCTGGCGTACACTTAAAGACCCGTCACCTTCACTATTACTGAACGATAGGGTCGGCTTAGGACGCTATGGCCACTCCAGTGTACTTTATAACGATTCCATTTACATGTTCGGCGGTTTCAATGGCGTAATGCTCAGCTCAATACTTAAATACTCACCGGGAGATTGTCGCCGATTTGTGACCAATGAGGAATGCGCCAAAATGAAGACCGGAAACAAATGTGTTTGGAATAAAGATAAAAATGTTTGTCAACTCTATAGCGCACAGAAATCGACACAATTGTCAAATCTGTACAGTCCTTGTGATGTTACGAATACAAACTTTACCGAATTGTGCCAAAAACAGACACTCTGTCCATCGTGTTTGGAGAATACTTATGGCTGTGTTTGGTGCAGCGGTTCCGGTCAGTGTCAATACCAGAAGTGCCGTAAAACGGGTGTAAAAGACGATTTGAAGAGTATTAGCGACTCTTCCCGCTGTGAGGACGACATTCGTAGCTCTAATTGTGATAAACTTCATAACTGTCACTCTTGTCATACGGAATACCAGTGCGGGTGAGTACTGCCTGTAGTTAGAAACACTTAAATTTGTATTAAATCTAATTAATTATTGATTCCAATGAATCAGATGGCAGAGAGACTCCAAATGCTATACATTTGTTCGCGAAGTGAATAACAAGAGTGAGAAAGCGCCGGCAATTCTTCGCGATGACCTTAAGCCGTCGTGTGAAGAGCCGTGTCATACGCGGACAACGTGTGAGAACTGTACGGCCGGCTCATGTATGTGGTGTAGTTCGTCGCGTCGATGTATAGAATCCAATGCCTATGCGGCTATCTTTCCAATTGCTCAATGCATGGAATGGACAATACATCCATACAAGTGTGCGGGTCTAACCTGTTCTGACATACAAACATGTGATAAGTGTCTGAAAAATCCATTATGTGGATGGTGTGATGATGGCACTGGTACTGGTGTCGGTACTTGTTTAGAGGGATCGGCCAGTGGACCCTACACTTGGAACGGTACCGACTATTCACTTAAACAGAGTGCTTGTCCAGTAACGCACTGGCATTTTTCCCATTGTCCCGAATGCCAATGCAACGGCCATTCACATTGTCTTACATCCAATGTGTGCCATAAGTGCCAACAGTTAACGGAAGGCAGTCATTGTCAGTATTGTATGGCCGGCTTTTATGGCAATCCTATCAATGGCGGCAACTGTACTCCCTGTTCGTGTCACAGTCATAGTGTCTTCTGTAATCGTGAGTCTGGTAAATGTCACTGCACTACAAAAGGCATTACTGGTCATCACTGCGAGAAATGTGACGAACAAAACAATTATATCGGTAATCCTCAAGAGGAGGGCGGATCCTGTTTCTATAACTTAACAATGGGTTATCAGTACACATTCAATATGTCTAAACCGGACGACCGTTTCTATACCCGAATCAACTTTATGAATGTCCCGATGACTCCCGACATTGACGTGGAATTTATGATTCAGTGCCAGGAAAGCGCTTTAGTCAACATTTCTATTGGTTCCGGTAAGTCATATATAAATTTATATATATATATATTTGAATATTAAACCATAATTTATCGGTTAAATTAATATTTTTTTTATCATCAATGAAACTATAGCTTCGTTTCCAATCCGTAATCTTCACGAACGACTCGAATGCGGAAACTTTAAGCTTCGGTTCTCTCACGACGAGAATCTCTTCGGCATTGAAAACACAACCTTTTATGTCAATGTGTTTGCGTTTTCCACACCTTTTGTACTTCAGATATCATTTTCACAACACAGGACTCTAGATTTGCTACAATTTTTTGTTACATTCTCCAGGTATCTGATCATTAAAAAGATATTTTTAAAAAAAAAAAGATTATTTAAATTTAATATTAATTATTGATTTTTTTATTTATTTATTTTCAGTTGTTTTCTAACTTTACTAATAATTGCTGCCATATTGTGGAAAATTAAACAAAAATACGATTTATATAGACGTCGACAGGTATTGATATATTGTTTTAATAATACTACTATTAATATACTGTATCTATGAGTCGATTATAATCATCCAAATTGAAATCAATGACTAATTTATTTTGATTTTTTTTGTTTAATATTTTTTAATAGCAATTGTTTGTAGAGATGGAACAGATGGCTTCGAGACCATTTGCAACCGTTGTATTGTATATAAACCGCGACCAAAATCATCTTAATTTTAATAAAGACAATCTTCAGACCGAATGTGATAATCCGACTCCCATTGCGTTAGAGCCGTGCAATACTGGCAAAGCGGCCGTACTCTCACTCATTGTCCGTTTGCCCACCGGTGGACTACCCTCCACACCTCCCGGTAATAATCATTATTGTTATTATTGTATAATTTGTATATAAATTATTATAATACTATTGTCTTTTTTCTTTTCAATATTTTTTTGTAGGTCAAACTGGTATAGCAATAGCATCGGCACTGGTATCGTTAGGAACGGTACCAATTGAGCAAAAGTCAAATAAAGATACCGATAATAATCCCACAAACAAAGTGATCAATAGTTCAAACAAGTTAAACAATTATCCCTCAACTACTACGACCACCAATATTACTACTATTACGACAACAAACACTACAGGAGTTTAACTGTTGATTATATGATCTAATAATTTATTATGACTTTTATCAAAGTTTTTATATATTTTGAATCTTTTATTTTTTGCTTTTTTATTAAATATATAATAAGTCTTTATTTTGTATTAAAATATTAACTTTAATATTTTATTTATTTTTGTTTTTAACATAATTATTATGTACTTTTGAGATTAAACTCATATTTAATTGTATATATAGTTTTTTTTATAGTCATATTACACACCAAAATCAATTCATACAAACAAACAAAAAATATATATTTAAAACTAACAAACCATTTAATTTTTAACAAAAACAATCATTGGTTTTTTTTATATAATACAAAACAAATTTGTTAATCAATCAATGAATCGACAATTGGATTATTAAAACAAAATAAGACGTAAAGATCTGTTAAAACATTTTTGCATAGAATTATAAAATTTATATATAAAATTTTTTTTGAATTATTATAATTATTATTGTATAATATAACTCTAATAGATGATAGTTTTTAAAGTTGTAATTATTATTAATATTATTATTATTAAAAAATAAAGATTGAAATAATTTTTACTATAAATTTTTTTTATTGTTATAATAATTTTTTAATTACCGGCAATAAATTATTAGTGCATAAATTGATAAGAGGCTACTTTAGTAATATCTAACAATACAGGTACCGGTAATTTATTAAATAAAAATAATTTACACATACCGGTAATTTAATTATACAATATTTTCAAAGCTATCTATTAATATATTTAAAATTTATAGTTAAAAAAAATAAAATTATTAATACAGAATAAAATAGAAATTTATTATTAACAACAACAACAACAAAAAGTAAAAAACTATTTTAATATTTAAATTTTCAGTATTTTTTGTTTGTTTGTTAAACAAATATTTAAATAAGGATAATTAATAATAATAATAATAATTGATGTATTTTAGGGATGCTCTAGTAAACTAGAGTCTACTCTAGTTATTAGTAATAAATATGATTATTATTTTAATTTGATAATTGACAGCATTATTATATTATTGTTAAGTATTTTCAGTTTAAGTCTAATTTACAGCATTTAAAGTGCACAACATTACCACTGTTTTATAGGAATAATACTTTAAACCCTTAAATATCCTAATATTAAAAAATGTATTGTTATAATACAATATAATACTATAGATAATTGTAGTGAACTTTTTATTGTTGCTAATAGTGTTTTTGACTATTGATTTATGCGAAACTAATGAATACATAATTTTTTTTAAATAAAATTATTTATTAATTGTCAAATAATGTTAACAATTGATATAGTTTAACTATTGTAAAAATAATAATAACGAAATAAAAATTACTATTAATTTTAAAAATATATTTTTTTTAAACTTCTAATTTTAATATTATATATTATTTTCTAATATTACCTTGATTAATTATCAGTGCATAAATAGTGATAAATAGCTATTTATGAATATTAATTGCTTATATATAAATTATTTATGATTGTCTGATAAGATTGAAAATTGTTTTTTTATTTGCAAAAAAATGTTGTCATTAATTTATTATACTTAGTTATTATATAAAAATTTTTAATTGATTGTTCTTAATATAAAATGATTGAAAGATATGTTTGAAAATTTTTGTTTATTTTTTCAAAAAAACAACAAAATTGTTTGAAATAAAAAAAATATATTAATTCATTGATAACACACACACACACACACACACACACACACACACACACACACACACACACACACAATATCGTATAGCGATTGACAAAATTGACACACATTTTGCCTGTATTTGATGTAAATGTTTAGTTGACTTAATCCTAATAAATTGATTTGTCATAAAATAAAAATTTACAGTAATATTATTGTAAAAACCATATGATAAATGACACCAAACTAATAGTTGTCATAATAATAATCTTGTTGACCTATTGGTAGAGACAGACCACCTTTCCCACAAACACACACACAAACCACATACCTGTCCATACATTATATTTATGTACTAATAATTATTTTGATTTTACGATTGTTGTTGTTGTTGTTGGACTGTTAAACTATATTTTTAATTAATATCTTATATATACTGCATATCTAAATATATAACATTAAAAAAGATAATACTAAAAAATTTATATAAAAATTTATATAAAAATTTATATTATTAATATCATGAATCAATTATAAAATTTATTTTGGGGGTTTAAAAATACTAGTAATATTCAATATCTTAAAAATATCTGCATATCTAATATTATCAAATCTAAACATATGTTATTTTTTTATAAAATAAATTAAATTGTATTTGTTTTGCATTTTTATTTTATTTTTTATTATAACAAAAGTTACATCTGATTTGTGTTAAGTTTAAAAAAGAGAAACAAACAAAATATATATAAAAAAGAAATTAAATACTGATATCAATTGAGACTATTTTTTCTTGTGTGTGTAAAACACATAAATATTGAAAACTATTACTGCATTTTGAATATGATTTATATATAACACTAAATCAAAAATAATTAGAGATAAATAAGTTATTTTGTTGTACACACACACACACACACACACACACACACACACACAACATAAAACTAATGACTTTTAAAAGCAATAAATTTTAAGACAAAGTAAATTGAAATTAAAGCATAGAAATATATATATATTCATTGGATAATATTAAATTTAATTTAACAATTTATTAATTACCAAGTGTGTTATTATCTGCTAAATTGGTTGATAAAAATAGCCAAAAATAATTTACTTAACTTGAAATACAATTAATTGAAAATATGTGTAACAAACTGTGTCTAAACTATGATATAAATTATATGGTATATATTGATAGTTATAAATAAACTTTATATTTAATTGAAGTATAAATTGAATGTTGAAAGTTTTTTTTTTGGTTAGATTATTGGTTTAGAAAATGAAATTTTATGCCATTTAAATGTTTTCGATAGAAATATATAATATATTATTATACTGTATATCTGTATATACTATTAAAGTTAATAAAGAATTTTAAGTATTATTGCATTTCAAACTTAAGGGATTTTTGAACTAAAGTGTATTTCCACTACTGTTTCAGTTAATAGTCTAAAACTTAATATCTAAAGCATGAAACATACCTGAGATAGGAATGGCTGGTTGTGTGTGTGTGTGTGTGGCTCAGGGATTGTGGAAGAGAAGGAATATTAGAGATGTGCGATTTGAATGCTGATATGACATACATTTAGGCGTTGCTCTCTCTCTCTCTCTCTCTCTCTCTCTCTCTCTCTCTCCCCTCTATTTTGCTAATTATTATGAAGATTGACATATATTGACCCCGAGAGAGAGATAGAGAGAGAGAGAGAGAGAGAGAGAGAGAGATAGGACCACAACATTTTTGAAGGCATTTATTTTGTCAGATGTTTGGCATACCTTGCTTTTGCCCGATCATTATCACTGATGGAAATGCCATCACTTACTGACTGACTAATCAAAGAAATATTTATTATTATTTTTTGAAACATTAGTTTGTGTGTGACTGAGAAACACACAAATATTGTTTATTTTGCAAATTAAATAATTTTAAAATCCATATAATTTTATTATTGACTATTTGTCATGAGAAAATAAAAGATAAATTAAATTAAAAATATTCAAAATATTTATAGATTACATAATTTAGTATTTTGTATAATAATAATAATCTCAATGATATTTATTTATTTAATATCAATAATATAATAATTATTATTTTCAAATGATTTTTATCTGAAAAAGATAAAAGATTTTTGTCATTTTAAATAAATAATAAATAAATAAATAAACGAAAAATATAAATATAATATAATTAAATTGCATATATTTATAAATAAACCGTATAAATCGTTATTTTTTATATTTACTTTCTATTTTATTTGTAAAAAAATTGTTTTTATGCTAAATATACAAAAAATAATAATTTCATTTTTCAAAATAAAAACAAATAAATTATTCAAATGTTTTAAAACTAATTAAATACATGAATAATGATAATGTTTGGTTATTAATATTTTTTTTACTAATAATAATATGGCTTCTAGCTGTGTTTTAGATAATTGTCTATTTTTATTTATTAATAAATTATTAGATCATTAAAATCGAGTTTTTATGGTTTACAGAAAAAAATTGTATATAATTTTATTTAACAAAAGCTATATATTTTTTTAAAACTTTATTTATTCAATACAATACCGTATAAAGTACTGTATATATCATTCAGTACATACTATTATAATAATAATAGACTAAATTAAATTAATTTTCTAAACCATAGTATAATTTTAGACTAAATTGAATTATAATGTTATAGTACACTATAATTATATTTAATAAATAAAATATAATTTTTTAAAAAAATAAATAAAATTATAATATACACAAGTTATGGTTTAACAAAATAATAATTTTTTTTGACAAAATATTATTGTCTTTATAGACAGGAGACTGAAAAATATATGAACTTATAATTTGTAAAACGGATTACAACTGTTACGAAAATCCCAATAATCTCTGATTAAAATAAGTCTTCAAAAAAACGGCAAACAAAATACAAAATAGGAAATGATTTCTCTCTACAAAAAAAATCTGTGAACTCCAACACAACTAAACAATTATATTGTTAAACACATACATACATACATAGAGATTACACGGCATATGAATGGCAATTGATTTTTATTTAAGTTATGTGAACAATGATTTGTTTTGTCAAAAAAAATAATAATAAATAAATCTGTGTTTGCATTTCAATTGAACGGCCGATTGCGTGATCTGTGAATTACAAGACAAACAATGGCAACGACTGTTAAACTGCTCTTCAGAAAAAAATCCCCTCTTTTTTCGCGCGTTTAACATCTTTTTCAATGGTATTTCCGAAATATATATTTTTTTTATTTCTGTGGCAATGGATAGTACTGTAGATTAGGAAAAGGTATGGTATGTGATAGATATGATAGGTATGGTATAGTTTTGTTGTTGTTGTTGTTGTTGTCTCACATGACACGGGAGCCACTCGAGCTCATAAAACCGGTCACCAGAAAAAAATTATGACTGAAATAAAGACAACAGTCATCTGAAAAATGGGTCGATTTTTTGTTGTTGATATCGAAGAATAAGAAGAAGAAGAAGATATATTTGATTGATTGTCAACAAGTAATTCACATAAAAACATAACTTAAATATCTTAAAGATATCATAAATATTATATAATACCGGTATATATCAACTCATTCAGTCAATTAGTCTATAATTATTTAATTTAATTTTTTCATATGAGATAAACGAGTACTCATTAATATTGTTATATATATACTGTATATATATATATATATATATATATATATATATATATATATATATATACAGTATATATACTTTATATAAGTTTTTTTCTCAATTTTTATTTAATAAAACTTATTATTGTTATCAAAAATTAATTACACACTCGCAAGATATCTACCGGAAATATAAAGTTTATGATTTAAAATTTTTGAAAATTTTATAATTAATTAACTATTATTTATTAGTATATTATATATAGTATTAGTCAATTAATATTGCGAAAAACAGATATTTTTGGAAAACAATTAATTTAAATAATAATTAACACTTTTTTCAAAATAATAACTTATTATTAATAAGTTTTACTAAAAAAAGTTTTTAAAAAAACTGCACGAATATTATTATTATTATTAAAAATATTTTTTAATTAAATTTACACAAAAGTAGTTCTTTAAATAGTTTTTGTACAAAAAATAGTTTTTCTCTGTTTTTTATATTTCCCCAAAAATATGTGGCAATCAATTAAAATTAATGTGAAAAATAGTATAAAAACATAAGACTCTCTCTCTCTCTCTCTCTCTCTCTTTCTCTATCTCTCTCTCTCTCTCTCATCTCTCTCTCTCTCTTTCTCCTCTCCTCTCTCTTGACTTTATATTACTGAATTGTGTGCACATATCTTAACTTGAAATATATGCTCTTAAGTTAACTATTAAACTCTCAATATTTCACAATTTATTAATAGCCTAACACCGACACTCAAATAGCACCGGGATCTATGTACTATGTATAGTGCACTTGTAATGCTGTATTAACAGGGAGTAGATATAAATTCATAACAAATTTCATAGTAAATTGGCTTATTAACTTCAATGGCATTTCTAAATGTGTGTGTGTGTGTGTGTGTGTGTGTGTGTGTGTGTGTGTGTGAGCCGGGACAGTGATTTCTAGCTAATACAACCCACATGAGTGAGAGCATTGGTAATGTTTATAATACAGTACGATATGTTTAATACATTAATAAAAAAAAATTGTACAAATAATGGAAAAGTTGTATTTTTATAACTAATTTAACACTATTTTTAATTAGCTAATAAATATTTTATTACTACTAATTAATTAATTATAGAATTGTTTTATTATGGAAATAATTTTGAAATTATCAAATATCAAATTTTTAAGATATAAAAAAATATATATAATAATAATATAATAACTTATACAATATATCAGGAAATGAAATAATATTAATTTATGGGAATTTATTAAAAATATTTTTAATATTGTTTTGGATATATATATTAAAAAATAACTTTAATTATAAAATATTTTTGATTTTTATTAATCAATTGAAATATCATTCTATTAGTCAATTTAATAGATACTGTAAAATACTATAGTTATTATTATAGCTATTTCACTGTATGTTATACCTGTATAATATATAATTTATTATTATTTTTAAATATAATAATTTGTCTGTATTATTATTATTATTATACAATAAAAAAATAATAGCATTTTAATATAGTACACAAAATGAATGTACCATAAATTAAATTTTTTGAGTTTTAACTTTTTAAAAAAATAAAATAAATAATTTACAATTAAATTAGTCGTTAAATTTTATTGTACCGGTACAATATATATATAAATTGGACAACAAATTAAAGTAAGTGCAAGTTTAGTTGATTTCTGGTTTATTATAAATATAAAATATAAGTTATAAATAATAATAATAATCAAATTGAATTTTTGAAATTGATTATTATGAAAAATAGTAAAAATATTTTTAGCACAATATTTTCTCCTTAAAATTTGATATTAATTATTCATTATAAAATTATTGTTATATATTTTTGTTTATAAATATTTAGTATAAAATAAATAAAATAAAAAATGGCATTTATTTTGAATAATGGAAATTCAAATGGTTTTAATCACTAATATGCAGTATTAATATTATTAGTATTATAAAAAATTTATAGTATTATTGATAAAATAAATCTTAAAAAAGAGATATCAAAAATAACTAAATAATAAAAAAATATTAGTGAGGAAAACAATTTTTCAAAAATCATCAATATTTATAGTATTTTATATTAATATTTGTATAAAAAAAGAAGATTTATTGTGAATTTATCTATTTATTTATTATATGTAATGGCAAGTAATGCTAGAAAAGCTCTTTTTTAAAAATAAAATGTATTTTATTTTCCTTATTATTATTAGAAGAGAGAAAAAAATAATAATAAATAAATAAAAATAAAGTAAATAAATAGTTGTTTTTAGCAAACATTATACCTGTATATCTACTATAAGTTTAAATATTGTGCTGATTTAAAATGATTTTTTTTATATATATTTATATTTTTGCTTAATCTATGGCTTTAGAAAAAAAATTGTTTAGCGATTATAGAAATAAAAAATATATATTATATTTAAGTAGTTGTTGTCCGATGAGTGAAATGAACTCCAGATATAACTAAAAAATTATAAGTGATTTATAAAACATTTGCTATTTTAATGCAATACTTATATTAATATAATAAATAATAATAATAAATATTTTTTAAAAAACTTTTTTATCCGATAAGTAAGTCATTGAAGAATAATTAGCACAAATTGGGCACAAAATGTGTTTATATTTTTACATTATATTCAACTTTTAATATCAATTCACTAACTAAAATAATAATATTGTTATTATTTATTTTTATGTGATTGTATTTAATTCAATAATTTATTTGCCATATTTGTTAATTAACTGAAGAGAGAAAGAGAGAGAGAGAGAGAGAGAGAGAGAGAGAGAGAGAGAGAGAGAGAGAGAGAGAGAGAGAGATAGAGACTAAAGAGTTAGTCATAAATTATAAGAAAAACTATATATTTTCAAACAAAACTAGAAAACGCAAAACAAATTGAAATAAAAATAATACTAAATAAAGTTTTTTACATAAAAAAGTCTGAAAAAAATAATATTAAATATATAGAAAAGTTCATGTATTGTATGCATTGCTTTAATAGAAAGTTTTTCTTTAATTTTATGTTTTGCTTTGTGTTTTAGGCACTTGTTTTGCAACTAAAAAACTAATAATTTTTATTTATAAAATAACATACAATTTGGTTCAATGAGCTTACAGTCAAATATAATAATATATAATTTTTTATGTCAAAAATAAGTATAACATTGCTTTTACTCTCTTTTTCGCTCTCTCTCTCTCTCTCTCTCTCTCTCTCAATATTATTATCATTTGCGAGTGAAAGTATTGTTTGCAAAAAATAATAATAGTAAACAAAAAATAAAACACAATTTTTAATTTGCTTACAAAACCGAAAGCAAGCTATCTTTTAATGTGATTAGTAGCCCATAAAAAGCTAATTTTTTGTGTGTTACTTATATTTATTTAGTTTTGTTGTTGTTGTTGTTATTGTTGCTAAATTTCATTATAATATAATTATAAATAAAAATAATAATTTTCAAAACGCAGTACATATTTGTGCGTGAAATTTATGCCAAAAAAATTATAGTTTTTAAAATTTATGAATTATTTAATACTAATAATACTAACAATAAATAATTTTTTCAGTAATTATTAGAAACTCATTACATATTCACTGATCATAAATCCTAACAAAAATACGTGTATTTTTATATAAACTTTTATTATATATATATTGTTTAATATTATTATTTTCCGTCATATTTCTTGCATTAATCCCTTTTTATGGGTAATTACGGAAATGTTAACACATTTTTTTAGAAAATAAATAAAATATATATTAATAGTGAAATCAAACATAAATCCACTTTTTTATAATTAAATTTTGCTTTTATTAATCATTTTATTATTATTATTGTTGTTTTTTAAAAAAGAAAAATGTAAATTAAATTTATTGTTTGGTATTAATAGTAAATAATAATAATAATAATAATAATATATATATATTTTATACAATCATAAAATATGAACAATAAATAAAAATAAATCATAACCTAATATTATGAAAATATTAAAAATAATAAAAAGAATATACAGAATATATATATATAAAAATATTTAATACAAATAACATTATAAATAATAATTAAAGCAATAATTTAAACAATCATTTTCGGTGACGGGTTGGAGACCAAAATTGATCGGCATTGTCGGGACCGTCTTCCCATGAGGACTGGGATGACGTGGATAGTCGGTGAGCACTTTTGGCCCATTGGGACGGAGTTAGACTCCTATCCACTGGTGAACACAATGACCGAGGACTGGGATGTGACGAACACTGAGATCCCGATAAGTCACTAAATAGTGACACACGACTAGCCGATGACGAATTAGTGGCGTCCAGTGATCGCGGATCCGATGACACCGACGAATATTTTGCACCATTTAAATAGTGTTTGTGTAGACTTCCCGTATTAGTATAGTCTCTGATGTCAAACGACTCTAATGGCAGATGTGTTAATGTGAACACTCGGGATGTCATACGACTACTGATTGGAAATATTGGCTTTCGTTTGTTATCACTTCGGCTAAATGAAATCGGTTGACCATCATTGGCTGTCATTGGCGACGTGGCCGCCGATGATGCCGATGACGACGACAATGGACAGGTACTACGGGATGGTATACCTCTCAGAAAGTTCGATACATTGATGGCACTGTCGTTATTGCAGTCATTGCTGTTGCTGTTGTTGTTGTCATGAATTGTCAAATATTTTTTGTCGGAAAATTTAAATTTTTCAGCTCCGGGTATGTTTGGCGGCTTCATTATCATTTTTTATTTATATATGCAAACAAACACAATAATAAAAATAATAATAATTGTAAATTCATTCAACTTTTCATCGGTTGGTTTTCACAGTTTCAACAATTAGTAGTAATAGTAGTAGTTTTTTAGGGGTACCGTCACCTCAGCGGGCGATGCCTTTTCACCTTAAAAGAGAGAGAGTGAAGTCAATGTTTTTTTTGTTGTTTATTTGTTTCACTGACTAATATAACAAATTATATATCGACTTGTTTTTTTGAAAAAGACAAATACCCAGTAATTCACGTATTTTTCGATGAATAAAATAAAATAAAAATATTAAAAATTATAATAATTTTTTGTGTTATCAATTTGACGTTTAAAAAGCTTTCCATTTTTAACTTTTTCCACAAATAAAAAATAAAAACAATTTTACACTAATATATATATATCAAAAATGATTTTTTTGTTGGTTTTTGATACACATATTTCACAGATCCGATGAGTGATGTGTTTATAGCCAGAAAAATATATATATATCCACTAATTCTTCGTCTGAATAAAACAACTTCTTTAGGGTCTCTATAATATCTTTACCAATACTTCACGTCTTAATCTCTTTTAATAATCTATTTATAGCTTATGGCTAATAATGGATAGTCAGTCAGTCACTTGTGATGATGATGTTGTTGTTGTTGTTGTACACTATGTTATGTAATGTTTGATTACAAAGTATAGTATAGTATTACTTATTAACAAAAAAAATTATAAACTTTGATTTGTACAGTCATTTACATACTGAATATACATGAGTTTATTTTGTAGAAAAACTGACAAAACTTGAAACTTTTATATATATTTATAAATTTATATATATTTTGAAGATTTTTATTTTATTTTAAATGTTTATAATAAAAATAAAAACACTAACACTGAGATATCTATATATATACCGACACACCAATAGAGCTCAGGGATCACACCATAATACTAGTCAAGCGGTGTATTTCAAACTGATCTGAGTTTATATATGAGATGAGAGCTGTATTTCTTTTGAGGGAATCTTTTGAGAAAACCAATTGAATTCAAGGTCTTGTAGTCTTCTCTCTCCTTCTTCTCTCACAAGAATTGGTAATCACTTTTTCGGACCACTCTTTTGATGGGTCTCTTTCGGGTGCATTAAAAGTCGTTCATATATTTAGCACATTTAGGACTCATATAGTGGTATATAGTCTTTAGATAGAAGTTATAGATCACAACAATTGTAACAATTATTCTTCTTTTTTTTCTCTTGTAGTTGTTGTAGTGGTGATAGTGTTGGGTCGTCACTGTTGGATATCTATCCGATGGACAGTATGTTAGTCTCGGGGCGTTTCAAGTATTTACTCTTTATAGCCACAAGACTCTCTCTATCGTCAATCAAATATCACAAGTGGTGGGCAGTATATGAGACACACACACACATACAATGTCACACTGTGACAAAAAAAAGTTATTTATTTATTATTTTTTTTGTTAAAAACGACCGCAAAAACGGTGATATATATCCACTATATTATCTATCAAAAATGGTAGGATTGGTGTCGGCATAACCTCACAAATAGTTAACACAGTCGGGGGATCCGTGAAGAGTAGGCTTTTGGTGTGTGTGTGAGGAGGATATACAGTATAAATAAAAATAGTAAACTTATATATACAGTATATTTTTGAAGTGTATACCGTGTCTAAAGTAGTCTATGAATGAATACTTATAGATCTCTCCCTCTATTCATATATATATATATAACTTAAAACTTTGCTTTTAAAGTGAATGGATTATTGCCTAAAAATATTGAACTAATATTCACAACAACCCGTTGAGGACCAGTTGGTGCACACCATAGGGTATAATAAATTAGAAAAATCACAATCAACTCATTCCAAGCTGTAGTTCCAATGTCTCACCAATTTATTAGTTGTTTAAGTGAAAAGTGTTTCCTCTTTTTTTCCGCTATAAACCACTCGTGGAGTTATTAGTATTATTATTATTATTATTGCTGTTATACACACAAGAGAGAGAAAGAAATATATGAGAAAAATATTTTTCAACAATTTTTTTTGTTCAACTTATATAACAGGCATTACATAAAAAGTTATATATATTTTTTAAAAAATACACATACATTATATATATATATACAGGTGTATAGTATAACGTTTATAAAGTTTATAGCATTATAAATTTATATATATAAATGTCTGGATTTACAACTATTTTATTTTAGTGATGCACTTTGCGGTCATTTAATGTCTTATAATAATATTATTATTTTATATATAATGTCAGTTCACATGATATTCGTAATGAATGTTTGCAACAAAAATTTTTTTTTTGCGATATTATTGTTAGTATTAGAACTACAACAACAAAAAAGTTCATGACATTGATTACCAAATTAATAATCTAAATGTTTGCAACAAATGCACTGATAATATTTGTTTTATACTTCACGTATAATAAAATAGAGAGAAAGAGAGAAAAAAAGAGATATTAAAATAAGATTATTTATAACATTTCATTCAATTATTTCTTTAATACACTAAAATAATATTATCTTAAATCTCTGTTTCATTTAAATTATTTGTTTTTTAAGATAAAAGAAAAAAAATTGAGAGAAAATATTTTGAGAGACATTAAAATTTTTTATATTAAAATAACTCTAAATATACGATCTCTCTCTCTCTCTCTCTCTCTCTCTCTCTCTCTCTCTCTCTCTCTCTCTCTCTCTCTCTATTTATCTGAGACATTGAAAAAGCTAATGACCTAAAAGAGATGATTAGATGATAAACTTATTATCTAATGTCTAATTATTTGAATACACACTGGTCTTTAACATTGTGTTAAATCTATTACTTTTTTATACACTTAATCTAACACTTTCCACTATTGCGTTCAAATAAAATATTATAAAAAAGTTTATATAATCTATAAATATTTATAACAAAGATGTCAACAAAAGTTATTCACTATTTTTTTAAATATATAATAATATAAGTTTATATGAACTGTAGTAACTTTGACACAAGTAGTTTATCTATTAATATACCGATATTTCCTATGAGATAATATAAACTAATAATAATAATAATAATAGTAACAATTTTTAAAACAAAAATATATATATATATAAAAATATTTGTTTCGCTTATTTAATATGATTGACGGAAACCACACACTCGGTTATATGAAAACAATTATATTTATAGCAACACAACAACAAAAATTAAGATCCAAAACATTTCATGTTATGTGTACTCTATATGCCATTCAATGTCTATAATATCATATAAATTAAGTTATATATAAATATATTATACATTATATATATACAGTATATCAACATTAGATCATTTCTAAAGTACTTTTTTTTAATCTAACTTTAACTTTATTTTTGCAAAACTTATTTCATTTTAAAACAAGTATTTAAGTTTTAGTATTAGTATTATTATTATTGTAAATATCGCTTATATTTTTCCACTCAATTAGAGTTGAGAGATAGGTTTCGCTGGGAGTGATATTTATTTATTTTGATTCAGCAATTCATTAGTAAATTCCTTGTGATTGACCGCACCTAAGGATAGTATACTTGGGAAAGGAAGTGCCGGTTTGGTTATGTTTGGTTGTTGTGTGAAAAATTGATGGCTTAAACTTATATACGGTATGAGCGTAAATAGTCACAAAAAGTTTAAGGAGGAACGGTATGTTATGGCAAATAGTTTTTTTATATAAAAAATTTCTCTCTCTTTCTCACTCGATATATAGCATCCAATTTAATTAAAAGAAAACTATTTTTTTAATTTTTTTCTTATTTATAGAAATATACTGTATTTCATGTTATCTTTTATTTAATATTAGTTTTTTCTCTCTCGTGTATAAAAAACTGATTTTATTTTTTAAAATTTTATTTTGCAGTGATTTCTTATTTTTCATTATTACTGTATATTTAACTTTAATGTATATTGATTTTGATTAGCGCTGAATCTGACACATGCATTAACTTTTTTGTTTAATTTTTATATATTATATATCTATATATTTAACTCTCAAATTATACGGAAAATTAATTTAAACTCAAAGATAATTTGACTGAAAAAATAAAATAAATTTTTTTTTGATTATAAATTACTGATATTGAGATAATTAAAGGCATTCATTATTTATTTGAATTTTCATAAAAACAGTTTTATATTAAATTAATTTTATTTTATTTATTTTTTTCATAATTTAGTTCGTATGATATCTCAACAAAATTTTAATATTTATATAATCAGACGTTGCATATCATCAAAAAACCATATATTTATTATTATTATTATTAAATTATATAAATTATAGCACTTTTTTATTAACGGGCGAAAGGAGTGCTGGTAACGGGTCGTATTACAATATAAACACTCAGTTTTTTTTATCTCCCTTTCCTCTAACCATAAAGATTTTTTTTTTGACGGCGACCTTAACCTTTAGAGAAAAGTTAGTGTCAATAATAATATGTATATATTTTCCCTAAAAAATAAAGACCAATTGATGTACACATTTGAGATCAGATAAGAGTAGACTAGAGAAGACAAATATGCTTTTAAAAAAAAGTTATTTCGTTTGCAAAAATATATCTAAAAAAATAAAGTTGTGATAATTGATTGGCAATAGAGTTGTGTGCGTATATGAGTTTGTGTCGACGGGGGTATTGAATGGCGCCAATGAGGACATACACCCTATAGGGGTATACATACAAACAGAAAGAGAGAAAAAAAGAAGAAAGAAAAAGAGGAAGAGATAGAAAGATAGTAAAATATGACAAAAAGCAGCGCTTAAATCACTCAATAATCATATTGGGATCACATTTTTGTAGTAAATTATAAACATAACATATGAAATGTCTGTTTTATAATTTTAATTATAATAATAATAAATAACATGATTTAAGACACTTAAGACACCACACATACACACACACACACTATGAATGTCTGTCTTATGAATCACTAGTTGAGAGAATGTCACAAAAAAACAAAAAAAAAACTTGAAATAATATAACATTATATAATACCGATATATAAAAATTTAACGATATATACCATACATAGCTTTCACTTACATTTTGTTGTTGTTGTTGTTGGTTCACATGAAAATTATTTTTCATTCACTTTCCTCTAACTAACTAATCTATCAGTGGAAAAGTCCGAAAACTTATATATATATATATATATATATATATGTATACAATTTATATATACATAAATTTTAAAACACTACATTGAGTGTATTATAATAATAATAATAATAAAACAAAAATTATTAGCAAAACATTTTTCTTTTAGTGAGAGATCCTCTTTAAACTGGATTTGTTAAACTCTAATGCCATTACAATACATAATCATAATAATCGTGTAGAAGTTGTACACCTGTTTTTTGGCAATACCCCTCAAACTTTTAAAACATTATACAGTATATTATACCGTATATTATAAATATTACACATATATATGACTATTATATAATATACTATTAGACAATAATGTAGTTTAAAATTTTTTTTATATACAGTATATTTATACATACCATTCACTATCTCTCATAGGAGTGTTCTCTCAATATACAGTATATAATGTATTGATATACAGTATATAATATACAGTATATGAAAACTATTAGACAAAAAAAACTTTCACTTGTTTTTCTCACTGATAAAGTTATAGCTTATAAGTGTAGACCAGTCACTATCGCCGGTTATTATAATACTGAAGCAGTCACTGGCACTGGTATGTCTAATTAGTTGCCGTCACGTAAAGTGTTACACAATTCAATTGGAAATATAATAAATTATTGGCAAACGTATATAAAAAAATATACTATTTTTTGCAAAGAGACACTGTATATAATTTAGATATACTGTACACATATGTATAAAGTGTAGTCTACATTATATACCGTATATTTAGTGTCAAAAACAAAAACACACACTCATACAGACAGTGATGTAATAATATGGGAATAAAAGAGTTTTTTTAATTTGAAATCAAAAAATACATTTCAAAAAACTCTACTTACTTATAACGTATTGGTTAAACCAGTACTTGACTTTCACGTCGATTGATGATTCATACCTGTGCTATGAGTTGTTTCCCTCCAAGTGCTTCTAGCATCCACTATAATATAACGACTCTCCTATTTTATATATACATTTGAAAACAACATTAAAAACATATGAACTCAACTGTTTATGCATATATACAATATATATACTGTATATAAAAGTTAATGGATTGCACAGAACTGGGAGTTTAGCCCAAAACCACTTTCCCAAACAAACTTTTCTAATACATACATACAAAATATGGTAATAATAATAATATTGTAATAACAATAATAATAATTGTTTAGTTTCAGAGTTTTTGTAGATTCAGAGCACATATACTTTGGGAGCTTTGGGAACAACAACTGAATCCTCATTTGATGTGTATGTTTGCTCAGTCACTACAGTTTGAATCAGTAGATCCATCCGATATATGACTAACAGTTAATATTTTTCAACAACTCTCACTCTTTTACAATATAATAGATAGACTCAGACTGTTATATACAAGAGTGCAGACAAAACACAACAGTCTTTTTCTCTCTCTCGGAAAAAACAGTCGTTTTGTACGCCTTTGAAGGAGGAGTACAGTCTTAGGGCTCGTTATTTGGCGTTAAACTGTTCCGACACCAGAACCTCGCTTACTATCCTTGTCTCTCTCTCTCTCTCTCTCTCTCTCTCTCTCTCTCTCACACACACACACACACACACACATACACTCTCCCAGCGTTCAATCACTTGATGAAGAGGACTGTTAGTTAGTCTATTAATATTGGGATGCAAGCCCTCTGAGAAAGAGAGTCCATAGCGTAGAGTCAATCAAAAAAAAATAATTGTGAAAAAACTTATATATAAATTATTATTATATACTTTTTCCGTACACAACCTTACAGTTCGTTAGTTCACTAATTAAAGAGAAACTTTTTGTTGTCTTTGAGTTTAGTTTTTATGATAATGTATATAAAATTACAGTTAAAACTCAAAAAAGACATTTACTATAGAAAAAAGCTTTGTCTTAAAAAACACAATTTTTTTGTTGATGTCTTTTTCATGTTTTATGTGTTACAAAATACTTTAACCGAAACACAAATCATAAAACGACAAAATTTTCAAACATTTAAATAAAGCTTTGGCTCAACTATATTATAGTTGGACTATAACTAACTACACACAAACACACAGTACTACATGAGGACAGTTGGTTTGTTAAGCATTTTGGTAACCCACGCATTCATTGACAGTACAGTAAACCAGATGTGAAAAGTTGTTTCCATTGGTGATGTTTATATGGTGTGTATGTAATGTGTGTGTGTGTGTGTGTGTGTGTGTGTGTGTGTGTGTGTGTATGTATGTATGTATGTATGTATGTATGTATGTATGTGTATGTGTATGTGTATGTATGTGTATGTATGTGTATGTATGTGTATGTATGTGTATGTATGTGTATGTATGTGTATGTATGTGTATGTATGTGTATGTATGTATGTATGTGTGTGTGTCTCTGTGTGCATATGTTTAGTCCCAGCAATTGAAATGTTTGATATGTTGAGCTGACGTAACCGTCTATGGAATGCTAGAAAATTGTAGATTGAATTGATGGGCACCGGGAGGTAGAGAGGAAAAGAGAGGGTAACTAATGAATGCTTAAATTAAGGCACAGAGAGCTAGATAGGCATGAGATATGTTAGCGACTGATAGATTGGCAGAGCCTAGGAATCCATAAACCAGTGATCTCTCTGTAAAAGAGTAAAAACTATAGCCGAAAAAAATTATCAGATAATAACTCAGTTTGTGTTTATGGTCTGTAGGGTTAGCCCTATGGACACAAACAAGCCGTACACCAGTAGTGCTGACAATATATACAAATATATGTATATATAATTTCACTAATAAATCACTGATAATAACAGTTCCTAATTCTTCAAACAATTCAAACAATCATTAATTTCTCTGATTTGTTGGTAAAAACACAAATCCCTTGTGTTTTTGTTTAAAAAAATGTTTCATTTGAAGGTTGAACCCATTTATAATTTATATATATTATATATATTTTTTTTAAATAATCTGAGAGTAAAAACATATTAATGAAAACCACAGGAAATAGGTTTTTAAGTAAAAGAAATATTTAAAAAAATAAACTAAAAAAATAAACACTGAATATAATAGAGAAAGTTTGTTAGGGTTTGAGACCACCAGAGATCTGATGGGACGACAGGTAAAAACGAAAAACATTTCTCAATAGTAGCGTAGGCTAAGCACATAACACACACATAATATTGTATATACAATATATATCTGCCCATAAAAAACAACCATAAAAAACCTTTTTTGTTGGTTACGACCTGTCGATTGAATTAAAAGCAAAAGTTTTTTAAATGGTTTTTCGAAAAAAAAGAAAAGAAAAAAATCATAAAAATAATGAGATTTGTTTTTAACACTCAAATGCAAACACCTTTTGATTATATAAACACACTGTGAATATTATACAGTATATCCAATGTGTGTGTGTGTGTGTGTGTGTGTGTGTGTGTGTGTGTGTGTGTGTGTGTGTGTGTGTGTGTGTGTGTGTGTGTGTGTGTACACTGTATATGCGTGTGTTTTATGTATTTATAGCTAAGATTTTCAATATCAGTCAAAATAAAAAATATTTATAAAACAAAATATCAAAAAAATATAAATGTTTGAACCTTCAGCCCCGCTATTTATTTGTTAATTTATTATTATTAAAATATTGTTTGATAAGTCTATTCACGCTATATGTATACATATCTCATCAACAACTCATTTTGAAATAAAAAAATTTATTACTAAATAATAAATAATTGTAAATAAGCAGCAAATAAAACAGATACAAACATACATATATACAATATTTAGATATTTAAAAAATATGTGTCTTTTATATATTTTGCAAACATATATTGAATGTCACGAAAATCCTGTTTAGACAGAGATCTGTCGCCAACAAAATAAAAATGTTTTTTATTATTGATATTTAACTCGCAATTCTTGTGTCGATAGATCCCCCCCGACTGCACGTCGACTGACTGCACAAATAAGAGCAATAAATGTGGTGTGGATAATGATGTGGTGCCCACATGTCTAACCCCAACAACACTCTGGATAGATAACCCGTAACCCCCCCCCCACTACCATTTTCAAGTGATTACTAGAGATACTGGTAGATATATTGTAGAGTACAATAGGTATTGGAATTGTTAGGGCATCGGTAATAAGTAATCTCCTATTTTGTTGTTGTTTTTGTTGAAACCCCTATTTTTTACTGCTGATAAGTCACATTTAGTTGGTTATGGATTGTCTTATAATTGTTTAGGAAGTGCTGTCAAATGGATTTCATCGATGGATTTACTTAAACAATAATAAAAAAAACTATGCATATACACGTACAGTATATACACAGTATAATAGTTATACAGTACATACATATGTATTATATATATATAATACGATCGCCCATAAGTTATATGGTATTAGATATACGGCACAGAATTCAAATAGTAGTACACAAGTGTTACAACATTATCATTGATTTGGTAATTGAGTCAAACGCTCCGGCATTATATTGACTCTATGTGTGCTACTTTACCAGTCATATGACGGGGCAATTCATCAAATGAATCGACCATAAGATTTATTTGAATAGAGAGTCGACCCTTAGTTTTTATATACGTTTTTAAGATAATACGGTTCCCACTCTCTTTCTCTCAACTGTACTGTACATATCATTCATTTAAATGAGGTGTGTATGTGTGTGTGTGTGTGAGAGAGAGAGAGAGAGAGAGAGAGAGAGACCCACACTCTTGAGGAAACTTATTTCGGATTATTGTCGACCTAAAAGGTCTCGTGAGTTCTCTCAACAGTTCCCATCCCTGTACCAGCAATATAACACAACCAGCAAAAAACACAGAAATGGTTTGCATTTTTTGTGTGTCTATCTCTGGTTATATGCCGACCCGCTGCTGATCTTTATTATAATAAACTAAATGTATATATTTTTTGATGGATTGTGGGCTGAAATCGCATCATATCGTCGCTCTCTTTGACTATTATTCCTCTCTTTTTTTTATTATATCCAATATATTTACGTATTCTTAGGGCTTCAATAGTAAGGTGAAGAAGCAATTGTTCATCAGATACTGTAGTATAAAGTTATAATACCCGACCCTCTCCTACCACTCGTGTCAATGCATTTATCAATTGTATAATCTTTTTTTAGTGTATATATATACAGTATATATATATATATATATATATATATATATTATCAGTACTCTGTATCTTAAGTTTTTTTGTGGGTTAAAATGGTTTTAACAAACAAATAATAATAATAATAATTAAATAAATAAAATATTCATACAAAAGACACTAAAAAATCTTTTTCATATAATTTTTTTTCGAGAGAGAGAAGGAAATGAATGAAATAAAAAATAATAAAATAAATAATAAAAAGATCAGTAAATTGATGACTGATTTAGCATAACATCAGTTTTAGTGAAAAATGTTTTTTTTTAAATATTTATATTTTTCTTTAAGCAATAGTGTACACACATAAAGTCAGCGCCAAAGAGTCATTGAATAAAGCCATTGACGATATCAGTAGTGTAACACAAAAAAAGTGGAGATTTAAAAAAACCAGAAATTCATTTATTAAATTACTGAAAAAAACTTATATATTGTATAATATATTATATGTATAATAATATACAGTACCTTAAATATAATCAGCATTTTATAATATATACATATAGTACCCGAAATCCCTATTTTAATGCATTTAATTTTGTGTTATTTTTTTATTAAATACGGGTTAAAGCGTTTTTTAAGCAAATTTTTTTATTGAAAAAATTTTTGTTTGAAAATAAAGTATTTTCTTTTTCTATGGCTATTAATAAATTTATTTCTATATATATATAATCTATTGCACATTATACATGTATAATAGTGCGTATAATATTAAATGATGAAAAATTTATATATATTAAATAAAGTATTTATTTTATTTTTTTATTATTTAAACGTTTTTACCTCCAATGATGCCTAAGATGTCGTCGACAGGAATGCAATCAATGGCCCGAAGGCTCTTCAAAATAAAGATAAGAAAGCAATTATTAAATCCAATGAAAATTATAGCATTCAATGACTTACATTTTGAGAGACACAAAAAAAATAATAATATTATATAAATTACTTGTAGTGTATATTAATTATTATTGTATACATACAGTACTATACAGTAAATAGCACTTCAATTAGTTATTAGTTTTATTATTATTTTATTTTAAAACTTATTTTCAATAAACAATTAGCAGCGGCGATATATATATATTAAATATGTGATATTTATATAAAAAACTTATATTTTATTTATATTTAATTATAGCTTAAAACTCAACAACAAAAGTAAGAAAAATATTTTTATATAGTATTTTCAAACACTAAAAATTATTAGACTAATTAAATTAAAAATAAAATTTGTTTACTTTAAAAACGATGATTAGCTGATAATATAAAACTTTATATTTTTTCATTATGACTACGACTACTACTTATATAAATTACTTTATAAATGATACTAATATTATATATATATAATGGTTTTTATTCAATGATCAACAAAAAATTGCTAATAAATGAGAACATAATGACAAATATAAACATATCTTTTTAAAAAAAATGTTTAAACAAATCATAAAAATTCCTATTCATTATTACATTACAACATATAATAATAACAATAACAATAAAAAAAACTTAATTCAGTGTAAAAATTGTTTTTTATCAATACATTTACAAATAATTCAATAATATTGATAAAATAAACACTGTTATTGAATACATATATTAGATGCCAATAGAAAATAAAGTGTGTTTTCAATCAAACAATTTATTTACACAATTTTAATTGACATAATATGATATTATTGTTTATACAGAAAGATATGCAATATTTACATTAAAAATATAAAATAAAATAGTTTTGTTAACTTAAAAAATTAGTTTTTAAATTGCATTTAATAAATATAACAAAAACTATTAATATATAATTATTATCACTTTTTACTGACAAACTCGCAGTCTTTGATATAAAATCGGAGCTCTTTGTCCACCCATTCGTTGTCACCCGAAATACCGATACGTTTACGGCAAACAATGTCTTCCTGACCGACAGTTTTTGCGGATTCAATCCAAATGTCATTACTGGATGTAATGTCCACTTTATTCAGGTTATCCTTATTGATGTCAAACGCGATACACAATTTTGCCGGACCGTTGGCCAACATTTTCGGCTTAATTGGTCTATCTGTAGGAGACGACGATATTTCCGGGCGCTTTCGTTGCAGAAACCGATTACGCAATTCAATCATATGTTGACTGCCGTCCACTGGCTGTACGGCTCTCAAGAGTACAGCCGAACCTTCGGCTTCGGCCGAAAGATTGAAACAATAATACATACCATAAGTAAAGTATACATAAATAGTTCCCGCATTCATAAACATTGGTTCATTACGGGCCGTCCGACGGCCACCATATGAATGACAGGCTTTGTCTTCACTGCCCAAATAGGCCTCCGTCTCGACAATACGTCCTCTAAGAATGGGTCCATCGGGTGATAGTTTTCGGCACAGAATTTGTCCCAAAAGTGTTTTCGATAATTCAATACACGATTTATTAGCAAAAAACTTTGCCAACAATCGCTGGCCGACAACGGGAACAACAACATCGGTAACCGTCGGAAAAAACGGACTAAACGTTTGGTCAGTTATGTTGTCTTCAATTTGACTATTAAGACGTCTTCTTTTAATTTTATTATTAATAATAATAATCTTTGGTTTTCTGTTATCTGTTTTTGCCATCACTTTCAAGGGTTACATCACATCTCATATCATATAATATATTAAAATATTATTAATTATATGATTAATGATGTCTTTTACTAATCGATGATATCATCAATAATAATATGATTGTATCGTTGATTGTATCAAATTGTTAGATAACTTGATTCTATGTATACTATACTACAGTACTATATAGGGGAAATGGTCTCAATAAGGGACGCCAAAAAAAATATAAAAAGTTAAGCAATTGTTAGGATACGAGATCTGACAATAAATAATGTCTACAAAATTAATAAATAAATAAATTATATAATACACACAAAAAATTAAATACAAAAATTATTTTCATTTATTTTTATATTCTATCTACACAGAAATAATAAAATGTTCATTTTAAATTTTTGTAAATATTATAGATATAATACTACCGATTCCCACAATTATAGTTACAAAAATACAGTACAACATATTTATAAGTTTAAAAAATTATAAAAAATTAATTTAAAATATAACATTATTTATAATCATTTAAAATGTTCAAAATCACAAAAACAAGATAATAATAATCAAATAATTAAATACAATGGTTGGTAGAGCTCTTTAAGGATTTTAAAATCACCAACCTATTGGGTTGGTAGAGCTATTTAAGGAATTTAAAATCACTAACCTATTGGGTTGGTAGAGCTATTTAAGGAATTTAAAATCACTAACCTATTGGGTTGGTAGAGCTATTTAAAGTATTAAAATCATTAACCTATTGGGTTGGTAGAGCTATTTAAGGAATTTAAAATCACTAACCTATTGGGTTGGTAGAGCTATTTAAGGAATTTAAAATCACTAACCTATTGGGTTGGTAGAGCTATTTAAGGAATTTAAAATCACTAACCTATTGGGTTGGTAGAGCTATTTTCGACTATTCGAATATCTCGAATTGAGGAAGTCGTACAGCTATGTGGGTGGTATGAAGAAATTGGATGCTATTAGATCTACCATCACTATTCATGATTTTAAATTCCTTAAATAGCTCTACCAACCCAATAGGTTGATGATTTTTACTCCTTAAATAGCTCCACCAACCCAATAGGTTGATGATTTTTACTCCTTAAATAGCTCTACCAACCCAATAGGTTGAAGATTTTTACTCCTTAAATAGCTCTACCAACCCAATAGGTTGATGATTTTTACTCCTTAAATAGCTCCACCAACCCAATAGGTTGATGATTTTTACTCCTTAAATAGCTCTACCAACCCAATAGGCTAATCTTAAATATATAATGTCATATTTATACGTATTTATTATTTTTACGGATTATTTTACATTAAATATAATTTATAAAAAATTATTTTATTTTTTAGTGTAACTTGATACACTGAAACTTGATAATTTGTATTTTAAATTTTTTTTATTTTCATTATACTGTACAATCAAAATTTACTATTATTTTTTTGTGTGTAAAAATTATATTTATAAATAAAACTAATTTGATGACGTTATTGACATTCATTTGTTGATAAAAATTATTTTGAATTACATGTCCCTAATTGAGATTTTCGGCTAATTATTGATTTATAATTAAATAATTAATACATAGATTAATAAAAGTGATTATTTTTGTTATTAATATTTTTACTAATATATTATTTATGTATAAAAAATAATAGTTATAATTTAATTATACTAAATATTGTTTAATTTAATTTCAAACTTAATGTTAAATAAGGGATGAAATGGTGATATTTTGTGTTATCTTTGTTGTCAATTAATTGTTGATTTTGTGATAAAATTATAACAATTTTGATTCACTTGTCTTATAAAGTATATCCTTAGGTTTGTAATGACATATAAATATCAACAATTGTTTAATTATTTTGTGATTAAAATTAATTTAAAGTATGCCGTCCCTTATTAAGGCTATCCCCAATTAGGATTATTTACACTATTGTGTATGCATTTCATTGACTTTTTTTCAATGACAACATTTTTTTCTACAATTATTTTAATTTCAATTTATTATTCAACAAAAATCATATGTTTTTTATATCAAACATATATTAAATGATATTTTAAATACAGTATAAATTATAATAAGTTAATACACTGTATATGTGTACAAAAAAAAGTAGAGATGTTCTACACATATAATACAATGAAAAATCATTCATAGAATCTATTGATGACATTAAACAAATAGCGGATAAATTGCTATATTTTAGTACAAAACAAAAATAGCCGGCGACACCTCTAAACGATTATAATATATCAATGTATAAAATTTTTTTACAAAATCCTGAGATGACAACAATGTAATAGAAGTCCTATTCATTAACTAAGTTATCATATTTACAATTAGAGTCTAAGCTTTACAGTCATTGTAAGCATTAAATATGATAACTTAGTTAATGAATAGGACTTTAAAATTAACATGTATTATTATACATTGTTGTCGTCTCAGGATATTGTAAAAAAATTTTATGCAATGTATTTATTTAATATGTATTGAAAATGATATAAAACAAAAAGTTCATTGAAATTGAACTTCAATTTCGATGCGATTTAATTACACAGTAATTGTATTGTATGTATATATAACTTATAGTCTATAAACTTATTTAGATATTAAATCAATGATATATTAATATCTATAACTATATACACATTATCGGTGGCGCCGTATGTGTCATACGATTGGCCGGCAATTGATTGACGCACTGATTGGCCGTTTCAGTGAATACTACTATACGGTCAACACTACAGTACAACAGTATAAACACATTATTATTATTGTTTGAAATAACACTTTCACTAACAAAACAAAACAAAAAACATCTGATTTTCTAAACATTGATTGAAATTTCTCAATGATTTTTAGACAACACATTCAATTCAATTCAATTCAATTCAATTCATTGCCATAACATTTAGGTCTTGAATTGTTTTACTAATTTTTTTTTTAAATAAAACATTTGTTACAGATTTTTATTAATTAATTAATTTGTTTTTTAATTTATTAGGCAATCAAATGTATGTCTTCTTAATAATGTAATAATTAAAGCGACAATTGAGGTGACAATTGAAACACACATAAGACTAATGTTTATTTAGTTAAGACTTTTTATTGTGTTTTGTTTACAAAAAATTATTGGCAAACCATTTGGTGATAAAGATATAAATATATATATAATATAATATTATATTATATATCGACTGCCAATTGATTAGCAAAATATGTATGACATGTGTCGAGTGTTTTAATTATAATTAATACAAACATTCAATAATATTACTAAAAACAACAAAATTGTTGCAATTTTTTTTTGGTTGCATTCAATTGAAGTGTTTTCGCAAGTATTTAGTGACTCATCTCAAGGCTTACCGTCTGTTTGTGTTTTTAAGAGACAAATCAGTGATTGATTTTGGAGACCGAAGAAGTTGTAACCGAAACACACACACAAAAAGTTGTGACAATTGATTGGTTTCGTATTAATCATAGGCTGTTGTCGTCGACACAATGCCAACCATTTCGGACATAAAAAGTGGCGAAAGTAGTGTCAACTCATTGACACCACTGTTGCGAAGTCAGGCTCAAGAAGCGGGTCAGCAATTCAATTACATGAGCATCGCATCCAACGACTTTACCGCTTCGGGATCATCAGTTCGCCGACCATTTCATTATCCTCCTGATCAACAAAATGTTGGCCAACTCGCCTATGGTAATCACAACTCGTGTGAGGCCAGTGTTACATACAATAGATACCGTTATTACAGCCGTTTGTCGGGCGTCCACACGGGTGCGGGTATGAGTGACTCAAATCGGCTACAAATACCAGACCATGTGATTCCCTGGTATTTCTATATACCGCGCATTGCCATTGCGGCCGAAACTACCGGCAATAAAGGTCTAAAACAGAGCAGTTTTGTGACCATATTTGCCATTTGGAATATACTGATGGGAACCTCCTTATTATGTCTTCCCTGGGCTCTACACAGAGCCGGCCTATTATGCGGTCTGCTATTGTTGGTCATAATGACCGGCCTGTGCTTCTATACGGCAAACATAATCATATCGATACCACATATGGTCAAACTCAATGTCATCGAGTTTTCCGATGCCGTTCATCACCTTTTAGGACGTTTCGCTCATATACTATCTCTGTGCGCATCATTAATAACATTAATCGGTGGATGTATTGTCTATTGGGTACTAATGAGTAACTTCTTAGAGCACATCATAACGTTTGTCTATCAAGTTATTGAACAAAACGAAACGATATCGACAAATATGTCAGAAGTGGTCTGCAATGAAGATAAAAATGTAAATATAATTCATATTATCCCTCAAAACAGTGCATCAAGTGATGACAACGTGTTCTTCAATGATTTGAGTCGAGTCGTGCCATTCCTGTTGGCAGTACTGATGGCACCAATTATTAGTCTAAAATCAGCCAATTTTTTCATGAAATTCAATGTCGTGGGAAGTGTTTCGGTGATATATCTGTTAATGTTTGCCGCCTACAAGTCATTCAAATGGGGACCACTTAATGTTGAATTCACTGATACTTCAAGCATTCATTATACGAAACTATTCGATTGGAACTTTTCGGTGATGTCCGGCATATTGTGTTTAGCCCTATTCGTACACAACTGTGTAATATCGTTGTTGAGGACAAACCGAAACCAACAGAACAATCGGCGAGATCTGGGAATTGCCTACTTATTGGTCTCTCTTACCTATCTATTGATAGCTTCGTTTATTTATATAGGTTTTCCTATCGATAAAAATTGTCTAAAAGACAACTTTTTAGATAACTTTCAAAGTAATGATATTCTGGCGTTCATTACGCGTGCATTTCTATTGCTACAAGTGTTCAGTCTTTATCCACTATTGGTTCTTATGCTGCGAATCCAAGTCATGCATCTACTCATACCAAATACAAGTGCCAGTTATCTACACATACTGTTTCTCAATGTTGTCCTAATCTCAGTTTGTGTATCGTTTGCACTGTTTTATCCACATATCGGCACAATTATCCGATATTGTGGCAGTTTTTCGGCATTAGTCTACATTTTCAGCCTTCCGCCACTCGCCTATATAAAGGCTAAACGTATGAGAGGTGAACCCATTCCTCTAATACAATCTCTATGTCTTTACCTAATTATTATTATTGGTTTTCTTAATTTTTTTGCACAATTTATTGTTGCTTAATATAAATGATTTACGACTAGATATTAATTAATTAATAATTATATATTTTCATTGACAAATATTTTTTTTATATAAAATTATATATATTTACAATTAATAGAGTTTTTTTATTATAAATATACAGTACAAATTAAATAAAATAATTATCAATTTATTTTTAAAAACAACTATTTATGGTTTTATAATTATGTTGTGATTTAAGGATTTTATGTGTCAAATGAGAAATATTTTTGTACATTAATAACAATAATAATACTGTATATGAAATTTAAAAAATCCTTGGCCTGAAAATTAATGCTAACTTTTTTTTGTATATACAATATGTAAGTTAAATATATAAAGTAAATAATTATGCTGTGAATCACAATGTTATTTTTTGATAACAAAATTTTCAAAAAAAAATAACTATATTATCACAACTATTGAATATATATCTCAAATATCTTCTACAGTATATAAACAAATGACTAATTTGTTATCTAATAATACCTTAATTATCAAACAATAACAAAAAATTTTCCAAAAACTGTCCAAACATTTAAATAATTTTCTGGAAAATTTTTAACAGATATATATTTAACAAATTTCTTAACTAAATTTTAAAATCTTAAACTTATGTATCAATACTGTTATTGTTTTATTTCTAATGATCTATAATTTTGGTGTAAAATCCTCTCTTTCTCGGATCTTTTTTATGGGATTCACTGTGAAACAGATTGTCGTAGTGATGAAAATTGAATATCGAAACCAATTCGTCGCAAAACTGGACACCTCTTACGGAATTTCCGTACGCATCCAATGATGGAGACCAACAACATATGCCCATAACGTTGGGCACCACTACCATCATTGAACCGGACACACCTGTCGTGTGGATCACACAACACACACATATATATAAAGTTATATAGATTGTCATCAATATAGCTGTCAATTAGCTGTTATTGTTATCACTGTACCTGATTTTGTGGGTAGTCCTACAGCGAAAGCAAACTGACCCGAATAGTCATACATTCCGCACGAATGCATTAGCGATAGTGTGTCCCTTACGGGTGAATTGGTGATAATCCTCTCATTACTTATGGGACAAATGCCTCCGTTAGCCAGTGTGGCGCCCATTACACTCAATGATTGACAGTTGACCTCCAATGAACACATCTAATGTTGGAACAAATAGAAAGAAATCTGTTATCATTTTGATAAGATAACAGATACGGTACATGTTTGTAATAACTCGCCCTTGACCTGCGGGTCACTACATATACAGTCTATGACTGATTTGATAGGAATAGTACTTTACCTGAAAGTAAAAGTCCATAATATCTTTAAGGACAGCCTTTTCAGGAAAACATTTATTTTCTTTCATATAGTAAGCGATGGCAAAGTTACGGTCGGCGGCCTCTCGTTCAGACAAAAAGGTTGCATTATTGAAGCCGAGATACTCTCCGCCACACAATGCCTTATAGTAAGCACTGATCCAATCAAACTTTTCCGACGGTCTCATCTCTGGCTAAACAAAATAAATTGGATGTTATTGTTAGCTATTGATTGTTATCTTACAATTGAATGCAATAAAAAAACTCATTGAAACTGTCACTTACTTTGATGAGATGCATCAATAGGGAACAGATGACAATAGCTCCGGCATTCACCATAGGATTGTGCGGTTTGCGATTGTGATCCAATACCAGCTCATTAAACATACGACCGCTAGGCTCCTGACCCACGTACTGGTGCACCACATGACTTGTTAGTTCATTGAGAGCTATGGCATAATTGATTGGTTTTCCGGACGACTGAATTGTGAACGGAATGTTTGTGTCACCGATTGAAAACCTTTGACCATCAATGGTACAGATGCTGATACCCCAGTACTCTATTGTCAATAATAAAAAAAAAATTTACATAACTGGGCGTTAGAGAGAGAGAGAGAGAGAGAGAGAGAGAGAGAGAGAGATTGACTGACAGGTTTGATCAGGAAATGTGATAAGTTTTTTAGAAGTCATACCTGGATTAAATTTAGCCAATTGTGGTATATAGTCGGCTACCTTTCCGCCAATGTTTGCTTTACACTTCCAGTAAATTTCTTCAATTGATTTGCAGAAATCGCTAAAATCGGGAATCACGAAATCGTGTTTAAAGGCACGACTAAATAGTATGATATTCTCCTGAATGACAGTTTTGCAGAGATTCTTGTCGAGAGTCAGGCCCTCAATATTACCACTTCCTTTCCGTTCGGCTAGAATTGCTTTCAATCGGTCCACCATTTTCTCAAGTCTCGGATCAGTCTTTTTGATGCCCTTCTCGGCCAATGCCGACAAAAATTTGCCGACATTTAGCTCTTTGGTTTGCGGATCTTGAAATAAGTTAAACAAATAATCAAACAATTGGTCCTTTCTGTTAAAGACATGGTATAACAAAGTAGATAATAATAATTATAATTAATATTTTTAATTGTTAATTAAATAAATAGATAATATTATATAATATTAAATTAAATAAAACATTTAAGATTATTTGTTTGTTAAAAACTACAATTACATACTCGACTACTTTTCCTAAATTTTCGTCATTTACTAAATTTTTGTTGTCACGGATGAAATTTTGAGGACACAGTGAGTAATAACCGGATTGAAAGTAACGGCAATTAAAAAAATTAAAGTCATTTTTGAACACAGAATTTGCATTACTGTTAACAGAATTTCTATTATTAATTAATAAATATTTATTTTGAATATAATTAGATTTATTGCGAATACTATTATTATTATAACTGTTGAATAATAATTTATTATATTTACAATATTTATAAAATAATTTTTTATATTTATTTCCTAACATTTTTTAAAACAACAAAATAACAACAACTAAAATTAATATTTAGTTATAAATAAATGTTTTCAGAAAACAATTTTATAGTGTTTTTATACATATATATACTGTTCATAGAATTTCATATTAATATATGTAATAATATTCTGTTATGTATTTTGCACTCGATTTGAGTGTTCATTGAGAGAAAAACTCATTCATGAGATCGATATTTTTAGACTCAAACACACACTCACTCATACAGTACACACACACACACACACACACACACACACACACACACACACATACATACATACACACACACACACACACACACACACACATACATACATACATACACACACACACACACACACACACACACACACACACACACACACACATACATACATACACACGCACTCAACAATATTCAGTACTGTTTTTTTAGATTATTGCACATAAATTGTTATACATTTATACAACAATTGTTTTATTAAAAGTTAATTAAAGTATAATTTTTTTTAATACAGTACTTGAATAAAGTTGTATTTATTATTAAATAATATGATATTTCAAAAATTAAAGCATTAATTATTATTAAGTATTAAATAGCAGAATAAAATAAATTTCAAGTGATTTATAAGAAACTCATCGATAAGTTTAGTTTGAGTACAGAGTATCATACCTTAACTCCTCTCCATTAATATTAAATATACTGTACTTAACAAAAAAAAATTACATTTAATAAAATATTTTATTTTATCACTTTATTTGTACAGTATTTTCAGTTTATAATTATATAAAAAATCAATTAAACTTTGTTTTATTTGATAACAAATTACCGGTAAATTGGTTGTAACTTAATATTCATCTTAAAAAAATATAGACAATTTCGCTAAAAAAACGTTAAAAACTTTTAATACATACAATATTTATACAAATTATTATTTCGGTACAAAACATTTGAATTATATCAATAATATAGATTTATTTAAAAAATTTTATATAAAATAAATATAAATTCATATTTTGATTAATCCATTGGTTTAGAGAGTTATATAATTACTTATTATTTTATTGTTCAACGCTATGTTGTTTGGTTTGAACCCAATTCATGAGCGAACCATTGATTTTATCTTTTCTGGGAATCTCTTGTATATCGTTAGTGGAGTCGTCACCGCTATCTTTGAGCCATTCATTGAATATGCTATTCATCTTATCTCTGGTCAATTGATTTCCATTATTAACTGTTGGTATGATTTTGTTTGGTTTGAAAAATTTGATAAAACGTTTTAATTCAGTATAACTCGAGTGTTCACTATATTCAATACCTGTGTACCAAAACACAAAAAAATCATTTACCCATAAGTATTAAGGTATTAAACTATACAAAAAAAATTTTATCAAATATTACCACAAATTGTTATATTTTTATGTCTCCGTTTCTTCACTCCATTTGTCGACTTCCTATTGTGTTCCCAACCCGTCGGCCGAAATGCCAGGACTTCGTCAAACAAACCGTTAAATCCATGAATATATGTCTCTAAAAACTATTGATATAATAAAATCAATTCATTATTATATTATCACTTAATGGATCACTTTTTTTATATTATCACCTGTTCGTTAATACAATCCATAGACATGACATGAATTTGCGAGTCATCTCTATTTGAGACCAAAAGTGAATCAATTACGGGATTTCTATAGCACTTATAAATCTGTTGTTTTTGAGGATTTGTCCAAATCTTAAGCCGCAGAGCTTTGGCGACGCCGATGAAGACATTCTCTTTGCCGATCGTATAAGTGCCACAAACTATCAATAGTTTTGGACATCGTTTGTAATGATCGGAACTAATCGATACAATAGTATCAAGGATTTGCTTTTGTGGCAAAAAATCATATTTCGGATCACAATAAGTAGTGTCTAAGTAGATGGTGTCAATCGGTCGGCAAATAAGCGGCTGATATGTGAAAAACGAGTGATCGGCTCGAAAGTCGCCGGTATGCAAATACCGTTTGCCGTCGGCTAACTCAAACAGTATGACAACAGCGCCGGGACAGTGATTGGCCTCAAAAAATGTTACTTTAGTGCCCATCACCAATCGGGTCGCATTGAGATCTATGACGTTGATTGTGAACAGCGGACATTTGTAATGATTGCGGACAAGTCTGGCAGTGATTGGCGAACAGTAGACGTCATGTTTGAATGTGTTCTTCAGACCCGTGTAGTGGTCTGAATGAAAGTGTGTCAAGAAATAGGCTGTTATTCCGGGTATTGAGCCGTAACTGAAGGCGTCCACAGCGAACCCGGCGTCGGCAATCTTCTTGTAAAATGGACACACTTTGACCACACCTTTCCGTTGCTTTGGCGGCCGATTATTATTATTACGTGATTTGACTTCGGCGGCGACCACTTCGTCAAACTTACGCTTTTGTTGTCCGTATTTGTTGACAACATTACTACTACTTCTACTACTATTGGCCACCAATTTATCTGACTTATTGGTCACTAAATTGTTGGCCACATTTGTATGACCACCGTTTCCAAAGAAAGCGGTAATTTTTGTTTGTCTGGACATGACTTTGTGGTCATAACAATCCGGTCGCCGATTAATAAAGTGTTATTGCATTGCATTCATTGTAATCGCAAATGTAATGCTTTTTTTGATTGGCTGTTAAAATAAACAGTCATTCATTGGTTTACATAATAACATGTGATTACTTGTCTCATCAAATCTCATATACTTTTGTTATATAAATAAATTGGAAATTTTAATTCAAATTTATTGTTAGTTTATATAATAATTCAAAGTTAATTAATTAATTATTTAACTATTTTTTAAAAAATTATTTTCTAATTAAATATTACTAATAACTTTTTTTTAGTTTTTAGTAGTAGTAGTAATAATAATAGTTGTAATTATTATTCAAATTTAAGTTCAACATTAAAATACACTTTTATTTGGATAATTAATTAAACAAAAATTTATTTTTGCATTATTTGTACAAAACATAAAATTAATGAAATAATAAATGAAAAATATTTCGGTAAATATATGAACCACTGAATTATATTTGATAAATAAATAATTATATAAATTATATAAATAAAAATTGAATTAAATTGAAAAATATTATATATATATATATTTATCAAAATTACAAATAATGAAAAATGAAAAATAAAATATTGATATTTATAATATTAATTACTATGTATATAAATAATTGATTGATTTTTTTGGTGATAAAAACATAAAATTTGTTTTGCTTTAAAATAGTTTGCATTTGTTTTAAAATGTATTTACAATTATTTAAATTGAATTTTTAAAAAATCAATTTTAAAAATCTGTAGTAGAATTAAATGATAATATAGAAAATAAAATGATAAAATTATAAACATTTTTTATATGAAAATATAAAACTAATATTAATAACTTAATATCAATTCATTGATCACTAGTACTATAGGTCTTATCTCCTTTTATTTGCAATAGATTTGTTGAAATCAATTGCTGAGACATTGTCTGATCGGTTAGAGTTGTCTTTCCATTGATTAATTGAGACATTATTTTGTCGATAACTAATATTTTGTATTTCTTTTAGCGCATTGTTTGATTGATTTACACGAAACCCATGTTTGATATCTTCGGCACCGATCGAGTTGTTCGACATAAACGCCAGTTCCACTCCGTATGATGACTTCAAATGTGGTGCAACCATAGTATTACGTTTTTGAAGTATTGCTAATCGTTGGTCATCGAGAACCGATTCATTGACCAAACATTCTCCGTGTTTTAAGTCAGTTTTAAGACGTTTAGGATTTGTATGACTTTGGACTGCTGTATGTGTTAACGATACGGAACTGTTATTGGGATTTGTTATATCCATCGAATGAATGCTTAAATTGGTTGAAGAATTGGGATTTGTATGAATATGTACTGTTGTAGGCATTGAATAGACATTACTGGTTGAAGCACTCGTAGCTATCATTGACTTATTATACGAATCAATAGTTTCCCGAAGTCTTTGGTTTTCATTTTCAAGAAAACCTATTTGTCGACAATACTTATCATTCTCTTTCATATAATTTTCATTTTCTTTGAGATATCGTTCCTTCGTTTTGCGTTCAAAATCAAAAGACATTTCTTCAGTATTAAGTCGAGTCTTCAAATCAGATACGACTTTCTCGTATTGATTAATAGAGTTCTTATTCCTGTCGACTACTTGTAGATACTTTCGATGCAATTCTTCCATCTCTTTGTTTGTTTGAAATGTTTTCTGTTTTTCTTCGTCCAACTCTTTGGCTATCGAATCAACTTTTTTATTCAATTCTTCATTCATTGTCATCGATTCCGAAAGTTTAGACTTTAGTTTTTCATTTTCAAACACAACAACAGCTAACTTACTATCCGTTTCTTCCAAAACTGTATTCATTTCGTTCAGATTTGTCTCCAGTTTTACAGATTTTTCATTTTCTTTGGTTAAATCATTATTTAGACGATTATTATTATTAGTCGACAATTGATTTAATTCATCTTTTAGTGACAAAATCTCTTGCAATTGAATATCTATATTAACCAACTTTTGTTTTTCTTCATTTAATTCTTTATTTTTCTCTTCAAGATTTCTCTCTATTTCTTTCAGTTTAATATCGACGACACAATCCATAGTTTCACCGACACAACTGCCGTTAAACGAAAAAGCGTTAAATTCATCGACTGATACATTGAGCTCATTCTTCTTAAGACATTCTTCGCGAATCCTTTTAATTTCATCTTTTAATTTCGAGTTTTTTTCTTTTTCTTTGGCCAACTCTTTCAACAACTCGTTAGTCGATTGTTTCAAAACTTCCATATCTTGTAACTGTTCATCTCGTTTGGCAAGTTTTACCATCAACTGACAGTTGTCTGTCTTAATCTGTTCCACTTTATCGTTGGCCAACTCATACTTCTTGTACAATGAATCCAAATCATCGTTAGTCGACTGAAGTCTTTTAGTCAACGATTCGTTTATCACTTTAATATTAGCCAATTCTTCCTGAACTGTTTCATAATTAATATGCAATCGTATGTATTCATCGACACTATCGTCACGAATATGTCTCAACTCTTGGATAATATTCCGCAGTTCTGCCAACTGTTTGTCTTTGCATTCATTTTCATCGACTGCTATCTCGAGATCCGATTCCAATTGCAAACTTAAGTCATTGCAACGGAACTGCAATTCTCTGAAGGCTTTCTTGTAGTCAATATTGTTGTCCATATTTTTGGATCAATCAATCAATTCTTTGGGTAACTTCTTTAAGACGACAAACAATGCAATTAACAAATCATTTGTTTTTTAGGCAAAAAACAGTTTAGTATTTAATTATATAAAAAACAGGATTTTTCGACTGTTTTAACGAGTGATTCACTATTGGTGTACAAAATAATACTAAATAACTGATAAATCAAATGATTTGATACTATTTTTTTTATATAAATAACTCTTGACTTTTGTGTACTCAAGAGTACAAACAGTCCAATAATAGTACATTTCATTCATATAATTATAATAAAGTTATGACAAATTAATCAATAGGTGAATATAATGTTAACATTAAATAAGCTATAATTATAAATAATTTTTATAATTAATATATCAATATTTCACACAATTTCTGTCAACTTATGTATAATTAATTTAAGCTAAACTTATATATCTATCTATGAGTTAACAATTTTGCCACAATTATTGTTTGATTGAGTTTATAACTAGAATTCATTAAATTATTATTTAATTGATAGAAATGTTATAAAAATAATGTCTAATTTAATAAAAATTGGCAGATTTATAAAGTGTCCGACATTACCGATATGACGACCATCGAAGAGGTTCCACATCATAGGTCACCCACCGCCCGAAGTGTTTAGAAATTTAGTTCAATAATTTAATTTAGTTTTTAGTTGTAGTTATTTTAAATAAATATTTAATAATAAAAATTTGTTATAAAAATTTGCTTAAAAAATATTTCAAAAGTAGATTCGTATTTTGTTTATAAACATGTTTTTCTAAACATATTTTTAAAAGTTTATTTTAATTTGTTTTTTAATTATAATTTGAATTTAAATTTAAATTGTATACTGTATTACTGTATAATAATATTACTAAATAATATTTGTCTAAATAAAGTATCCATATTTTTACCGGTAGTTTTTTTTAAAAAAAATAAAATTTTTAATAGAAATAATATTATAAATTTGTATATAATACTAAAAAAGCTAATTATTTTAACTATTTTTTACATTTCAAATTGAAATATTACCGGTATATAACAAATTTTTATTAGTAGTTGTAATTATTAGTCAAATTTAAATTCAACATTAATTCCATACACTTTTAATTTGGATAATTAAACAAAATTTTATTAGTAGTTGTAATTATTAGTCAAATTTAAGTTCGACATTAATTTCATACACTTTTAATTTGGATAATTAAACAAAATTTTATTAGTAGTTGTAATTATTAGTCAAATTTAAGTTCGACATTAATTTCATACACTTTTAATTTGGATAATTAAACAAAATTTTATTTTGCATTATTTATACAAAACATAAATGAAAATATAGGTAAATATATATATATATATATAGATTTTTATCAAAATTACAAATAATGACAAATTAACAGTAAAATATTGATATACAGGTATATATATATAAGTATTAATAATAATTACTATGTATAAAAAACAATTGATTGATTTATTTTGTTGGTGATAAACATAGCAAATTTGTTTAGCTTTAAAATAGTTTTAAAAATGTATTTACATTTATTTAAAGTCAAATTAAAAAATAGTCAAAAAAAACTAACGAATCAATTGATATTAAAAACAAATCCTTTATAAAAATCAATTTCGTTTACTTGGAGTCCAAGTCTTCCTCAAATTGATGGCTCTTTTCATAGCTTTGGTCGGAGTTGTTATGGTTTTCAATAATTTCGATGAACTAATCCGTAGTGAATCGACTCTATATTTTTAAAAGCAATTAATAACAAACATTTTGTTTCATAAAAAAATCTTTGGATTAGTTTATCTTTGACTTTAATATTACTGTATACCGAAAAAGCTGTATAATTGGAAAATATATTAATAAATAGTCTAAATAATTACTAAAATTATAAAATTAAATTAGATTACCGGTAACTATAAAATTGTTAACAATATATTGTCAATTAAAAATAATTTTATATTAACTATATTAATGATTAGTTCAATTAAAGTAAAATTAGTCTTATCTTAATATACAGAATCGTTATTAGAATTATAAAATTAATAATTTAGATAATAAAGTGATAAAATTGAAAACATTTTTATTTTATTTGAAAATATCAAACAAATAGTAAACTTAATATCAATTGAATGATAACTAGTACTACAACTACAACAAGTCTTACCTCCTTTTATTGGCAATAGATTTGTTGCCATCTATTGCTGAGACATTGTCGGATCGGACAGAGTTGTCTTTCCATCGAGTAATGGACACATCATTTCGTCGATAACTGACATTTTGTATTTCTTTTAGTGCATTATTTGATTGATTGCTATGAAAACCATTTTTGATATCTTCGGGACCAATAGATCTGTCCGACATAAACGGCAGTTCCACTCCATATGATGTCTTCAAATGTGGTGCAACCATAGTGTTACGTCTTTGAAGTATTGATAGTCGCTGGTCATCGAGAACCGAATCACTGACTGAACATTCACCGCGTTTTAAAGCCAACAAATTGTTGGGATTCATGAACTCTCCCTCTTCGTCGGCCATAATTAGACGACTACCGGTTCCTGCCGGCAGTTTTCGACTCATATTCAATGATACGGAACTATTATTTGGATTTGTTATGTCCATCGGATTAATACTTAAATTGGTTGAAGAATTGGGATTTGTATGAATATGTACTGTTGTAGGCATTGAATAGACATTACTGGTTGAAGCACTCGTAGCTATCATTGACTTATTATACGAATCAATAGTTTCCCGAAGTCTTCGGTTTTCATTTTCAAGAAAACCTATTTGTCGACAATACTTATCATTCTCTTTCATATAATTTTCATTTTCTTTGGCATATCGTTCCTTCGTTTTGCGTTCAAAATCGAAAGACATTTCTTCAGTATTGAGTCGAGTCTTCAAATCAGATACGACTTTCTCGTACTGATTAATAGCGTTCTTATTTCTGTCGACTTCTTGCAAATACTTTGTTTGCAACTCTTTTTCTCTGAGTTGTGATTCACTCAATGCCTTCTTATAAGTAGAAAATCTTTTGTCGACAATTGAATGCAATTCTTCCATCTCTTTGTTTGCGTCAAACTTTTTCTGTTTTTCTTCGTCCAACTCTTTGGACATCATATCAACTTTTTTATTCAATTCTTCGTTCATTGTCATCGATTCCGATACTTTAGACTTTAGTTTTTCATTTTCAAACACAACAACAGCTAACTTACTGTTCTTCTCTTCTAAAACAGTCTTCATTTCGTTCAGAGTTGTCTCCAATTTTACAGATTTTTCATTTTCTTTGGTTAAATCAATATTTAGACGATTGTTATTACTCGACAATTGATTTAATTCATTTTTTAGTGACACAATCTCTTGCAATTGAATTTGTTGTTCATTGATATTATCCATCAATTGTTTGTTATCAGTCATAAGCTTTTCAGTTTCCTCTCGCCATTTAACTTCTTGTTCAGCAATTTGATCCATCAATTGGTTGTTCTGTATCTTTAACTGATCCGTTTCATTATGAAATTGTATTTCCTGTTCAGTTAATTTATCCAACAATTGTTCGTTAAAAGTCTTAATCTGATCCGTTTCATTACTTTTCATATTATATTTATCATTAACCGATTCAATTTCATTGGTTAATATGTAGATCTTCTCATTAATAGACGCAATGGTGTCTTTAGCGCCGATCAAGTTATCATTTACTTTCTGGAGATTGTCCTTTAGTTGTTCACATTCTTTGTCTGTGTTAACCAACTTTTGCTTTTCTTCATTCAATTCTTTGTTCAACACATCATTCATGTCTTTCATTTGTTCATTAGTTGCATTCAATTCCATTACTTTAGTATTCAATTCTTGATTTTCAGTGACAACTGCTGTCAACTCTTTGACTTTTTCTTGCATTTCTTTTTCCAAATTTTTTATCGATTTGTTCATCGATTGACTCTCTGAATCAAACTCTTGTAGTTTAATGTTTTGTTCAGCTATTTTCTTCACCAATTGTTGATTGTCTGCCTTAATCTGTTCCGTCTCATGAGTGGACATTTCAACCTTTTCGGTCATTGACTCCAATTCATGGCTAAAATAGTTTAACTTTGCATTTAACTCATCCGTCACTTTTTGATGATCTTCAATGACCTGTTGATAAATATTGATATCAATGCTGTTATCTCTGATTTTTTGCAACTCGGCGTCCATCGTATCAATTGTTTGGTTCATCAGATCTGTTGTTGTTGTCAAAACATTAAGCTTACTCTTGAGCTCTTCATTATTGACCATAACTTCATTCAATTCTTTGTTTATGACTTCATTTATTTCTTTCATTTGTTCATTAATTGTATTCAATTCCGTTACTTTAGTATTCAATACTTGCATTTCAATGCTAACTACTGTCAACTCATTGACCTTTTCTTCCAAATTTGTGTTCAATTCTTTAATTTTTGTTTCATTTAATACCGAATATTCTTCCATTTCTTTTTCCAAATCTTTGATCAATTTATCCATCGATTGACTACTTGAATCAGACTCTTGTAGTTTAATGTTTTGTTCTGTAATTTTTGTCACTAATTGTTGATTGTCTTCCTTAATCTGTTCCATCTCATGCGTGGCCACTTCAAACTTTTTGGTCATTGAATCCAATTCATGGCTAAAATTTGTCAACTTTTCGTTTAACTCATACGTCTCTTTTTGATGATCTTCAATGACCTGTTGATGATCTTCTATTAGCTGTTGATGAACATCAATGTTAATGGTGTTATCTTTCAACTTCTGTAAGTCCGCTTCCATCCTATCTATCATTTGATTCATCTGTTCAGTAGTTTTGGTCAACACTTCAATCTTACTCTTGAGCTCTTTATTGTTGACATTAACTTCATTTAATTCTTTATTTTTCTCTTCGAGGTTTGTCTCCATATCCTTCAACTTGATATCGACCACACAATCCATAGATTCGCCGACACAACTGCCGTTAAACGAGTTTTGAATGTGTTTATCATAAAAAGCATTGAATGAGGCGTTGAACTCATCAACCGATACATTGAGCTCATTGTTCTTAAGATATTCTTCGCGAATCGTTTTAATCATATCATTTAATTTCAAGTTTTCTTCTTTTTCTTTTGCCAACTCTTTCAACAACTCGTTAGTCGATTGTTTCAAAACTTCCATATCTTGTAACTGTTCATCTCGTTCGGCAAGTTTTGTCATCAACTGACTATTGTCTGTCTTAATCTGTTCCACTTTATCGTTGGCCAACTCGTACTTCTTGTACAATGAATCCAAATCATCATTAGTCGACTGAAGTCTTTTAGTCAACGATTCGTTTATCACTTTAATATTAGCCAATTCTTCCCCAACTTTTACATAATTATCTTTCAGTTGTTTGTATTCATTAAGTTCGACACTATTGTCACGAATGTGTCTCAACTCTTGTATAACAACCATCTGTTCCGTCAACTGTTTGTCTTTGGTTTTCTTTTCTTTGACTTCTGACTCGAGAACCGCTTCCAAGTCATCGCAACGGAACTGCAATTCTCTGACGGCTTTCTTGTAGTCATTGTTGTTGTTGTCCATAATTGTTTGGATCCAATCAATTTGTTTGTGGTTTTGTCTAATCTAATACTTTGGATGACTTCTTCAGAGACGACAATTCAAATGCAATCAACAAATAATTTGTTTTTGTTGTGAAAAAACTGTTTATTATTTAAATAAAATAAAAAATAATCGGATTTTATGTTTAAAAATAAAATTCAAACGATTCGACTGTTTTAACGCGTGATTCACTATTGGTGTACAAAATAACACTATAACTGATAAAACCAAACGATTTGATACTTTTATATACATTTGTATAACATTTAACTATTGAATTCAGTAGAGTATAAACAGTCCAATAGTACGTTGAGTTTATATAACTAGAATTCATTCAAAATTAATCTTTTCATTCAATTCATTGGTTGTCATCAAACTATTCACAAAAAACAGTACAATTATTATGCAACAAATTGTTCCCTAAAAAAACATTATTATTTATAGTATAAAACAAACGTAAACTAAATCCCTTTAAGTACAGTATATAACGTAACGATTTATATATAAAAAAAATTAAAAACATTTGTTATGTTTTGAAAAAAAGTTTTCATTTAATTCATCGATTGATTGATTGAATTGCTATTAAAATAATGTCTAATTTGACTAAAATTGCAAACAAATTGTTTGAAATCAAATGTTGGCAATCGGTGGCCATCACAGCGGCCTCATTGGCGGTCACATCGCGCGGTATTCACACGACTGGCGTACGCTTGAAGGACGGCGATCGGCGGTCAATGTTGAAAGGGCTGCCGAAACGGGACGAAGGATCGCACGGCGAACAACACTTTGTCGGTCCGTACGACAAGATATGCGACTTTCCGACTGTGGACACACCCAACCAGTTGTACGATGACGTGCCCTATAAAGATCTACCGGTACTGCATATAAAGTGTACGAAAAACAATACATTGTTTACATTAACCCAACCTCACGGCAATTTCATACTGAACCGAACCTGCGGTATGGATGGCTTCAAAAATTGTCGCAAAGGTACGAATGTGGCCGCACAGGCAACGGGTCTTGCAATAGCTCAGCGGGCGTTGCGTATGGGCTATAAAAATGTTAAAGTAGCCGTACGCGGACTGGGCGCCGGCAGACTGGCCTCGTTTAAAGGACTCCAAATGGGCGGACTTAATATAGTGTCCATTACCGATATGACGCCCATCGAAGAGGTTCCACGTCATAGGCCACCCGCCGCCCGAAGTGTTTAGAAATGTGTTTTTCAATAATTATATTAACTATTAGTTTCTGTAGTTATTTAATAGTCATTTTAATATTAATAGTTAAAAATTTGTTATAAAAATTTGCCTAAAAAATGATGTAAAATATTTCGTAAAGTATTTAATTTGTTTTATAAATGATTTACACAATCAATGAAACCAATCCTTCGTTTATCGAAATCTTTTTGTTTTTATGAATCCTTTTATCAAACTTTGAGACAACAGTTTCCTTATCGTAATCTTCGACCAATGATTTATATCTTTTAAGTACCTATTTGTTTGATAAATCATTTTAAATTCAATTCAATTTTTTATTAAAATATAAATTCATTACCCTTTTTCTTAACTTTTTAATTTTCAATTGATTTCCTTCAGTTTCTCTCAGTATTTCGACAATCAATTTGTTGATCTTTATCTTCGTTTTTGTCTTTGGCTGAACTTCTGTCTCTTCTTCATTATCATTAGTTTCCACTTCATTTGTTTCCTCATTATTATTATTATTATCATCAGATTGAATACCATTTGTTTTTTTAAACTTCTTTCTTTTGGTTGAATTTTGCTGATTATCCTCATTGTCTGCCACTCTTTTCTCGACAACCGGTGATGACATTTGTTTATTACTATTATTATTATTATTGTTGTTATTATTATTATTAGTGGTTTCATCAGATTTGATGACCTTCTCAAAGATGTCCCACATTTGTTGAATATACGATTCATTGGTAATATGGATACAATTTTTGATAAAATTAGTAAATTTCGGTCGTTTTCGTGGAATGTTATCATATAAGACCAGCTTTTGCATCAAACCTCTTAAATGACTATTTGTGTCCATTTCATTGATTACGGACTTGACTTTCTATCAAATCAATCAACAACAACAACAAAATCTTCACATTAATGGATCAATTAAAATGATTAACCAAACAACACAAACCTGAACCCAATTTTCTTGTTTGTCTTTGCCTTTATTTGTTCCGGGCTTTGCCTGATAGTTAAGTCCACCATATTTCTGGTCTTCGCTGATGCACTGATTGTGATGGATATAGTCATCGCTGGACACAAACAAATCAATACACAAAAAAACAATTAGTGAATGACATTGAAAAAGACGACGACAATCGATGTCGGTTGTGGTGGTCGTCAATACTTACGTAAAATCTTTACCGCAGTCCACACACGATATCGATTTGGCCGAACAGTGGCTCAGATGTTGGATAACCTTAATCTTCTTCAGCGATTCGCCGCACGAATTGCACGTAAAGAATACCATTGTTTTTGTAAAGACAACAAAAAAAGATAATAATAATAAATAAAATAAATTTTTTATTTCAAACTATCAATTGATATCATATATCACTGAAACAGGTCTTAAATTTAAAAGACATTACATTTCATTTAAAAACAATAATTCAAAACGTGTTTCACGTTTACAAAACTTTGTTCATAAATAACATAACAATATATTTATAAGTTTTTTTCAAAAAAAAAGTCAAAAGAAGTGGTAAATTAAGATCAAGATATTGGATATAATTAACTTAGTCTTCATCTATCATAAGATAATCATTTAGTAAACCCTTTCTCCAGAGTACGTAAAACTTGAAATCATTGCGTTTGATGGCCAACAGCATCGCACAGATAAACAAATTGATGGCCAAAATGATGTGAACGATGGCCATTGCTTTCGTGTCGTAGACCAGTAGTACACTGTAGACAAGCTCTTCGGGTAGTTTTCCCGATTGATAACAACTGTCAGTACCAATGGCTACGATAGCCAGTATGATACTGACCGAACCCAGACTCACATGAGTGACAATTAGGATTTGACACAATCGGCTTCTGTAGATGAAGTAGCAGATGGTTATCAAATACCAGATAAACAATACGACAAGCATTTCAATGGCCACTATCGATGATAAGACAACACTGGAGTACATTAGGAGTTGATTTTCGTGGCGACACTCGTACTCCACTTCGTATATAATGTAGAAACAGATGATCAATGACCACGAAATGGCAGACAAAGAGTTCAATACATACTCCCAACCCAAACGCCAGAACTTTCCCGAAACATAATTATCCAAAATTCTGATATAATGTCTTGGATTAATCAATTTGGTCGATGACTTTATACGAGTTAATGTATCACTTGATGGCGGTGTCGAAGATGAAGACATTGTCGACGACGACGACATACAAACAGAATGACTAAAGTTTTTTTCAATGGTTTCTATAGATATATCAAAACTTTTTTAAATGTCGTCTATTTTTACAGTTTTTAAAAATTATTATTTGGTATTTAGTTTACATTTAAACTTTACTTGTAATGTGTGTTAAATAAATTGGTTTAAATATTATTTTTTATATTTAAATATTATTTAATTTAACATTTTTTTTAAAAATAACATTTAATGTTAATTTGTTTAGTAAAATATTTACCGTAAAAGTCAGTAATTTTTGCTTAACTGGAAATTTTCAGAAATTAAATCCTATATTTTTTTGTATGTATTTACGGTAATATTTTTGATAATAAAATACAAAACTATATTATCGGTAATTTTGAAAAAATGATATACAAAACACATAAGAAAAATAATATTTAATCCAAATTATATTTCAATTTTGTTTAATAATATTTTAAATAGTTTTATCAAATTAAAAAATATTTAGTAAACAATTTTTAACAAAAAACAATTAAAAACTTGATTTACTAAATCTTAATCAAAAAAATGCTTATTTAACAATAAAAATGTATTGTATTTGTTGTTGCAATACAATTCACTTACAAGATATAACAAATATTTATAAATATCATATACCATATATATTTTTATATAAGCATAATATAAATAAAATTAATTAATTAAACGTTAATAAATATATAAATTCACAGTAAATTATATATATATATATATATAAATTAATATATACATTTAAAATAAGTATGAAAATTAAATAATTTTTTTCATTAGCTAACACTAAAATCAAATGTTACATTACTTTACTGCTATAGATATACCGTATAGACCCGCATATAGCCCCCCCTGACGGTTTTTTAAAATTTTAAAATCAACATTTGGTAGGGGGCTATTTTTCACATATAGCCCCCCTACTGGGGCTATATGTGAAGTCGTGGGGAAAAGAACGATTGGGGGAAAGGGTTATATATAAGATCGGTCTAATAAATAAAAAATAATCTGTAATAAGCTATGATTATTATACGAATTATGTAATATTAAATAAATAAAATAAAACATTTATAAATCAAATAATTTTAAATATTTATTAGTCAAATAATTAAATAATAGAGAAAAAATATTTTTTAATGTATTAAATAAATAATATAATGAAAAAAAATATGAATTATCGGGAAATTAATTATTACAAGTATTGTAAATATCAGTTAATAATATCGATTTCTGAACTTAAAACAAATTCTTGAAATGTTGGCCGTAATGACCGGTCTGTTGGCGTTTATAAAATCGTTGACTTGAGGACCGGCTGTCTGTAGAAGATCAGCAAATGCTGATTGACGGACACGACTAACAATAAGATCATTGGCGTCACGAAAGGCTGTCCTGTTTCTCAAACGGTTATCCGAGTAGTTAACAAAAACTAAATCCATGGCTATTATGGCCGCATATATCAATAGTTTAATGTTGTCATCGCTTTCGGCAAATAAAAAATGGACGCCATGATGGAAATAGTATGGCCAACTGGGATCAGTTTCGATTTCTACTCTTGATTCACCATCTAGTGGTTCTCTAATCTTAATATCATTATATAGCGATGGTTTGACCGGTCCAATAAGTTCCGACACATTAAGTAGTTGACGATTACGGTAACCAACATATGAGGCCAATTTGTTGAATGTTAAAGGGAGGCCACCGAGATTACCTTTGGTCACTTTTAATCTCCGACCGTTCGGTAAATTTATTACCCTTTCCTGACTATCACCAAAAAAATTCTTTTTGCAGTCTTTATGGCCAAACAAATTGGTTGCAAAGTCAACAATCTGCGGGTCAGTAATACCAATAAAAGCATTATCCAATCGACGTTTTATTTCCGAAAATAAGACTCTTGTTGATCGAATTTGGACATCAATTTGTTGACCGATCGGTATATGGACCTCTTCACGTGATCGAACGGCGATTTGATTGGTGGCATCAATATACGGGCCAACGATTTGATTGATGTTTTCATGTGACGGGCCTGCGATTTGATTGGTGTAATCAATTGACGGGCCAGCGATCTGATTTGTTGAATCAGTTGACTGGTCAGCCATCTGATTGGTGGCTTCATGTGACGGGCTATCGATCTGATTGATGGCTTTATTTGACGGTCCGGCGGGTTGTTCAGCCAATTCAATCGCTTGATTTGGATTTTTAGTGGCCACCTGTCGATCTTCAATATCTTTAGCTATCCGTGCTTGTTCCAACAAAAAATCACAGTGGTGAACAGGGAACTCATTAATCAAAAACTTGCAGCGCTCACAGACAGCTGATCCACAAATTGCCAAATGTAATGACCGGTCAATTAATGGGAACTCCGCACCACATCCATAATCACATTTTATAACCAGTGATGAGATAATGTTGACAATTTGTCTGTTAAGCGTACCATAAGGTCTGCCTTCAGGGACTTTAGTCCGACAATAAGGACAGCTCTTCGATTGAAGATTATCTTCTTGTCGTTGATAATGCATTTCAAGACAAGTACGGCAATAGGTGTGACTGCAGTTCAATATATATGGATTCACGAAAAGAGCGGCACAAATATCACATATGAGAGCATTGATGTGTTCAACACTGACGACATAATGTGACCGATCAGATGAATCAAAGTATTTGATTTGTTCAGTCATTGCGCACAAGAAGTGGTAATAACTTTGATGTCAACAACAATGGAGTGCCTGAATGTATAGCAGGAAAAGGAAATCATTTATAGACATACATATAGTAATGCAGTCATACAGTCATAAGTTAATGCATAGTCACGTAGTCATACAGTCATGTAGTCATACACAGTGATGATGTCATACAATCATGTAGTCTTATATAGATCGGTCATAACATAAATAATGTTAACTACATAAATTTTAATATAATTATTTGAACTGGTACAGTTTAATTATTTTGCATAAATTTTTACTGTACTGAAAATGTTTTTTATTGTTTTAGTAAATAAATTTATTTATTATTTAACCAAATAGATCGGTCATTTTACAATTGTAATTTACAGCTATTTTTAATTATGATAATAAATTTCAATTAATATTTTATTTTAAGTACTATAAGACAGGTCATTTAAATTAGTGTTTTGAGATATTTTAATTTTAAAATTAAATTTTTAAGAAAATGTTTTATATATACTACTGTACATTAAATTTAATTATTGATTTATAAGATATATTATTATATCACTCGGGAGGTAATATAGGCAATAATTTTTTAATAATTCTATTACTATTAAAAAAATAATTTAGACAAATATATATTATATTACAGTTATATTTTTAAATAAATTAATAATAAATAATTTTCAATAATAATTACCTGGTATATAACTGACCGATCAAATACTAATGATGTAATAAACATTACATACTTTGTATTAAATAAACATCATATAAAAGGCTTAAATGTATATTATATAAATACTGAATTATGCCTTTTTATATTAACTAAACTTATGGCATAAAAAACTTTAATTACCAGGGCAAAGTTTTATTTTAATGTTTCTTTGTTTCACTAAACTATTAAATTCAAAATCTAAAATGTCTCAACAAAAATGCCAATTTTGTTATAATCATAAGATAATAAATGCCAGAAAAAGTATTTTAATATTTTTATTGACCGTTCAATTAAATAATTTTTATTATTTTAGATCACAAAAAGTATTGTACTGTCTTTGTATGCATTTGTGAGAAATGCGATAAAACAAGAGAAAGAAATGCAAAATCAAGACAACGATATTACATCCGTAAAGTAACGACCGATCAGGACATCAAAAAGTCGGATATTGATAACGTGTCGAAAAGTATTGTCATGCCATTAAAGCTTCAAAAAGTTGATGGCATTTATCAAATTGTTGATAAATAGCATAACTTTATGCCTATCAATATTATATGTACAGTACCTTAGAAATAGCTACGGTACTAATAATTTTGATTAAATTGTATTATTTGAAATAATATTTGAATAAATTTATTTAGAGTTTCTTTAATGATTGGCTTACGTATGTATAGACCGGTCTTTATATTGTCTTATTAAACTGTAGATCCAGGTCAGCACTAGCCGAACCACACATATAGCTTATGTTTGTGTATATCAATCTCGTTGGTCGGATCGTAATAGTGACGTTGGATTTGTATCAGTTTGAGTTCGCGTATAATCTTTCTGATTGTTGTATTGTAAAACATGATTAACTCGTCAAAAGATGGTAACTTTGTGAATGTCAATTGCAATTTCTTGGCATTCCGTTTCCTTGATTTTGGCTATCGATCATCTGATCCTCTACTTTATGATTCAGATAAATACTTTAAATATTGTCGACAACTTATTACTTAGGGAACGGTCAGTGATATGCGGTATAAACTACCGAAAATGTCTTACTATACTTGCCGTCCAATATCCACTGTAGTCAACTGTTTTTATCTTAAGATCGGTCAAAAAATTATAAAAAATAAGTAAATATACCGTAATATATTTAAATTTTTATTTAAATTTTTAATTCAAATTATTACATATTACAAATTATCAAATAAATTATTCAAAGCCAACAATTTTTGTATAGTTCGTCTTCACTGCTATTCACGTCTATATTATCCTGGCTGACATTGATAATATCATCACCACCTGTATCACTGTCTATTTCATATGTGTATTCTTTAGTAACAATATCTTCATTGTCTGAGAGACCGGTCGGATCACTGATGTTATCGTCAATACATTCGGTATTTTCAGTTGTATTCAAAATTGTGACTAATTTTGAATGCAATAAATAATCGTTTCGTTGTTGACCTAAATTGCATTCATTAAAACTTCGTTTAATAGCATCTGAAGGTAACTCTTTCCAAGCGTCGCGACACCATTCAGCTATCAGTCGATGTGATGGTGGCCTTAGATTGCCTTTTTTGGTGCGATCTTCAGTTGTTTTTTCTAAATCCATCCATTCTCGCCATTTAGCACTTATCTTAGCTTTGATCGGTCTATTCCAGGACACATCGGCGGGTTGTAAAAGAGGAGTCATACCTCCTTGAATTATCATAACTTTTGTATCACATTTGTTATAAAAATGATCTTTAATTTCATCTCTTGTATGAGCCAATGCAGAGTCCATTACAAATAAATTTTTACGGAACTCACCAACTGACCGATCGTGTTGTCGATGAAATATTGCGTCACCTCTAGCGTCGTAAACATTAGTTATCCAATCAATCATTAAATGCCTGTCAATTGATCCCGACTTAGAAACCATCACATGAACACCGGTCAACTCTTTAGGTGAACAACCTTTTGGGATTTTTACTCGATTTCGGAAAATAATCGCTGGTTTTAATTTTCGGCCAGTATTGTCCGCACACAATATCAATGTGTATCTTGTTTTCTCGTGACCAGTCGTCTTAACTTTAACAGTTTTGGCACCTTTTTCGGTAAAAGTATAGTTACCAGGGATATCGATATACATTGGAATTTCATCTGCATTATAGATGACACCAATATTTTTGTGGTCATCAGCTCTCCAACTATCAACTCTACTAAAAAAAGTATATGACTTTTCGCGGGCATCTTCGGGTATTTTTTGACCGACTGAAGTTTTTGCCCGCCATGATATTCTATTTCTTTTATTAAAATTACTTAACCAACCATTTGATGCCGAAAATTCTCGACCAGTCTTTTTATCCATGACCGGTCTTATTATACCTTTACGTTTTAATTGTTGATATATTATCATAGCTTTTGATCTTAAATCAGATCCCGTTACAATTGCACTCTTTTTTCGTTGATTTTTAAGAAAATTCAATACCTCTTCTTCGACTTCCGGTATTTTTGGTATTCTTATTCTTTCCATTTTTCTTCTTTTTCTTATATTAATATCTCTTTCATTTTTAGCTTTTCTTAAAAACTCTTCTTTATTTTTCCAATCCCTTATTGTTTTCGTGGCCACTCCAAATTTTGCCGCCGCTTCACAATTGTTTAAATTATGTTTTTTAATTTCATCTAATGCATCCAATTGTGTTTTTAATGTATACGATCGCCGACGGGGCTTTAGATCGGTCTGATCGATCATTAGACTGTTAATTTCATCATTAGATAGATCCTCAACTTCGATGTCGGATTGATTTGACAGCTGTTCACCAATTTGTTCATTTGATTGAATAGTTTGACTATAAGTGTATTCATCATAATTATCTGATGATATATCAATAATTTCTTCATTACTATCATTTTTAATAGACATTGAATTATAGGTGATATCATTATTTAACGGCTGCAGGTATTCAGTTATTGAATCATTATTTTGATTCACTAATTGTGATTTGGAGTCTAATGCATTTGATTGTAATAGTGGTAATCTATTTTCCGATCGGTCAGTATAATTGACCGATCCATACGGTAATGATTGATAATCAACCATAAATGGTGATCTGATTGCAGGCATTTGGTTATAGATTTCATGAGACATAGCATAATAATTACGGGAATCATTACTTTGTTGGCCAATTAATTGATAACTCGGATAGTTATTAATTGGTAAGCGATAGTCAAAACTAATCGTTGGGCCAGATATGTTTGGCGATGAATGGCCAGTAAATTGTGTTCCCGAAGGTGAGTACGCTAAGGCGGTTACACTAAAAGGTGTTGTTGACGGTGTATAAGCGCTGCTAAATACACTTAATCGGCCATCAGGTTGAGGACTTAATTTCTCTACGGGTACGTCATATATATTACCAAAATCAGAGTTTGGCGTCAATCGGTTATCTGGTTGTGGACTGTATTGTTCTACGGGTACGGCCAATATATTACCGAATTGCGGTTGATCTGTCAAATGTATGTTAACTGGTTGTTGGTTACTATTACGCAAAGTTTGGCCAATAGATACTGTTGTTGATCGATCACATACTGACCGATCATTGGGATTGAAATGACCCGTCAATTGCTGGTCATTATATATATCATCAATAAAAGCCGTACACGTTGTAGTTAAAACCCGCCGATTTTCGGCCATTATTACAATCACTGTTAGTTAGTTGTAATAAATTATTTGTTATCTATATTATAATTTTAACAAATTATTATAAAACAATTTTCAATTGCATTTAAAAAACAAGCATTTATTAAACAAAGCATTTAAATACAGTATAATAGTATTGTATTGAAAAATTATTTAAAAAAAACTTTTAAAATTTACAGTTTATTATAATTAATAAAGTTTTAGTTTTGACTTTTCACTGACCGGTCAATAGATGGCATGGGGGGGGGGTATATATACATTCAAAAAATCTACAATATTTTCAATAGTGGGGCTATTTGTGATTTCATTCAAATCAATTTTTGGTGGGGGGCTATTTTTCGCTTATTGCCCACATTTCCACATATAGCCCCATATGGCCATGGGGGGCTATTTGCGGGTTTATACGGTACAGTATATATCGATAGTATACCGATATATATATATATTTAAAATACAGAGAATATATATATATATATAAATTTATATATATTTGTAAAATAGATATAAAAAACAATTTATAATTAATAATAACTTTTAGTAGAGATGACAACATTGATTAGTCTTTCGGGCCGTTTTGTAGAAGACTTTGCTTTGTGAACTCAAGTCTTCACTCTTGGCCACCAATGTGTCCAACTTTTCGCCCCTCTGTAGTATACTAGTGATAGTATTGTGTAATATTATCTTTGTTTCGTCTAAATCTTCTTGTATTTTAGTCATGGCATCCGCCTCTTTCGGATTCTGGTATTTGGCCAGATATCCATCGAGTATAGGAAATGGTGCCGAACTGTTTTGGGGGGGGGGGGATCAATCAAATTAATAGTTACTGTAAATACTGTAAATATTAATTTTTAAATAATAATATAAATTTTAATTTATATTTATTTACTTTTCCATAAGAGTTGGCCAGGAATGTGATGGTATAGACTCAGAAAATTCGTCCAACACTTTGCTGATGAGTGTGTGGGCCACTCGGTGTGGATATTCGTGATCCGAAATGATCACTCCCGACAAACCATCAGACTTGACATAGATATGACAATTATATTCTGTTAATCATAAATAAAACAAACAAACATATGGTTTGATTATTATCATCAATAGTCACAATAAATGTTTTCATCGCAAACCTTGTTGTTTGACTGAAGATCGCGAAGCCTTCTCTGACCGTTCAACACATACTTTAGACGTAAACTTCATAAACTCGGCCACACTTTACAGTAAAAACAATAATAAATTATATGATATAGTAGTCTAATCAATGAATAATTATCAACAACAACAACAACAATCAGATGAAATATAAACAATACTTTCATTATATATATTGTTATCACAAATACCTGTTCCTCTGGAAGAAGCCGAACGAAGTCAGGTCTTGGGCTGACTTTAAGTTAATCACCCGATTGTTCTCATTCTTGAACAATACAGATATGTAGTACAGTTTGACCATCTCTTCGTCGTCTTCTTCTTCTTCTATTAACTATGAATATCAGAAATGGGAGGACCAGTCAGTGGTGATTGTAAATATCGTAAGGTATGGCAATCAGTGATAGTAATGTTGTTATTGTTGTTGTGATAAACAGTAATAATAATAATAATACTGTGTTTGTAATACACAGTCAATGATATTCACTGTTTGATTACTATTACATACACTGCAGTAATAACTGTGAGTCTCTCTCTCTCTCTCTTTCTCTTATTAAACGTGTAGTCAATAAATTCATTCAATTAGTTCACTCATACATTCCAATAACATTGCATGACATCACTCCATAGTATGTATTGCAAGTGAGCCCACACTTTATTGGGGGAAAAAAATATACAGTAATTGATATTTACAGACATTAATAAAAATAATTATTGTATCTATTTATAGGAAAACAATTAAATTAAATCAAATTATTTTTTATTATTTCACAATAATAGTAATAATAAGTAACACACAACACAACGATTGTGTGAAATATAATTCAATTAGTATTTAATTAAATTATTTTGTAAAGTAAACCACTGTTTAAAACATTTATATATATATTGAGTGACATCTATATTGTGAACATTGACTATGAGTTGTAGTGTTGTCTGAATTGAAACTTCCGTATCCTTTCCTTTCGGTTTGTTTGTTGCCATTCAATACACACAAACAAATAGGTATGTCTTTGATTTGACCATTAATTGACCAAACTTTACACCGATTATCAACCAATCGGATCACACATATTATTCACCCGTTATTTGATTTATAGTAAAAGATATGCCGATTATGTGACCAAAAAAGTATACAAATGTGTGATCTGTTTGTCGATAACCAGTGAATGCAAACCACGTTTTCTTTGATGATAATTGTTTTTGTTTTGTTTTTAATGATAATTGTATTGTCCATACATTTGTTGTACAGATATACTCCGTAAAAGATGGTAAAAATGAATAAATTAGTGACTTCTTCGCGAAGGAAGAATCGCAAGAAGCACTTCAACGCTCCGTCACATATCCGCCGAAGGATAATGTCTTCGCCGTTGAGTAAAGAGTTGCGACAGAAATACGGAGTAAGAAGTATTCCCATCCGAAAGGACGACGAAGTCCAGGTATAGTTGTTGTCTTGTTTGGTGACATTTTGATGGAAAACCAATTGTTGTTTATATGATTTGATGGATAACTAATTGATTGTTTTCATGTGTATGTTTCAGGTGGTGCGCGGCCACTATAAAGGCCAACAAGTGGGCAAAGTTGTCCAATGCTACCGGGCCAAATATGTCATCTATATTGAGCGCATCCAACGAGAAAAAGCTAACGGCGCCAGCGTTTATGTCGGCATTCATCCATCAAAGGTAATTAATTGAATATCATAAACAACTTCTTTGAATTGAGTGATAACCACATAATTGATGCATTCATTTCAATTGAAAATAAGTGAATGTATTAAAATCGTTGCAGTAGTGGTAATATTAAACTGATTGTGAGCAGTGTTTTGATGATAATTCAAAGATATTGTCTAAACTTTTCTAACTATTCAACAATTGTTTTCAACTATTTTTGTTTGGTAACCAATTTAGGTGGTAATTGTTAAGCTGAAGATGGATAAGGACCGCAAGAAAATATTGGAAAGAAGAGCAAAGGGCCGACAACTGACCGACGGAAAGCTGAAGGGAAAGCATACCGAAGAGTCGGTAGCGATGGAGTCTTCTTAATCCATGTTTTTTTGGACATCAAATTTGATTTATTATTTTGAATTATTTGTTTTGTCGTAAATTAAATAATAAAAAGCGATAAATTTAAATAACAATTCATTATAAAGTTTTGTTGTTATTTATGGTTTGTTTGTTGTGATTATCGGTATATTTAAATATCTTATCATTTAATATCAATTATTTGAGTGTTTGATATGATAACAATTTTTTTGATTGTTTGTCATTATCTCAACTAAAGTTTGATATATATATATATATATACGGTATATATAAATGTGATATATCTCTTAGTCTTCCAGATTGTATGTCAAATACTTGGTGGTAGTACTGTCTGTCTATTTAGTTAGTTAATTACATGACATTTTAGGGTAATTGTGTTTAATTTTGTTTATGTGTCTATGTAATTGAACCATGGCTATTTTTTTTCATGGTCTTTAAAAATCAAATATATCTGATTTAATATTGCTCAACAAAAAAAATTAAATTTAATTTTATATATTATTTAATATATATATATATATATTAGCTAAATGCTAATTATTTTTGTTAGTGCCTTTGGGGTTCATTTGTTAACCTAAATTTAAACGAGAGGTGTAATCATAGTTTTGAAAACAAAAATTCAATTTCATTAGTAATTTTCTAAATGTGAAGTGCGATACACATTAAATAAAAAGAGTTGTCGTTTAATAAGTGGTATTCAATGTCATAATAAAATTTATTTTAAAAAAAAAACTAAAGACATTGTATCGAAATTATTTTCAGTTAAAAAGTGATTCAATAATTTATTTAGTCTTAAATATTAATTTATTATAAAATCATTTAATAAATTAAATTATTAGTTATAGACGTTAATTAATATTAAAATATATTTTGATTGGAAAGTCATTTATTGACAACCACTGTAAGTACAAAATCATAATTTCTATTATTATTGTTTTAATAATAATAATATTTCTAATTGTAACCTAACTATAAGTTGACTATTGATTATAACTATTAATAAATATATTTTTTTGAAGTATCACTTGAATTATGTACCGGTATTTGTAATATAAAAATTATTTATAATTTACATTATATTTGATGAACGAGTTCATGTTGAGATAATTTGTACTGGATAGTACAAATATAATAATAATAATAATTATTATTATTATTATTATCATAACCATTCCAGTATATACTATATACATGTGAATTTATATTTTCAATTAGTCTAAATATTTATATTGTGTTTTTAAGATAACTAACATAAATTAAAATTAATTTAAATAACTTATCTTATAGTAGATTTTTTTTATAAATATAAATCAAAGATATTCTATAAAAAATTGAATTATCAAAATTTTATTTAGATATTTAAAAAAAACTAAAATTATTTAATATAATATTTAGTATTTAATAAAGTAAATTGTTTGCAATAAATAAGAAAATTGAACTTGTTCAAACTTGTTGACAATGTCATACATAAAAACTCACATTTGTTTCACGTGTGAGACATAAACTAGTTATTTTAGTCCAACAGTCAAACTTAATATATATATACAGTTTATTAATATTGAAAAATCAAAATTATGTTATCGATTGAGTACATCAAAAGTTTTAATAATTCAAAAACATCTAAAATCTTTCAATTAGTCATATATTATTAGAAAAGTAGTTTTCTATACTCTGTACTAATAAATTATACTGTATTTACCAAAAAAAAAATTATATTATTAAATCAAATAAAAGGTTTTAATAATATTTAAAATTATTTGTATAAAGTATCACAAAAAAATAATATACAAATTCTGTAATAATTGATTAATAGCTGTATATTTGTTATAACTTATTATATAAATATTTATATATTTGCCAAATTGTCCCTATATTGAAATATAGAAATCAATAGCTAATAAATTATTTAAAATAAATATATTTGTTATCTAATGTGATTTTTAAAAACTATTTATAATTATTGTCGCAATAGTACTGTATATATATGGCATTCAGGTATCCCAACAAAAAAACTAGAATTTAATGAACTAAATTTGATATTATATTTGCTCAACTAATACACATTTATTTAATAAACAAAAATTTTTTTATAACTAGTTATAATTTCTTAATATTTTGTTGTTGTTTTTAGTTTTTTTTATTTAGTTTTGTAATTTAATTTTTAATAGTCATTGTAAATTATTAATAAATAAATAAAATAAATAAAGTAAATTATTACTTAACTTATAATTAATACATAGCCGGCAACTTTTTAATTATTAAATTGTTTTAACTATTAAATTATTGGTAAATTTTAATATCCCTTATTATTGAATGTATGATATTTGAAATAATTTTACTTTTTTTAAAAAAAAATTTTAAATCATATAATACCTGTACTTTTATATATTATCAAAACTTGAGACATTGTGCAACAAATAGTGGAAATTTTTAATGTGTGATCTTTTTTCTAAAAAAAAATTATAGTTTAAATTTCAAATTTAAAAATATTATCAATTAATTTAAAGTCATTTAAGAACCTCAACTCGTTTTTCAGGGAGACTTGTTTTTTGTGTGTAAAATACTGAAGATTTAAAAAATATATTATTTTTTTTTTGTTGAAATATACTCTGTATTTACCAATTAATAAGTGTTTTGAAAGACATTCAGCAGTGGTTTTGTAGGTATTAAATGTCAAATCATTGGGTAAATGACACGACTCTTACGTAACGACAACAACAACAACAACAGTATTAAAAGAGAAACAATGATTTGCGCAAAAACTGATCCATATATTCATTAGTTAATCAATTGATTTGTTGCATCAGTCCATATGTCTACTGGAAATTATTTTTTTTTTAAAATACCTAAATATTACATATGTTTTTTATGTGTCAATTTCATACAATTTTTTTCAATGGTGTTTCATTAAAATTTTCAACAAAAAAAATAAATAATCTTGATTTAATCAATTTAATTAATTAATTATTTAAATGTTAATAATCTGACAAATTTGTTATTTAAAATTAAGTAAGTATTTTGATTATTATATATATAATTTTATTTTTAATTATACATTATTTTTTTAAATCAAAGAATTTGTTTTAGTTAAAAAAATTTTAGCACTAAATTCTTGAAATTACATAATAATAAAACTTGTAATATAAACACAACATGAAAATTATTGCCTGAGTTTTATTTTATTTTTTTGAGAGACCCTATTATTCTGTGTCCAACCAATGGATTTGAAAAGCGATAATAAAAATTTTCTCTCTATTTCTTAATATAAATTTATATGTATTGATCTTTGATCAGAAATTTTTATTGCAAAACTATAGCTATGGGACTAATGTTTAGTCAGTTTAAGTGCTTTAATACTTTACAATAAGACTAATTGATGAAATAAAATGTAATAATAATAATATTATTATTAAACTCTATGGTTTTGGTTGACAATTCAAGTGTCTGTACTAAAACATTATATGAGAGTTTAAATTAGAGATAACTCATTTAGTTGTATAATTTATGATTAAATATAACATTTATTAAATAACTTATATGTTGTACTATAGTATTAATGATATATAAATAATAATAATAATAATAACAATTAAAAGTTTCTCAACAAATATTTAACCATTACTTTGACTCTCAAACCACTTCTCACTCGTTTGTATCAGTAATTAGTAAAATTAATTATATATATATATAACTTATATTTACTTTATTTCACTGATTTTATATTTACTGATATAACTTATATAACGATATTAATTTGAAAACTTATTTTATTTTATTTGTTTTTTAAATATCTAGAAGTATTGTGTGTTTGACTTTTTTAGTATAAATATATTTATTGGGATCACCTGTTTATTTGAGAGCAAAATAAGATTTCATTGGAAATACAAAATACTTATTGAAAAAAATCATACATATATAAGAAGAAGTACTGTATTTGACAATTAAATGCAATCATTTGTTTTTCAAACATTTGAAACAATCAATTGTTTGCAACTATATAATGATTTTTGATTGTGGTTTAAGCTAACATTTAAAAAAAATAAATAATAATTATAATTAAAAATATTTATATTACTGTATAGTGTATAGAATTTTATAATAATATTTTTCATAATATTTTTATTGTATAATTAGTTTTAATAAGTTTAGTGTTTTATTTGTTTCATTCATTAAATAAGTATTATATCTGTATTTAAAAAAAATGTCAAATCTATTGTATGGTTTATCAAATAACGCTACGAAAGGTCTGGTAATTAGGTTTAATAATACCAGAGCTCGACTATTATATTGTTCATCAATTGTTTCATCAAAACAACAGCAGCAGTGTGTCCGAGGTATACATAATGGCAAACGTGGACTGAGAGCACTTCAAGACCATCTGCACCGGGAGATTGACTCAAAGCCTTTTGACGAAAGCGCCCACAGAAATGTCTTGCGAAGAGCTTTTGAGACACGCGATGACCTGAAAAATGCTCAAAGAATTGTCGTTAAGTTGGGATCGGCTGTTATTACCAGAGAGGATGAATGCGGATTAGCATTGGGACGATTAGCCTCAATCGTCGAACAGGTGTCTCAGTTGCACAACGAAGGTAAAGACGTCTTAATGGTGACCAGCGGTGCCGTGGCTTTTGGTAAACAACGATTGGGTGCAGAGATGCGGATGTCTATGTCGATGAGGGAGACTCTGTCACCCAAAGAGCTGTTCAAATTGGCTAATCCCGAGCCCAGAGCTGCCGCTGCCGTTGGACAGAGCGGTCTTATGGCTCTTTACGATGCTATGTTCACACAATACGGTGTCCATATCGCACAAGTAAGTAATAGTACAGAAGCTCTTTATTATACTGTATATCGATATATAAACTTTATATACGTTTACTATCACTTGTTATTCTTGTAAATGTATTTTTGTTTATTCATCGGTTTATCGGCTAATGTATTGCTAGAAAAAAAATAAGCTTTTTATATGATATATATTTATTTATTTAAAAAATGTTTTTTCTCTCTGTGTGTGTGTGTGTGTGTAGGTATTGGTAACAAAACCCGATTTCTACAATCCCATCAGTCGACACAATCTCAGGTCAACTGTCCTCGAGCTGCTAAATCTCAACATCATTCCCATCATAAATACCAACGACGCAGTGGTGTCGCCAGCGATGGCCGACAGCGACTTAGCCGGGGTGGGTCAATCATATCAGCAATGGTTGAATCAATCTAATCCGTCGGCAATTGATCCATATTATGGGGTACAGTAGACACCAGTGTCGGTATGACTCCCTATTTGGGAGTTACGATTCTGGTGTGATATCTGTCATCTCTGTTTGTGTGATCTTAATGTTGGCGTTACCACAAAAATAAATGATTGAATGTTTTATTTATTTTTTTTTCAATAATCTGTTTTTATCTAAATTTAAATATTTCGTAAATTTCTAATCTTTATTTTTTTGTACAATTGTTTTGTTTGTATAATCAGGTGATTAGCATTCAGGACAACGACAGCTTAGCCGCACATTTGGCGGTCGAAGCCAATGCCGACTCATTGATACTGATGTCTGACGTAAATGGTATTTATACATTACCTCCCGATCAGGAGGGGGCGCGACTATTGCATACATTTGTGTCATCAAATCAAGAATCAATTACTTTTGGTAATAAGTCACGGGTTGGTTTGGGAGGTATGGAATCCAAAGTCAAATCGGCCACTTGGGCACTGGAAAGAGGTGTTTCGGTGATCATATGTAATGGTATGGAAGATCAGGCGATCACTAGAATAATGTCTGGCAAAAGGGTCGGCACTTTTTTCACGCAATATCAGGAAAAGGTGGTCTCTGTTCAGACACTGGCAGCTAATGGTAAGTCATATTTTTGAATCAACTCTTTTTTGAATCAAATTTTGATAAGTCTTGTATCTAACTATAATCACAATTTTTTTTGGTTAAATAATTGATAAATCTATTTGTTAAATAATGTTAAATGTTTATCAATTAAAATTAATTACAATTAATGTTTTTTTTTGGTTTCCAACATTTGGTTTCTATTAAAAACCATTTATATATTTAGGGAAATTGTTGTCTTAAAATAATTAGAATATTCAAAATATTTTCAACAAAAAAAACTATTATTTACATATGTTGTCAACTCCTTTGACTCCCAGAGATTATTGCCAAAAAAATTTGTTATAACTATTATAAGCTATTATCTGTATGTTTTATCTAACGATCCCCATATGATATCATAGCATATCATTCATTTTGGATATTAATATTATATGTATCGATGGTGTTAAACATCACTGAAATATAATCACAAATTAAGATCTCTAAGGAAATAGATTTAAAAAAACAAAAAAAAAGTTTTTAAAAGTTATCTATCAGTTGCTTATAACTTATAACAATAATCAACAGTTTGTTATCAATCATTCCGGTTGTTAGCAAATGTTAGCAATGAATGATATATTATTAAACATCTAAGAGTTTAATAACACTTTATTTTATTTTGTTGAAAATATTTCAAATATTGCTAAACTGCCAAACATTTTACATAAAAAAAATTATTTAAATAAATGTTTGTTGCTTTAAACTCTTTAAAACAGTTATATATATAATTTTGTTAAAAATATGAGTTATGTGATACAATATTTATTACAAATATAATATTTATTAAAAACAACATTAAAAAGCAATTTATCTAAAATATAGCAATTTATTTAAGTGATATAATAACAATAATAATTATTATTATTATAAATTACAAGTTTTAGCTTAATTTACAATATATTTATTATTATTATTTTCCTCACCCATTGGTGAAAACAACAACAAAAGTGATAAATACCAACACAAATGCAAACTTTTATTTTTACTTTTGCGATACAAAAAATAAATAAAATCATTGACTTGTTATTGATATCGAATCCACAAAATCTTACTCTAAATTGATTTTTTCAAAAGCAATTTAATGACTTTTTTTGCTTTACTTTTTTTTCATTGAATTGTTTATTCAGAGCAAACTATATAGTTATTTGTTGTGTGTGTCCATCATATAATAGTTAGTACCCCTTACTATAATAGTTATAAAAAACAGCAAAATATAACAATATATTTGATTTATTTCTGGCTTTTATATCATCAACTCATTCAGATAATAATAAGCTCTCAGATTTTGATCAAATGCTATGAAAAAACACAAAAATTTATATATAATATATTGTTATACAGTATATTATATATACTGGATCTATAATCTATGAATTCATCCATGTTATTGATTATGTCTAACATTTTTTTGTTACTAAATTGTATAGACAGACACTTTGACAGCTCTCTCTCTCTCTCTCTCTCTCTCTCTCTCTCTCTCTCTCTCTCTCTCTCTTTCTTTCTTTCTCTATCAAAATACAACACAATATGTCTATTAATAGCCCAATAACTGTGTTCAACAGTTGACAAGAATTACAATAATTAAAAGTAATATTATTATTATTATTATTAGCATAATATTATCGCATAAGTGTTTTTAGCAAATTAATGGTTTGTTTAAGCATTGAAAAACAATTTGTCACTTATATTATCAAGCAATTAATTTTAATATAACAAATATACTGTATATAATGGTATGTTATTGTGTGTTAGTGTAATTAAGCATTTTTTATATGAGTTTGACTGTTAAACAAACAAAATTATTTTAAATTGTCTTCAATTGCAAGAATCCGTAAAATCATTATTTATTAGGATATTTACAGTATTTAAATATATAATATTTTTTTGTTTGTTTGGTTTTAGTTTAGGTGTTTGTGCTCTCTATATCTCCTAATTGCCTAAACATTTAGCGATTAAAATCAGCGATTTTTATCAATAATGCGACATTTAATTAGTATAATTTAAATTAATTAAATAATTAATTTCACTTTATTTTTATTTAAATAGTATATTATTACTATTTCGGTAGAATATTACCAATTATTTTGTTAGACATACAGACAGTCCTGACTATTGCCGAGACATTTATCCAATCATTTACATTATTGACTGTTTTTAGACTAAATTTTTTGGCACATTTTCATATTATTTTACATTTATGTCGTTCAATATAACTGTGATCTTAAACTGTGATTAAATTACTTTTCTTTCTTGTGATTTGTTTGTTTTGTATCCTTTAAAAACTTCAGAGAAAATGACAATAAATATATCATATACTATATAATAATAATAATACTAATAGTAATACTAATAATAATAAATTAATTTAATCAAAACACACAATCATTGGTTTGTTTTTGTTATTTTCAAAATTATATTTGTGACACAAATTGCTTTCAAAGAAAAAAAATTTATTTATAATTTATAAATAAAATCATTTTTATCAATCATTCACTTCACAACTTGAGCTAAAAATATTTGAATGAATAGTAAATTTCTGGAGAAAATAAAAAACAAATTTATATATTTATTTTTATTCATCATTTTTATATAATAAATAGTAGTATTTCTCGGAAAAACTTAAATTTTTATATACGATTTGATAAATAGTTTGAATTCTTTATGATTTTTATATATCATATTATTTGATTATTATTATTATTATTACTACTACTACTACTACTATCAATATTACTATTATTGTTAGTCCCAAATATATATGTGAATTAGTTTATTACTACTACTATTGTAAATAACTTAGGAGTTCATAAATATTTGAAATCTCAAAGTCCAATGACTCCTATACTTCCGATTAATAGACTATATATAAGACTCAGTTTTTGACTTTTTTTATTATTATTATTATTATTAAAACACATCATCTTTTAATATTAAACATATATATAATAGTATTGTCGGAATTGACTGACTTGTGTTGTTTGGTCCCCAACATTATACCCCACCAGTGCTTATGAAAGCATTTTATTAAAAAAAATCAAAAAAATCAAAATCATAGACAAAACAAAACAACAAAAAATTGATAGCAATTGTCGACTGAATTGAATAAACATTTTTCTAATTCTTCAGTTGTCGTCCTCGTTGTCTATCTTTCTTCACATAAAAATTCTTTGTTATATATTATATATTTTTATGAAATTTTCTCACATATTGTGATGTGATTTATGTTTGGCTTTAATAATAAACTGACACTACTTTTAACACAAAAAACTTGTCAATCATATATCATAAATAATAAAATATATAATATATCTTTTGGATATTTTTTAAAAAATCCATTATTATGTTGATTACATAACAGCACGAAAGGGCAGTCGTGTACTACAAGCACTGACACCCGCTGAGAGGTCCGATGTGATCGTACGGCTGGCAAATCTGTTGCAAACAAAAAAAGATGAGATTATGTTAGCCAATGCTCAAGACCTGCGAGCGGCCGAAGCTTCGGGTAATTGTGGCTTAAAATGATAACAAACATAACCTCTTTTTTTGGCCCCAAAAAAATTGATGTCTAATTATTTTGTATGTATAATCAGGTCTTTCCAAACATATGATCTCGCGGTTGACTCTGACACCGGAGAAACTCAAAGACTTATCGGAAGGTTTGCTTCAAATTGCCGACCAATCGCACGACGCATTGGGTCAATGTCTGAGACACACTTTGATTGCCGACGGCATACACTTGAAACAAGTGACGGTACCGTTGGGCGTACTGTTAGTGATTTTCGAGTCACGTCCTGACTGTTTGCCACAAATTGCCGCACTGTCTATAGCTACGGGAAACGCACTGCTGGCCAAAGGTGGCAAAGAGGCCACTCATACCAATACATATCTTTATAATTTAATTAAAGAGGCACTTTCCAATTACGAGTCGGCTGAAAATGCTATTGGACTGGTATGTCATGAAATTGTCAATATTAGCACTTTTGTGGATTAATTTACAATTTAAGATATCATAAAACAAAAAAAAACAATATTATATCTGAATTATAAATTTGAATTAGTTACTGATTTTTTTGTGACTATTTTTTATAAAAAAATTAAACCAATAGGTTAGTAACCGGGAGGACGTTAGCGAATTGCTTCAATTTGACAATTATATTGATCTGGTAATACCCCGGGGCTCTAATGAATTGGTCCGCAGTATTCAGGCTCAGAGCAAATCGATACCAGTTTTAGGACACAGTGAAGGCATTTGTCACGTCTATGTCGATATCAATGCTGATCGGAGTAAAGCTCTTAAAATTGGTATATATTTTATTTATTTAAATGTTATATAATGTGATTTACAATTGAATTTCTTTTATAAAAATATAAATATTATTATCAGTTTTGGACTCCAAATGCAACTATCCATCAGCTTGTAATGCAATGGAAACCCTATTGTTGCACAAGTCGTTATTGGACACCGATTTTTTTGCCCAACTGTGCAATGAACTGAAAGAAAATGGTGTCGACATATACGCCGGTCCCAGACTGTCCAAAAAGTTGACATTTGGTCCACAACCGGCCAAATCGTTGCGCACAGAGTACGGATCGCTTGCCTGCACTATTGAGGTATTGTAATTGAGAGCTCATGTATATATTAATATAACTACTGTGTAGATGGCTATAAATAGTAGTAAAGATAATAATACGATAATATAATATTACTTTTTTTTGTTATCATAAGATTGTCGACGACGTGAATGATGCCATTGAACACATCAATACATATGGTAGCGGACACACCGATACCATAGTAACAGAGGACAGTAAGTTTCCTTTTTTAAACACATCTATTAATAACTGTGTATTACATCACAGTCTTTTAATTTTATATAATATTACTATTGGTTTTTTTTAAACCATTGAATATGTCTTTTTTAATACTTTTTATCAGATATATCGTCACATTATTTCCAAAAAACTGTTGACAGCGCCTGTGTTTTCCATAACATCAGCACTCGGTTCGCTGATGGGTATCGTTTTGGATTAGGTATATAGATATAGATATATCATATATATATATATAGATAAATAATACAATAATTTTAGATATTGTATAATACAAGCATTTGTAGAGTGTATATAATTTTCATAGTTTGTTAACTAATAATTAATAACTTATTTTACAAATATATTTATAAACATTTATTGAATTAATACAGGCGCTGAAGTAGGCATTTCCACTGGCCGTATACATGCTAGAGGTATATTATTATGTCATCTATTGATTATTAATTTAGTCTATTCTAGTAAATCATTACTACATATAAAAAAAATTATAACCCAACACTTACACAAATAAATACACACACAATTATGTATCAATAATCTCATTGATTGTATATCTATTGTTTTTATATCTATTATATTATTTTACTCATCACTTATTTTGTAGGACCGGTCGGAATGCAGGGCCTGTTGACTACCAAATGGGTTATTAATGGATCGGGAAATACAGTATCGGAGTTTTCATCCGGTGATAACCACTATAAACACGAGGCCTTACAGTTAGAAAACTTTGAGTGATTTATTGAAGTGTAAAAACTGTATAATGACTACTGTGTTACCAATAACATAATAACATAACAAACAAATTAAAACAACATAAACGTGTTTTTATATGATTTTTATATATATATACGATATATTAAAATTCATTCATTCATATGTTAATAAAAAATAAAATATTTGTTACAATTTTTTCTTCTCTCTAATTTTTGTATAATAAATTTAAATAACTAATTAAAACTGATTGATTGACAAATTTAACTAACACTATATTTATTTTAACTATAAATTTTAAAAAACAAACAATATTGGGGTAAATTATATTTGATTAGTTGGATAATAAAAATAAAATTGAAGTTGAAATTTGTCTATTCAACCAAATTGATTGATATATCAAATTTTGTTTTATAATTGCACGCTATTTGACAGCTTTATACATTATTTTGTGGTTTATTTTCAATTTGAAACTAAATCATTCTCTGGCTTTATATGGATTGAAAATTGGAAAACATTTTGTTTTTGATTATATATTTCAATATTAAAAACATCTATTAATAACAATTTGAAACAATATAAAAGAATATTTGTTTTTTTAAAGAGTAGAAAATTTGAAACTTATTTTATTTTTTGAAGTCATTTCTCAAATGACTTCAACACATAATTGTTAAGTCATTTGTCTTATATATATTATATATATATATATATGTAGAGAGAGAGAGAGAGAGAGAGAGAGAGAGTCAGTTTTTCTTAAGTTTTATATAACAAACAGATTATTCTATATTTAGATTTTTAAAAAATTTTACAACTGAATGCATGTATAATAAGTAGTGAAAACATTACTAACATATATATATACAGTATATATATAGAGAGAGAGAGAGATAGAGAGAAATGTATTTTGCAATTGCAAGTCATATATAACTGTATATAAAAAGCTATATATACTGTATTAGTATTATATGCCTGGTTTTGTTAGATATAGTTTAGTGATAGTGTTTGCGCCAATATATCCAATATATCTATCGTTACTGACGACTTAGCACAGCCAACAACAACCACACCAACAAAGCTATGGATGAAAACTATGCGATGAGTTTACTTACTATAGTACAGTCAGTACTAACTACTATACAGTATATTTAATATAAGGCTCCGGGAGTCGTATCCAAGACATTTCCAGGCATAGCATCTATGATGTAATACACTCACAGATCTCTTGTAATCAGATTTAACGAGATTTTTTTCAGTCAAATAATAATTTTAAATTTCATTTTAAATTATATATATATATAAATAAATAAATATATATTATATAATATATGCTATTTTTTCTTTTTTTATATAAAAAATAAGACTATATTTAGCAATTAAATCCCCGTACGGTTTGAATGACATTTAAAATGAGACAAATCGTTGACATTTCATATGACCTCAGCCTTGAAAATGTCTATTAAAAAAGTCTTATTGAAAATTAAATATCAAAAGTAATAGTTTTTTTATTTATTAAATGCTATAAATAAATTTAATGCTATTGTTTGTTTGTATTAGAAAATCATTTAATTTTTATCAACCATATATTATTATAAATTTATATATATAATCTATATATATACAGTATATATATATATAAATATTAAAGAGTGTACTGTTAATTAAAATGTGATTTTTCATGAATAAATAAATTAAAATAAAACATACATTTGTTGTACAAATATACAGTATAAGACAAAAAACTATATATAAATATTTTTTACTGAATATTTATTTAATAAAATTAACATTTAACTTGAATTATTGGATTTTTATAAATAACTATCTTAATATAGCATATAGTAAATGTTATACCAGTATATTACTAAATAGTAGATAATTTATTGAATAATATTTAAATGCAATACTAAATTACAATTACAGTATTTAAATTTTACAGTATTTTTAATATTAATGTTTGTATAAATTTTGTAATAAATTTTATTGTTATGTTTGTACTGTATTTATAATAATGTATTTTCATCAGTTATTTAGAAAATAAATAAATAAATACTATTAATTACAAAATCAAAAAATTTATAAAATAAATTATACTCTATAATTATCACATTATTATTATTAATCAATAAATTAATGAACAGGTAATTGTGTGTAAGCCATAAAATTGATTTAATTATATTTCTTAAAAATAATAAACTAATTTATAATATGTATTTAAGCTATTAATAGTTCGCTATTGTATATAATTAAGCAAATACAGTAAAATTGTTACATAATATGTAAATACAAATGACATTATAGTTATACCGCTACTTATTCAGTATTATATAAGTATATACAGTATATTGTCTATCAATTAGTCTATAAATAGTTGACTAATTTATATGATAAAGTTATTTATATAATTTGACTGATTTTCTTATAATACATATGTATAATAACTACAGTATAGTATATACTAAAAGTAATACATATGTAAAAATAAAAATACATTAATAAACATACATTTGAATAAATGACTATTAATAAGAATATTTCAATATATCTGAACGAAAATACATTGAAATGCTATTTATTTGTAAAAATAAAATATAATATCAATGTACTGTATATATTATTATTTTTCTGAATCAATATTATTGATATTATTTTACTATTAATTTAATATTGTATTTAATAATATTAAAAATAATAAAATAATGTATAGATAACTTATAAATATATATATATATGATATAAGGTGATATCTAATAATTTTTTAGCCTATTAAACTTTTTTTTATAAATATTATTATTGTATATTTTTGAAAGTAATAGTAAAATAATAACTATTTAGTCAATAAAAATAAATAAATATTAAATAAATAGGTATCGGATTAATATTAACTTAAAGTAATAGTAATACTTATTATTAGATAGGAATAGTCAAGCATCTGAATAATGTTATCTAACTTTGATATTACAGTACATAAAATTATTTAAATTATGTTGAGTTTCAGTTAAATTTTTTGATATTAGATAAAGTTAAATGTTTAATTTTAAAAATAATAATATTTTTATAATAAAAAAATTAAAAAAATAATAGCCACCTTGACTATGTATTTCATTAATGCTTATCTATGCTATCGATAAATCATTAGATCATTAATTTTATTATCAAGCAATAAGTGTGTGTTTGTATATATAGTTTATTACGTTATTATTATTATTATCTTTTTTTTGTCGACACAATTTATTTTTTTGGTTGTAAATATATAAATAAAAAATAACATTTAAGGTATGCACTGATTGAATGGTATTTTTAGGCAAAAAGTTAGATTTTTAAAAATCATATTTATCCGTTAATTATGTTGGGATAACAAAAAAAATTTTAAGGAGTCTATAAAAATATATTGCCATCACAGAGACAATGTTATGATAAATAAAGGTAAATAAATGTTGAATGATTTAATGGTGACGGTATGTATAGATATATAGATAAATAGAGAGAGAGAGAGAGAGAGAGAGAGAGAGAGAGAGAGAGAGAGAGAGAGAAAGTTATGATTAAACCGACACTTATTTTAATGAATTGATTAAATCAAATATTGGGACGTGGAGTTCAATAAACTGTACCGAAATTATAAATAAATATAGGGATGACCACCACTACTACTACTACTACCGCTACTAAACTTAATATAATATCGAGTGATATATGAGTGAATGCATGTCTTATCTTACATAACATGTCATACAGGGTTTAATAGTAAAGTAACATGAGATCAGCCATTCTCTCTCTCTCTCTCTCTCTCTCTCTCTCTCTCTTTTTCTCTCTCTCTCTCTCTCACTCACTCACTCACTCACTCACTCACTCACTCACTCACTCACTCAACTGGTCTACCAGTATATTAACTTTGGTCACTCTATTGACTATCACATCAACAATGCCGGTGCTCTTAAAGTTTTTCTATCTCTCTCTCAATAAATATCACATGTTTGCCATCTCTTATATAATATAATGATTGTAATGACTGAACCAATAATTATTATGTTTTGGGGAAAGTTTGACTGCAATTACTGTTAGTCCATCAGTTGGACAGATATATATATATATAGATATATAGATAGATAGATAGGGAGAGAGAGAGAGAGAGCATGGAGAAAGTACTGTATATATCAATAGATAGCTAACAGTGCTAACAGATTATACACTATATGTACAATAATAGATTATTTATGTGTCTCTTTTACTTAACAAATAATCATCAAATGCAATGACTTTTAATACAGTACTACAATCACACTCACGGCTCACTCCTAACTATATTAGCATTTAATTATAGTCGTCTACTACTATGTGTGACATTCAATACAAATCTATATAACAATTGATACTTGAGTTTTACAGTTAGTTAATGTAATCTGGATTTTTGGATAGGAAGTGGTGGTCAATAACGGTTAATGCATTATATCTATTAATAGATGAAATGATAGGCCACTAAATAATTTAATGAAATACTCGTTTTTATTTCAATTGACTTCTATCTTAATATCTTGTATTAATTACAACAACACATACTTACTCTATACATAAGTATTGTTGTATACATTACATTAAACTAGCAATTCGTGTCTATCATTCATCAATTAAAAACAAAAAAAAACAATTAAATATCTCAAATTAGTTATTCTAAACAATGTTCACTATTATTGGAAAATAACATAAAAAATAATAATTTAGACTAAAGTTTTCTGTATAATATAAATAAAATAGATAAATTCTAAAGTATCAAAAATAAACTAGATTATTTATTTATTTATGTTAATTATAAATATCAATATATTTTAATAATATAATATTGATATACTGTAGATACGGTATAAATTTTATATTAATAGTAACTAAATTATTTGCATTGACTTATATAAATATATTGATAGTGTAGACACTGTGGACATATGTTTGACATTTGTGTGATTAAAAATAGCATTCAATATAATTTAATTGATTATTTTTATCATGCTAAATTGTTTTTTATAGTAAATATATTATATAATTGAATGATATAATAAATAAATGGTTTCTAAATATAAATACTATACCATTATTGTGACATTTAATACAAATTAATAAAATGTAGTATCTATAAGAAAAAAATACATTAATATAAATGACTATATTTTTATTTACGTATTTACTGTAACATAAGAAAATGTTTTATAGTTAATTGTTTCTTATATATTGTATATATTTATATAAAAAATAAATGTATTTATCAATTTATGTTTTCTATTTTTATATTAATATACCAATACTTAATCATTAAAATAAGTGACTTAATTTTTTTTACAAAAATTAAATAGCTTTTATAGAATATAATTTTAAAAACTCTAATATTTTAAAATGTTTTTTTTTGTAAATATCTATTAAATTATTGCATCAAATATTAATTTTATTAGTATTATTAATACATATTATTATACAAACTGTATATCAAATGTCGAGAATATATTTAATAAAAATTTTTAAATAGACTTTTTGCATATATTTTAAGCTATTTTTATAAAAAAAACATTTCTAAGAAAACATATTTATATTTATTATATTTTGAGATTTTGTTTATTGTATGGATGTAGTAATGTATAATAACTTAGTCTTATGTAATTATTTAGTTTATACTGTATAATATGTAATAGTATTATAGTGTACAGTGTATATATATATTATAATGCATAATAATATCCAAATATTTTTAAAAATTTTAACAAATATTTTGGCATTAAATTCTTTGAATTTAATATTTATATAGTTATTGTTATATTATGTGTAAATAAGTTGTTAACTAATTATTTAGCTATTAATTAATTAAATGTATATTTTTTTTAAAAAAGTGCATAATAAATGTTTAGAAAAGATAAAATCTTATTATTGTAGATAATTTGTAGTATTTTAACTATTTTTTTACTTAACTTCACTTAAAATAATAATATAATATTCAACCAAAACATATGATGAAGTTGTTTTTAGTTTGTTTTGATAATACAAATAACAATAACAAAAAAATTGTTAATAGATTTTTATATATTTATATATTAACTTTAAATTTAAAAAAAATATTTAAATGTTTTAAAAAACAAATAAAACGTTAGTATCAATTAATAAAAAAAAACATTTTATATAAAATATAAAAAACAAAAGTCAATAAACTTAGACATGAATTAAAAATAAAATCTTTGTCAAATTATTTACCAATTAATTTTTTATAAACAAATTATTTTATTAATATAAATTAATATATTACCGATATTATATATTGATTTTGATTGTATTAGTATTAAATAAAAATAAATTATATATTTTTTAAAAATAAAAAATCATTTTATTTTATTGCAATACTTTGCATTACTAATTATGATTTGGTCCAATAATTAACATTACATTTATAATAATAATATTATTGTTTCAATAATTTATGTAAAATGAAAAACAATGATATTTTAAAATATATTATATACAGTAATAGTCATACTTAATACATACAAAAAAACATTATAATAAATAAATATTATAAATAAATTAAAAAACATTTATGACAATATTTAAATAATTTAATTTACATTAAAATCATATTCAATAATTTATATAAAAGTAGTCAACATTTTTTTAAAATTATTATTTTGATATATTATACACAACTTTCCTCAGCTGGAGTTCCTTTCAAAAGTGACTGACTGTCTATATCTATGGACTGGTATTTGACGCGAATATCAATGTTATCGTCGGCTAAATCGTCGAGAAGTTGTTTAATAGTCGGGCCGTCGATTCGCGGCTCAAACAGTGGATTCCTGACGGATGTGTACGCCATAAGAGGTGTTTCCTGACTTGACGTCTGCTGATGGACAGTGGCATTGGTAATGGTTGCACAGCTATTGGTGCCACCGTTATTGTTCATATTTGTCGCGGAAATGGCGCCGCCACCGACGCCACTACATTGGTTGCCACCATTGGTTCCGCTGTTGAGACTGTTCTTCAATGAACTCAACACTACAGAGCTGTTGGTCGTATTGAACGTCGAGTGTCGGATCAATTGGCGATTCTTGCGTTGACAGCACAGCACAATCATAAAGGCTTCCCTAAACTTGGAGCTGACAACTGCATACAGACACGGATTCAGCATTGAGTTGACATATAATAAGACGCGACAGAAGTATAATATATTATAAAACGATTCCATCGATAGCTGACTAATCGGATCTTCGGTAGTGAATATCATCCATAGAGTAAACACACGGAATGGTAGCAAACATATGAAGAAACAGATGACTACGGCGGCCAACATAAGCACAACCTGACGTCGGGCTCGCATTTGGATGTGCTCTGCATTGCATGTGATTCGACCGGAAGTGCTGTCGATACGGTCGTCGAGGATCAGCCGTTTGGTTATAATACAGTAGATGACAAGCAATACACATAACGGTAACCAGAAAAATGCAGTCATCGTCAAAAAATAGTAGATCTTTTGCCAATCGGTGTTGGCATTGGTCAGACACACCGATACGACACTATTGTCCACATAGCGCGCCTGTGATAGCTCTGTGCCGAATAGCACCGGAATAGTGGCCACAAAAGCCACACTCCATAGGACACCGATAATGATGACCGCCCGACGAATTGTGCACTTATAGCCAGCTTTCAGTGGCTTACAAATTGCGTAATACTTACACAAAAAAAGATTTTTTTAATAAAGTTATATAATTTATTTGATTTTTAAAATTTATTCTCAAAATTCTATTTATATTTTTCATTGTATTTTCCTATTGTTTACACTAAATATTAATTCTTAAATAATAATACAATGTTTTATATAATACTAATAATAAACGATTGTTTTGTCTCTTTGTGCTAAAAGCTAACAATTATTTTTTTATGATAGATTCTCCACTATATTCTTGTATATTTATAGATATATATTTTATGGTCTAAAAATTGATTGTATATATATAGGAATTTGATAGACATCGAAAAAAAACAACCTAACAGTGCTGCTAAAGCTGTCTACTTAGATAAGTGTCTTATATGTGATAATAATGTATGAAATAATAGAGAAAGAGAGAGGGACTCACTCTTTCAAAAGAGATGGCAAGTATTGTAAGTATAGAACCGTGAGCTACGACTAGTTCGACAAACGGAACCGCTTTGCCTGTTGTTGTGATGGCGTTATGATGGCCACGGCGTCGGACAAATAGACAGATGGTTAGCATATATATAGATGGTTAGAAAAAAGGAAAGAAAACAGAGAAAGAGAGAGAAAGAGAGAGAAAGAGAGAGAGAGAGAGAGAGAGAGTTAATCAAGATATTAAATTTAATGCAATTCATCACATTGTATATAACACAAGTAGAGAGACATACTATAGTCGACATAAGATATTGGGTTCACATTTTTTTAGGGTCTATCTATCAATTTTTATGGCATCTCTCGACACCTAACACACATATAAACACATAAAAACATATATTATTATATAAAGTCCTATCTCTTAGATTTTTTCTTCTTCTCGATGATCTACTATTACTACTACCACTACTACTACTACTACTAACAACAACAACATACTGATTGTCTAAAAATAAAAATAACTTTTTTTTATATAAAAAATACAGTACTCTTATTATATGCTTTTTTCCAGTAATAGCAACAACAATATTATTGTTATTATTATTACCCATTTTCTTTAGTTTATTAATATGCATATCATAATATTAAAAAGTAGTAATATTATATATATATATATAAATATAAATTTTCATAAAAGTTTACTCATTCAAATTCAGGATATAAATCATTGGTGATATAAAATACAAATCAAATAAAAAATTTATTTTTAATTTCTAAAATATTTTATATAAACATTATTGTGTATATGTTTGTGTGTGCTTTTGTGTTTGAATAAAAATTTTAAATGTAAATAATGTACATGACAAAATATTAGCACAATATATTTTTATTTATATATGCAATCTATAAAAACTAATATAAAAAACTAAGTACAGTATATATTTCATATATATTATATAAGAAAAAAAAGTTATAAATAGATATTAAAATACAGTATATTTTTTATGTTAGAAAGATTTCTTTATAAAACTTACTGTATATGATATATATATATATATATATTGTTCATAAAACATCAATAAAATCAAGTATAGTATTATACAACAATTTTTTTATTTAATATTGTTGACTATAAAAAAATTTTACTATGGGTGGCTATTTTAAATAAATTATAAAAGTTATATCTATACTTAAATTTGTTTAACATTTTTTTTATTTATTAGTTTAATTTTATTTTATATTTTTCCTTAAATTTATAAATACATTTTACCGTACATTTAACTAATGTATAAAAATATACTGTATATTACATATATATATATATATAACTTTATATATAAATATATTGTCACTTCTTTTAATAGATGCCAACTGTTTTTTTAAAGGTATTTATTTTTATCACATTTTTATAGCGTGTGTTTTATAGCTTATATAAGACTTATCATACACACAGAAAAAAATTATAGTTTATTTCTTTATACTGTATTTAAATTACTAGAGAAAAAAATTACAACAATTTTTTGAATAGTTATATAATACTCGTTAAAAATTTTAACATATTTAGCATACTTTTAAAATTTTTTTAAGTATGTAAGCACTAGATTTGAAGTGTGAGAGAGATATTAATTTATTTTATTTTATTATTTTTTTCTCCCAGACATACATTTGTTATATAATATGTCATAATTGATAATCAATAAATCCAAATTTTAAAATAACATAAATAAACGCTTAGTTAAACTAAATGACATATTTATTGTAATATATTAAATATAATGTATATTTTTAAGAAAAATAAAATAAAATAATAAATGTGTCTCAAAGTCAGTATTAGAAATAAATATATATCTTTTTTAAATAAAAAAAATAATTACAATATTTTTAGCCCAAACTTTAAATAGTTTAGTGAGAAAATTGCTATAAATTTTAGTCATACTCTCGGATTTCCTATTTTTTCTCTCATTTTAGATGACATTAAACGCTAATTATTTATTTTTTTTTCATTTGATAATCTAAATGATAATATCACACACAAAATAGTCAGTTAACGATGCCTACAAAAAAATTATATAACATTAAAAAGTGTTTTTCTTTTGATAAAAAAATTATATAATTTAGTAGTTAATTAATGAGTCGATAACGTTAAATAGCGTTTAATGCTCAGATACAGTATAATTTATTTAATGGTCTATAAATATATTTATATTTTTTTAAAGACTAAACTATGTCTAACATCTCTAATATATGATTATTGTTTTTATTGATAAAATATTTATAATTTTTGATTAGTCTAATAACAACGAGAGAAAAAAAATCGGGCAAAAATAATTTTAAAAATAAATATATAGTCGGAAAACATATCTAAAATGACAGAAAGTATTTATATATAATCTGATTTATAGAAAAAATTATATATATATATATATAAAGACTAAATGGTTTTGTCTGAAAATATACAGTACTGTATATATTGTGTATATTATATAATATTTACAATATTACTGTCTATGATATATAGTAGGAGAGGACGACTATATTATCGGAGCAATGCATCCAATATATGGACATTTAAAGATATATCTTTATGTACAACATTAGTATAGAGTATATAAATTTATATACAAAACATATATACAGTATATATATATTTGATGCACAGGAATGTCGTGTTTTTGCAATTTATATTGACTAATGATTGACTCAACTAAAGTATTAGGTTTGACTTAAAAAAAATGGTAACAAATTTATATAAAAAAGCAATTCATAAGTGATATCCACACCAACGCCCTAACAGATCACCGCTTCGACATAAACATTATATAACTAATATTATAAGTTATAAAAATATAAGTTTTTCTCTCTCAAACAAAACATACACACAAACAGAAAACATTTATAAAATTTATAAATTATTATATAATAAGATATAATATATAATATAATGAATATGTATTAATAGATCTAAAAAAAACTTTTTAAAAATATTGTTGTTTTTAATGTTGTCGTCAAATCGGTTTGTAATCATCGATGAAAATACTAGGGATTAAATGGTTTTTTACTTTTGATTCAATTTCCTGCTTTCATATAAACATTACAAATATATATTTAGCATTTAAAATATTTTCTTTTGATAATAATAAATAAGATAAAAACTTGTTCCATATTTTATATATATATATATATAAATGAAAATATAATAAGTTATATGAAATAAATATGAAAATATTTACTGAATATAATTTACGGTTATATGTATAAACAGTATATAATTTATATATATGCTGAAATCGTTAGTAAATAATAAGTTTTCAAAAATTATTTGCTATAAAAAAATAGTTTATCTAAAAAATTTTAAATATATAATTGATAAAAAAAAGAAAGCAAAAATGTAATGAATTAAACATTAAATGTTTAATTATCGCAAATAAATATCAATACTATTATATTTTTATCAGAAATTATTTTTAATCTGTATAACGGGTTTTTTTCTAATAACCATTAAAAAACTAGTATTTATCATTTTTTTTATATATATACTACATCATAAATAATATTATAAATAAATATTTTAACAGTCAAGCTATGATATGTTTAAAGATTTTTTTTGGTTACCGGTAAGCAATTAGTAAAATGTTATTAAAAATGATATGAATTTGATTATGTTATATATTAGTTGGTAGATTTAATAATATATATGTATATATAAACAGTATTAATAACATTTAAAAAGTTTATTCAATTATATTTGATTACTCACACATCCATTCACCCAAATGCCAGATCTCTGGTTTAGTATGTAATTCAATGAGAACCGTAGGCATACAAACTGATAAATTAAATAAATATCATATATTAAATCAACAACAAAAATAAATACATAAATTTTATTACATATATAATTTTTAATATCAATATTTAGATGTCATTTATATATATATATATTTAATTAATAATAATTAATTACCAATTAATACGAGCAGATCAGCTATACTGAGATTTATGAGAAACAAATTTGTTGAGTTTCGTAGCTCTTTGGTCTTAATGACAACGATGGGCACCAGTAGGTTACCTGTGGTACCCATTATCAACACAATGGTACAGACAATGGTGGCAGTCGTACGTATATAATAGGGAAACTCCGGTATTGAACCGTGCATTTGGTCCATCAGTGCGGAACAATTGCGCTCATCCCATGTCAGTACATCTAGTATAGTGTTCAATGAGGACTGGGATGTCAGTTCAATGGTGTCGGCATTAATCACTGTGTTTTGCGATATCAAGTGTTGCTGTAATTGATGACATGATGAAGAATTGTATGAATTAATAAATGTCTTGTTGTTATTATTATTATTATCCATTGTGTCGACAATTTTATTGTGTATCACATTTGACAGACATTTAACTGATTGTGCACTTCATTATCACTGATGTGATCACTTGAAAGACTAATTTTCTTAAATTGTTTTTAAGATTTTATTATCCACTGGTATCTGATGTACTTTTGTCAACAACAACAATAATAATCAATTGATCCACAAGTGGGGAAATAAATTTTGAAACAAGTATAACAAACAGTTTTCACAGTTAAGAAAAATTTATTATAAAATATTTTATTATTATCATTTGATTTAAATTATAAGTTATCAAATAATATTAACTATATATATATATATATATATATATATATATATATATATATATATATATATATATATATATATATATATATATATATATATTAAAAAACAAAACATTTTTCGATGTTTGCTAACATATATTTTATACAACACTTGATAATTATCATTTTGGGAATACAATATAAATAATAATTTTTAAAATATTAAATTAATAAATATTATAAACAAACAAACAAACAAAAAGTTTTTAACTAACGTTTGGCTAAGAAAAAAATAAATAAATAGTTTTTTAAAGATAAGTTTGCAAAATACAAGTGAGATAGAGATAGAAAGAGAGAGAGAGGAAAGAGAGATATAGATAGAGAAGCTATCAATTTTGGTCTCAATTCTTGTTATATTCACTTTTATCGTATTAATAGTCGTCGACACCACTATCTCTCTCACTCTCACTCTCTCTCTATATATATATTTCTACCAAAAAACAGACTGTGAGACTGCGCTAAATAAATAGCATACCGTTCCCCAGCATTTGTTTGTCTATCTTAATAAAACTATGGGATCATCATCACTACCACCAACACCACATCGCCACATATTTCTGGAGCATATACCAGGGTATATATACTGTACTGTATATTATAAATGCATATTTTCAATGGATAAACTTCAAATCACTCACTCAATCATTACTAAATTTTTTTTGTGTCTATAAATTACTATAACTACTGTATATTAGCACTAATGTATAAGTTATACAGTATAACACCAACACAAACAAAAATTAATTGCCTAATAATATGGTGTGTGATTTTACAACAACAACAAGTGTTTCAATTTAAAGTTTTACAAATATATATGATATAAATAAAATGATTTTTTAAAAATATAAATTCAAAACATACACTGCATAAACTAAACAACAACAAATTATAGGAAATATTTTAAAACATATAAAAACATACACACATTTAATAAACTGTTTTTTGTGACTGTTTTTTTTACATATTTTTAATATAACAGGATATTTAAATTTTAATGACACCTTGTTTATACCGGTATTATTTGATAACAAATTAAATGGACATGTATTTTGTGGTATATATATAAATATTAATATATATAGGTTTGGGTGATCACCACAAAAAAACCTTGAATATCATCATTTTTGAATAAAAGTTTAGAAAATAAGTTCAATAAAAAAAAAGTTTTACGACATAAATATTTCATAATATAAATATGCGATTTATTTATTTATTTTGGATTAAAACATAAAACTTGTAATCATTAAAATAATCATTTCATAGGAATTGCTATTATTTTTTTTCATTGGTTTGATTATCATTTTGTTTGGCATATATAGTAGTCCAGCGTTTGGCTACTCTATTGTATTCTTGTCGATTAGTTTGATATTGTCGGGCAATTTGTGGAACCAATGGATCGGCCGGATTGGGATCCGATAGGAGCTGTTGTATTGATAGCATTACTTGAGTGATAGTGAAAGCGCAGCTCCAGTTCTTCTTGAGTGTGTCCAGACATATGGAACCGTCGGGTGTAATGTTCGGGTGATATATTTTTGTCGTGAATTTAATGTGCGGCGCATGAAACGGATAGTCTTTCGGAAACTGTATCTTGATTTTGAAGGCACCGCCTTCGTATGGCGTGTCGGGCGGACCTTCTATAACGCCCTGCCATGAAAATAGGTCGTCACCGACTGGCTGTGCCGAACATCTGGGCGGCGGATCTTTTTGCAACTCTTGCAACTCTTTTTGTATCCTTTTGAGTGCCATTTACTCTACTACTGTGACAAAAAATGAAAGAAATTGTGGACCAAAATGATTGATTGTCGTCACCGAAAAGAAACTGATCACCCGATTGATTGTTCACTGATGATGGACACACCGCTCGTCGCCGTTTATGTCTGTCTATCGCCTGTTGCCTATTGGGCTAATGATTTTTAAACGGCCTTTTTTATTATAAAATAAAAACAATAATAATTTCAAATATATTTCAATTAAGTTAATTGTTGTCGAAAGTGATATATATATATATACAGTATATATATATATATATATATACAGTATATATATATATACATATATAGTATAATATAAACAAATGAATAGTTAATATTTTTTTATATAATAAATCAAATGAAAATCATTTTATTTTTTTTAAACTACATATTTTTGAGATAAAAATTAATTTTAATTATCAATAGTATAATAACGATAATTAATATGTTTCTGACTTTCCATTAGTGATCGTTTGTTTCCTTCATTGTTGTTGTTTTTACGGCAAATAATGACTGAATGGGTAACTATCGACACAAACAGCAAAGCCATGAGTATAGCGCCGCCGATAATCAATGACATATGAAGTGTATACAAGTGTGTCGACGAATAACGACGTTTCTTGACACTGGTCTCCGATAGGATATCATCGGCAGTTAAATTGGGAACTGGTAGCCGATTACTATGGCCATAGACTACAGTTATTTTACGTGTAATTATACCGAACTTTGCGATACAAACGTTTGGCGTTTGACAGTCAGTGCCCAATACAATAACCATTAGAGTGCATTGTTTTGGACGGGAAAAACTGTATGTCAGCTGAGGAATGGTATTAGTTTTGAATTCTATGTCATCGAAAAACCATGAATAGGACAGTTGTGTCAAATTTTTCTCATCTTTAATGATTTCAACTGATGCTGTCATTTGACTATCTGTGCTGATAGTCATACCATCGCTAATGAGTGTTCCGTTTTGTTTAATAATAATATTGCCATTAATTGAGCCCACATTGTCATCGATGGTACTACAATGGACAGACAGCAAACTGACATTAATCCCAAAAACTAAGACAAACGATATCACCAAAGCTGACATAATTGTTCACATTATATGAAAGTTAATAATAATATTAAAAACAACTCTTTTTATTACTGGATTCTGTATTTTTAGTAAAACTTTTGTTTGACTGCAAATTGATTTTAAAGAAGTTTAAAAATAGAAATTTTGCGATTATTTAAAGCAAATACAGTATATAACAATCAATAGTTTCAAAGTTTGTTAATTTTAATAATAATTATCACAATATTTATCACTTGTACAGTGTATGCAAAATAAATTCATCATTTACTGTATATATTTGATAATAAAAATTCTAATGAAAAATAATTTGAGGAAAAAAACAAATTAAAATCAATTGTGTATTTAATTTCATCTCATATTATGTGTTCAAAGTTTTAATTATCACTTAATAATAAATAATTGCTTTAGTTTTGTTGAATTCAACATTATATCTAAATAATATAAATGTTTTTTTTTTGTTGTTGAATATTTTATTTGTAAATGTTTATAATGATATATAAAACTATCAAAATACAGTATGTATTGTTATTATCTATCAAATGCAGTATTTAATTAAAAGATTTAAATTTATATTTGTTATCATTAAATAAATTTAGATATGAAATATAAAATACATGTATTAATAAATATTTAAAAAAAAATATTATACAAATAAATAAATATTAATTATTCAATAAAAATAACAATTAATGATTGTTAGACACTTCGCTTAACAATTTAGTGATCTGATCCTCAGTTAGTTCACTCTCGAGGATCACTTCCAACATTTCGCGGGCGTCACCAAAGTATACCATAAGAAGTGCCACTTTTGTTGTCTTATCGGTTATGATAAAAACAAACGGATGATTGGCCTTAAATAAGACACAATTGGGATCTTCTATAGATTTTTTGATAATATTGTTTGGGTCTGTCTTATTAGTTGATGATGTCTTGGATTTATGATTGTTGTTATGATTATTGTTGTGATTAACTTTGAATGTTGAATGAGTGGCACCCCTTTCGTCCACCAGAATAAACGTCTTGTGAACCAATTTAGTCAAATGAATCTTCTTCTGGTCGCACATATCGCCCAAATCAGCCAACGACTCCTCAAACAAATCAATGGCTCCCATCTGTTTGATGGTTCTCTGAAGTGATACTTTCTGGGCGTTCAATGCAAACCTCGGTATCCAGACGTTGACTTCAGTTTTCTCCCGTGTCTGCAATGTGTCCATAATTGTCGCGAATATATCGCGATTCAGATACTCAATGATTGAATGTCCGTCACTGTTGACATCACGCGGCAAAATGACAACCATTCGCAGGTCACTCGTTACGTACGGTATGGACACAATGTCGGCATCCAATTGTCTACTATGCATATACCGAAACTGACCCAACTGTCCAATCATTTGCAGATTTATTTTAATAGATTGGCCATTATTGGGAATAACAAACTCTTTTTTCTCGATTTGATCGAAACATTGGGCCCAAAAGCCGCGAAAAAACAAAGAAGTGGCCAGAATTAGCCGAACATTTTTGTTGTCTTCGCTAATGTCTTTGGCAATTATCAGACCATCGATGACACCGTCAGTGTTTTCCTGACTGTCGGCGTTAATCGTTTTGACCGTTTCCTTAACATTACTGAATGTAACTTTTTTTGGTTTAGTATTGAAATATTTTTTCAATTGATTCAGATATTTGTCTTTGAGTTGGACACTGTCGTCGACGTACAAGAAGTTGCTGAACATCAGTATATCGTGATTGTTCTTAATCATAGTCTGACGCAAATCTTGCCATTCATTGAGTACCGACTCATCGATGACAGCGCCAGCGATATCATTGATGTGTAACATTTTGGACAACTGTTTTTCGGTAATATTTTTGGAACCGATTCTTGACATTAGCAACGAATCGTAGACCGCCAGTGGACTGAAGCAAAGGTTTCGGTGCTGTTGTTTGTGTCGAGACATAAACACTTTGAACAGTTCAAAGCCGAACTCATTGACCGACTTCTTCAGCTTTTCATAGGTTGCCGATGATCTGGTCGTTGTCGCCGCCGTCGGCTGACTGGTCGCTGTCGGCGGAGTTGTCATAGTTTTTTCGATTGAGAGAAGTCGTTGTCGTTGTTTTCCTGTCTTTCAATTGCAATGATAACCAATAAACTATACAATATGTGTATAAACTCTATCAGTACTATAATATAAAAGTATATTTCAAATGTCATTTATCCTATCGATTATAATAATAATTATTATTATAATTATAAGATCATTGAGATGTGATGAACAAAAAAAAAGTTAGAAAGAAATTACAAAAAAAAATGTTACAAATATTCAAATTTAAATTAGTTTTCTTACTGTAATAATAATAATAATAATAATTACAAGTTATCGCGTGTCTAATAATACATTTACCGTAAAATGATTTTATTAAATGAAAACTTTTTTTCATATCATTAACATTTATATCAATTATTTATCACATTAAATATGATTATAAATTTATTATTAATGATCACTGAAGCATTTATTTACTACATATGTAACTTACATTTATATATTTTTTTAATGATTGAATATATATTAATCTATTAGATAATCTATAGACAGTTATAATGCTAGAAAAAAATGAAGCAAAATTTTACCAGTGATTACTTAATCATATTTAACCACATATTATTGAAACCAAAAAACATTTTTATAATAATTGTTAAAAAAAAGTAAAATTATATCTATAGTAATACAGTATGTAATAAAATAAGAGATTGGTATATAAATTAGATATTTGCATCACATATACATAAATTATCAAAAATACATTAAAAAACTACTGTATTATGTATGAAACAAATATTATTTAATTATTAATTTACCTAAAACTACATATAGTATACAATATATAATTTAATAACAACTTTTTATTAATATAAAATTAATTTAATTGAGACAATAATAAAACAAATTTTGTTTCAATTAAACATTTAAATATTAGTTATATAATTGGTATAGTGTTAAACAATTCAAGCTTTGCATTATCATTACTACAGTCCTATTGAACTGATTTAAATCATTATTAAATACCGGTAACAGTGTATCAAAGCACTGTTCAAACAGTTTTACAAACTTTATAAAAATTTAATAAAAATGTCATAAAAAACAATTTATAAAATAACATAATTAAACATAATTTATATAAATATACTGTATATAAAATTTATATGTAGTTTATACTTAACGTTTTGAATCTTATTGCTGAACAGGTCTACCAGATCAGACAATCACACTTTACACCGAAGATTAGCCACATATTCCCGATATACACGACCTGAACGACCACCGCATCGCCGGCTAACTGGAGATTGAGATCTCCGACGACGACTCGAGTGCCGGTCAGGACCGCTATCTCGATCTCTATCCGTATCATTACCCAAACCATTTGAATTACAATCTTTTATATCATCCATCGTATCGATTGAATAATTTGAATAAAAAAATGTTGACAAAAACCGAGTAATAAATTTGCGACAAATTAATTGATTGTAGTTTTCATACAAATCACACAAACAATCAATGAGTTATAATTTTGGCAAATGTTTGACAAAACTGGAAAAAATGATATCACATTTATTCGGAAAATTTCCTTAATTTTAAGCATATTATTAATAAGTAACAAAAGCAAAAAAAAATACATTCAATTAAATTTTTTTATAGATTTGAAAATTACCGGTATACATTTCCAGAAATATTAATTACGCATATAAATATAGTTTAAATTAATTGCTTTATTAACATAGAGTATAGTTAAAAATAATTAATTGCTTAATTAAATGACAATTTGTTAATATATATATAGTGTAACAAAAATTATGTAAAAACAAACATATCTTTGATTTAAAAAAAAGCAGAAGAAATAACTCCTTAAATGGTCTCTCCATTGATAACACATAATTAGATACCACACAAAATGGTCAGCAAATGATAAGTTTATATAAATATTATTAGTTGTAAATCACATTACATTCCCATACGTTGGGCGGCCTGTGATTGTTCAGTCTGTGACTTCGGACTCTTAATAGTTTCGTCAACAGATAATATCAAACACGCGGCCTCTGTTGCGGCAATAATGGCGTTCGCCTTCACGACTGCCGGTTCCCAAACACAAGCATCGAAATTGTTTGCAATATCTTCGTTAAGTATGTCGACACCGAACCATTCGTTACCGGTTTGCGAGTGTTTTTGACGCAATTTGTTCAATATGTTGGTCGCATCGAAGCCGGCGTTATCGCACAACTGTCGGGGAATCACTTCGAAAGCTTTGGCCATCGCGGCGATCAACAGTTGTTCTTTGCCGACAATGGTTCGCGAATAATCGCGCAAATACTTCGACAGTTCCATTTCGATGGCACCGCCGCCGGCAACTATGGCATCATTTTTCAGGGCTCTCCTCACAATCATAATGGCGTCGTGCAGTGACCTCTCGGTCTCTTCGATAAACTGTTCGGCACCACCTCTCAAGATAATTGTCACTGTCTTAGAGTTTGGACATCCTTTTAATATATTGAATCTGAAAAATTTAATGACATTTTTGTAAAAATCATTTGTTACGGTCATAAAACTAAGGCATAAATTATTAACTAATTTTAAGCCAACTCTCAAACCGATAAAATTTCAGTTTGAAATTCAATTAATATACCACAAGAGTAACGCCAATATCTTATTATAAATCCGATATCAACTGACTTCTTTGTGGAATAACTACTACTGTACTTAAAAAACAAGTTTAATCATACCTTTCGCCTCCTATTTGTAATTCTTCAAAGTCTTCACACGTGCCTAAATTACCATCGCTTAGATCGTAACACGTGGTCAGTATAGATCCGCCGCACGCACGCATTGTACGCTTGAGATCCTCTTCAGGTACGCGGCCGGCACAGAACAGATCTCGATCGGCAAAGTACTGAGTGGCCACATCTCCGATCGGCAACTTTGAGAGAACCACTTTGGCTCCGCTATCGTGAATCTTCTTAAGCTTTTCGTACAGTATTTCCCATTCTGCGTCCACCACCTTTTGATACTCTTCGACATTGTCCACTCGAATCTCGGCATTATCTTTCTCTGCCTTCAACTCGAGCTCTACATTAAGTAAAGCAATCTTCGGATTCTTGTATTGTTTCGGTTGCATCTCGAAGCCAGCATAGGAAAAGGTCTTTTTGAAAGCCACGCCCGACACTAGCATCGACTCCTCGAGTCCACCGCCGGTAACCTTCTTGATGCCGATCATATTGAGCGGCATTGTGTGTTCGTCCAATTGGAGGACAGCTTCGACCACCATATTGGCAAAGAACTCCTTCTGCTGTGACACCAGTTTCGAGCTCAAAGTCGTGAGCGCACACTTCACAAGAAGTGATCGCTTACCTTTGAGGTCGTCTTTCGATAACTTGTTTGATATCTCATTAATCTTATCGATACACAGTTGTCGAGCCTTACGATAACTTTTAATGATAATCTGCGGATGAACGCCATCCTCGATAAACGGTTTGGCCTGTTTGAGAAACTCGGCGGCAAACAATGCCGTAGAGGTCGTACCGTCGCCTACCTGTGCGCACACAGACCAACAAAACATGTTAATCAATCAATCATTAGTTGCCGACTATCGCGGAAACAACAAAGAGCTTAAAAACAATCACTGACCTCATCGTCCTGTGATTTAGCGATATCGACCAGTGTTTTAGCCGCCGGATGGATAATATCCAGTCGCTTAAGAATAGTAGCGCCGTCGTTGCTGATCGTGACCTTTCCGCTCGAGTCGACAATCAGTTTATCCATACCTCTCGGTCCAAGAGTGGTGCGAACAGCTTCGGCAACGCTCTGACACGCAGTTATATTCTGGATCACCTGACTCTTGCCCTGCGATGACTCTGAACCATCCTTCAGCAGTATTATCGGTGCGTTCTGTAGATAATGAAAGACAAATCACAAACAAAACAAAAACCATTAGATCTGAAGACTAATTGATAATTAACACAAAAAACACGTGTTTATAGTCGGCATCAAAGGCGTCGACAAACAAACAAAAACTTACCATCATTTTCATTGTGAAATTGTCTATCTCTTTATGAGTCACTTATTAAATCAATTGATCCAATCAAGTGATAATGTCTTTATTATCTTAATCGATGTCTAAATAATAATAACTTTTTTTTTATGAGACAATAATTATTTTCAATGACTCTATTGATAGACAACTACTGGTAATAATGTATGGCTTTTATTGTGTGTTTAATATATGAATGCATTGAATACACGCCTGCATTGAAAACCACACTTTATATGGTTGTATAAGTCGTACATAAATTACGTCCAACTCTTTCAACACAAAACTTAATATTTTTACGAAATATTTTTTATAAGTTTTCTAATAAATTATTTTAAATTATATAATTATAGTACATATTATTATTAAAAAAAAAATAAATATTAGTTTTAATTTTTAAAAATAAATTTAATATATAGATATAATTTTTAAAAAAATATTTACAACACTTATTATGTCTGTATATATATATATATTTACAATATTTTAAATAGTAATAAACTTTATTTTTATAATTAGTTAAATATTTATTTATAAAAAATAATTTAATATTAACTAATTGTAGATAAAAAATGCATAAAATTAGTGTTTAGATCATTGATTTACACTTTAAAAATATATACTTTTTTATAATAATTTATAAAATCTATATATATATATATGAATTTTTTTAAAAATTTGTCATACAAATAACCTAGTACAAATTAATCAATTTGTTTATCATTGAGTAGTCATAGTTTAAAATACAAATTTGTCGCTAATTTATTATTAGATATAATAAAATACATTTGTATTTTCATAGTATTAAAATAAATTGTTAATTAATTTTTCTTTTTTAGTCAAAATACAGGTAATTACTATATAATTAACTTAATTATAATCCAATAATTATTTTACACAATTATATTAATATATATAGCAATGTCGAGAACCGGGAGTCAAATTTCAAACAGCAATTCCCAAACTATAAGCTTTGGTACCGAAACTTATCGAACTGTTCCCAAACAGACAATGACCGGCTGTACGTTCAACGATTCCACACTAACCGACTGTACTCTAACTAACTGTACGCTAACCGACTGCACGATAACCAACTGTGCACTCATCGGCTGTATTGTTACCGAATGTATGGTTAGAAACTGTACTTTTCATTGCCTGGATATTAACCGTACAGTTGACAACCATTTCGATAATAAAGTGTCTCAAATTTAGATTATATCAATACATTTTGTGTATATGAAACGTCCCGTAGACATACCCGTCCCGAAAAGCAATACTATTATAGTTACGTTTTATATGTTAACCTTAAGCTACAGGAGCTGACACCAGGGGTCACGTGATTGAAGCGTAGTGTTGAAGTGAGACTCCATTAAGAGTCAGTCGTGTGTTAGCCGTTGAAGTGAGCGGTTGTTTAATAGACCTTAAGATCAGGTCAGCGATCAGTAAGCCGTGACTCGTGAGGACAGCACCGGAAGCAGTCTTTTATATTTAATACTATTTTATCATTTAATAACTTTTATATTTTTGTAATACATTTATTCACATATTATTAATAAACTATTTAATCGTTTGATTGCTGTCTGAGTCATGAGAGGAAAGTAACGATCGCGAAGACACCGACGGAAGCTGGACCGGAAGCGGAACCGAGCTGGTTCGACCAAAAGGAGAAGCTGTAGGCATAAGGATAGTCATCACAGACCGATTAGTCATTTGTAATGCCGCAATATTGGGTAATAGTCAAACACCGATGCTTTTAGGAACAGATGTGATGCGTTCATTCCATCTGAACATCGATACACTTTCGATGACGATAGCCTTCAGAGAAGATGTACTAACAGATCGGGAGATAAACCGAAGAATAAAAGCCAGAACACCGTATCAATTACGAGTCGCCAAACTAGAAGAGGAAAAGCTATACAACAGAGCGGCCTACGATCAGGTTGAGTGTTGACCAGAGTATACATCACGCTTACCGGGAGGTCAAAACAGCACCAAAGCAGTGGCGAAAGTTAAAGACGTCTCACCGAAACCGCAACCGAAGGAGATCACAGTTTGGCGGGAAAAATAGGACAAACCACGAGAGGGCGGCATATTTTTAGGTATATTAAAGCCTAACGCAATGTAAGCGTTAATTCAAAAAATCAGGCGATCGTTTAGTGTGCTAAACGACAGATGTGTTAGTGTTATCTGTAAGCCGTGTGAACAGCTATTAAACAGTAAGACCGGAAGCAATCAGGACAGGATGGCCACCAAAGACAGCGAATCGGCAATCGGTTGGTAAGGAGATATCGAATCGATGAGATCGGCAGTCATAGCCGCAAATCAAAATAAGTTATTAGTCGACGCGGAAGTCGCTAATAGTCTGCAAAGTATGGCCATCGAAACGATTGCGATTGCTTCGTGAGATTTAGAGGGACCACATCAGGACGCGGTCAATGGCGTGACTGAGGTCAACATCGGAGGACCGGCGGGCGCTGATGGTGGACAATCTGACGGAAATGACGTCAACCATGAGTCCGATGGCGTGGCAGTCGAGAAGGCACCCGATGCCATACTAGAGCCGATATCGGAAACCCAAATAATAATAACACTTACGGAGCAGTTGGCGGTTATAAACGAAGACAACGCGCAATGGCAGGGTCTTAACAGATATCTGGCCCGACAAAATGATGTCCTGAAGGCCGAAGTCGCCGAAATACGGGGACGCGCAGGAGACCTCGCGGCAAATCGTTGGTCCGCACAGGGAGCCGAAAACGATGTCAAAGAGAGGTCTATCGCTTGGAATCGCAGGTCAAAAGACTCAACGAAAAGATCGCGCAATTGGAGGCCGAAAAGGCCGTTGGATTTAATAACGCCGAATGGGCCGAAAAGGAGAGGTGGATAAACACGTGCTCGACTTGGCGTACAAAGAGCGTCGAAAGCCGCGCAGCGTTAGATGACGCCTGCAATACTATCAGTGAGCTAAGCAAAGCTCTCGCCGATATGAAGGACGTGGCTATGGAGCTGTTCAAAGAGCTGAAAGAGGGACAGCCGGCCAACGTAGCCATAGCATCGAGTCGAGGACCGGACGCGGAGTTCGACCGATATGTCCAGCGATTCGCGGGAGCGTCGGAAGGAGTGCGCCCACTGTATACGGCACCAGTATATGCAATGCCGGCCTATTATGACAACAAGCAGGCACCGTTTGAAACCTATTGTCATCGATTCAGTTACCGTGGAGGAACCTGTGCTGATTAACGGGGACACAATGCGAAGTAGTGGGAGATGAAACAACCGATCCACACACCCGTCCCGGAAAATAATAATATATTTATATCTCCCACTACTTCGCATTGTGTCCTCGCCAATCAGCACGGGTTCCTCCATGGTAACTGAATCGATGACCGTAGGTATCAAACGGTGCCTGTTTGTTGTCATAATAGGCCGGCATTGCATATACTGGTGCTGTATACGGTGGGCGCACTCCTTCCGACGCTCCCGCGAATCGCTGGACATATCGGTCGAACTCCGCGTCCGGTCCTCGACTCGATGCTATGGCTACGTTGGCCGGCTGTCCCTCTTTCAGCTCTTTGAACAGCTCCATAGCCACGTCCTTCATATCGGCGAGAGCTTTGCTTAGCTCACTGATAGTATTGCGGGCCTCATCTAACGCTGCGCGGCTTTCGACGCTCTTTGTACGCCAAGTCGAGCACGTGTTTATCCACCTCTCCTTTTCGGCCCATTCGGCGTTATTAAATCCAACGGCCTTTTTGGCCTCCAATTGCGCGATCTTTTCGTTGAGTCTTTTGACCTGCGATTCCAAGCGATAGACCTCTCTTTGGCATCGTTTTCGGCTCCATGTGGGGACCAACGATTTGCCGCGAGGTCTCCTGCGCGTCCCCGTATTTCGGCGACTTCGGCCTTCAGGACATCATTTTGTCGGGTCAGATATCTGTTAAGACCCTGCCATTGCGCGTTGTCTTCGTTTATAACCGCCAACTGCTCCGTAAGTGTTATTATTATTTGGGTTTCAGATATCGGCTCTAGTATGGCATCGGGTGCCTTCTCGTCTGCCACGCCATCGGACTCATGGTTGACGTCATTTCCGTCGGATTGTCCACCATCAGCGCCCGCCGGTCCTCCGATGTTGACCTCAGTAACGTCATCGACCGCGTCCTGATGTGGTCCCTCTAAATCTCACGAAGCAATCGCAATCGTTTCGAGGGCATTGTTGGTGTTCAATCCGACAATAGCGAGACCGATGGCGTGGCAGTCGTGGAGGTATCCGACGCCATTCAGGAGCCGATATCGGAGACGCGCATAAGTGGATACTCACGGAGGAATTGGTGAGATCCAGGATAACTTTGGAGGACATGCGGTTGGGATCAGCTGCGCGATCGCGGCTCAAACTGGAGTGTCGCTCAAGTTTTCGGAAGCATTTGGCAGCACAGAAGCCACCCGAAGTCAATATGGACAGCAACACAGGAGAGAAGTTAACCGAAACTTACGAGGGCGTAAGTCGAAGTGTTGGAGTATGAAACGTCCCGTCCCGAAAAGCAATACTATTATAGTTACGTTTTATATGTTAACCTTAAGCTACAGGAGCTGACACCAGGGGTCACGTGATTGAAGCGTAGTGTTGAAGTGAGACTCCATGAAGAGTCAGTCGTGTGTTAGTCGTTGAAGTGAGCGGTTGTTTAATAGACCTTAAGATCAGGTCAGCGATCAGTAAGCCGTGACTCGTGAGGACAGCACCGGAAGCAGTCTTTTATATTTAATACTATTTTATCATTTAATAACTTTTATATTTTTGTAATACATTTATTCACATATTATTAATAAACTATTTAATCGTTTGATTGCTGTCTGAGTCATGAGAGGAAAGTAAAGATCGCGAAGACACCGACGGAAGCCATAGACGGAAGCCTCAGAAGATAGTAAAGCCGAGATCAGAGCCGTGAATAGAGCTGTAAGTCAGGACACGTGGCGTCAGCCCTCGCTTCCCATTTAGCCGTATATAAGCGTTGCGCACACCCCTGAGCGCAGTGGTCACCCGGCAGTTGGTGGACCAGTCGATAGCAGGTATAGTCGGAGCACTTACCTACGCGTGGACACGCATGCTAGCACACGCACGTGTAGCAGATCCACGCGTTACATATATAATAACATTATACTGTATATAAATTTAAAAATTTAATCCCCATTTTTAGTCATTATATATAAATTATGACATACAGTATATTTAAATTGAAATCATCTAAAAAATTTAACATTTTGTTCTACTTTTATTTGATTTAAGATATTTAATTAATTCAATTAACTTTATAAATCCTATATGTAATATATCATATATATATATATATATAATACAGTTTCGGTAATATTATTACAGTATTATTTAATGTTTTTTTTCATTTTCTGATATATTATAAGAAATCACTATTTAATAATTTATATATCTATTGATAATTAATCATAAAATTAAAATTAAACTTGGAAAGTTAAATATAAATAAAAATATAACTAAATAAAAAGTTTTCTATTGATTTATTTAATTTATTAATTTTATAGTACATTATATTTATACGTCAAATATTTTTTTTATTAAATTTATATTGAAAATTTATTTATTTATCAATTTTAAATGGATAAATATTTAATAAACTTGATAGTTTAATGTTTGACGATTACCATAGCGTATAAAAATAATTTACACTCTATGGTACACTTTAATATTACAATATAATACGCGCGCGTGAATCGACTCGGGTGAGCGGCTCTTGAGTCCGTCCGGGCTGTCCAACCAATCATTAACGTAGAGCAACTCGCGGGACGACCGCCGATGACCAGTTGGTTTTCGGACACCTTTTGGTCCGAAATTGAGCCCTTCAGGGCTCGGGCGCTACCCTACCGCTAGCACGCGTACGGTTGTAGTTGTTGATTAAGTTGACACAATTTAAAGTGAATTAACTATTTATAAGTTTTATTCAAGTGGTTATCTAAAACTAGTCTAATAATACATTAGTGAATATATGTGTAGAGTCTGAGACTCAACTAAAAACTAACACAAAATACTGAGAGAGTCCCAGTACTCTCAGAGTCAGACTCTTATATCTCTGATCTGTGAGTGTCAGTCCCTGAGTTGGGAACAGTAGGCTTTTATATAGGCTGGTAGGGTATACAGTATATACTATATGTGGGCTGTACTTAATAGCCAATAACATGCAACAATATAAGTAAAATATTCATTATACTGTACCCCACCACACCTTAATAAAAGCCCCCCGTTTAACAAAAGATAAAATTATATAAGATTAAATATTAACAATAAATTTCCGCTTTTAATTAATAGGGGAAACCCGAGATCCAGGAGAAAACCTATTGACAACAATAGCTGAAGCGGTCTCAGATTGCAATAATGTATAATTGGTATAAAAACTTCTATTGTCCCAAATTTGGGACACTAACTTAGTTAAATTAAAACCTATTCTAATTTTCGGACAAATTATATATTAATGCAAACACTTGTTTATACAATACAAGTGCTATTGTTGTCCCATAAAAATATATAGTTACATAAAGTTTAAAATTAATTATAATATAAAATTATTGTTTAAATAATTATTCGTATTAAAATATTAAAAGGTTTTAAAATAATTAAAATATGAAATATATTATATATAATTTAATTAAATTGTATTTAAGTATACTAAGTATATTTCAGTTTATCGTTAATGTACATAACATTGACATTAAATCCAATAAAATGTTGATCATTGGTTTATCTCTTGAGACGCGTAGTATTGACAGTATAGTTGAATTAACAGATCCAATTGTTGATACCGATGATAACTATTTAAAGTGTCGTCGATTAGGTCAATGTTATCAATACCGGCAGTAGTTACTGTGCTTCTTAAAGTGATATTGTGTTGTTGCAATTGATACTATGATACCACCAATATTGTATTGTAGTACCAAAATATGTCAATGATAATACATTTTGTTGTTGTTATGATTGAGTTAGATGTTTTAAATAAACTTTTTTACAATTAAAATTATTATTACATTTTTGTGATTAAATAATTTTTATAATAATAAAGGATTATAATATTTTATAAAACAATTGTTCAGTAAAAAACAATATTTAATATAAATGTTAAAGTAAAAATATTTTAGAATATATTAAAAAGTATATAATTATTAATATTATAGAATAGATTTGTCTCAATTTAATTTTAGATAACATTATATAATAATATTTAAGACAATTTTCTATACTTTAAATAAATATTTATTATATATAGTTATAAAATAATTATGAATATTTGAGACATTAGTCTTAAATACTGATAGTTATGTCTCGATTTACTGTCTAAAATTTCAGACAAAAGTATATATAAATATTTAAGATAAAAAACATTTTTTAATTAAACTAAATTAGATAAAATTAATTATTATTTTATAACCTTATTTTTAAATTATTCAAATAATTTTCAAACATTAGTTCAAAAATATTAAATTATAATATTTTTTCCTTCGGATTGAAGAAAATGTCCAAAAAATAGTAAAAAATAATTATTTATATTAAATTACATTACATTTATAATTATTGCATCTTTTTCTTATGTATTTGTATGTAGTGTGTACATAATTTAAATATACTTAATAAAGATAAAATAATGGTTATATTAGATATTTAATTTAATTTTTGTTTTTTATATTATTTATTCTTATTTTTTTCAATTTTTTTTTACTATTTTTGTTTACACTTAATTTATACACTTTTTGTTTTACTGTAATTAATTTCTTTAATTCAATAAATTTAATTTATTTATTTATACCATTTTTTTATTAATTTTATTTTAAATGTATCCTAATAATTATCAATTCAAAACGAAAAAAAGGATCACTAAATTCAGTGTAAATCATTTTGGCCATTAATGAGGACATAAATTTAATAATCATACTTAATTATTTTGAATCAACTAATTATTTAACCCATTATAAACATTTATTTATTTTATATTTAATTATTCAAAACAAGTCTCAATTTTATTCAAATTTTCTCATTCCTTAAATTAATTTCTTAATTTAAGTCTATTATATTTAACATTTATTTCAAACCTCAAATTATATTTTGAGTCTAATTTAATCTTCAATTATTTCATTCCTTAAATTATTTTCTAATTTAAGTCTAATTTTAAACATTTTATGCGCAACTGTTTATATTTCATATATTATATGTAAGTAATAGGTACCTTATTAATTTACATACTAATCACTAATTGAGACCGACCATTTTTTCAGGCCATTAAAATTTATTTTAAACAAAAACTTAAATATTTACTTCTAGGGCTTAATTTCATACAATAGGTACTTTAATGTAAATCTACAATTATTTAAAATATTTTTATAAATTTATTTCATACTTAATTAATCAATTATCAAATCAAAATTTTAACAAATATCGAACTTTACTTTTTTAAATCTTACAATTTAAAGTTTATATAATTTTACTTAAATACATAATTAATAGGTCATAAAATGTACTTGTTATTAACATTTTATTTATTTTAGTTTCCTGTATATTCAGACAATAATTATTTCATTCTCACTATTTTCAGACACTATATTCAGACACACTATTTTCATACATACTATTTTCAGACACTATTTTCATACAGACTATTTTCAGAGACACTATTATTAGACACATTATTTTCAGACACACTATTTTCATTAACTATAAATTAAGCAGAGATTATTGCTGAAAAAGAAGTTAAGCCGTCAATAAAATTATTATTTTTGTCAATAAATAAAAAGGGAACATAGACAACGGCATATGTAGAGACTAACTCTTACTAATTTACCTGATCTGCTGATGCAGATCCAGGTGACTGAAGAATAGCTCTTGTAGCTGATTTTATCGTAGTGCTTCGTTTGTGATAGCACGAACGGGCAAGATGACCAGGTTTGTGACAAAAATCACAAACAGGTCTACCTTCAACAGTTTGTCTATATTGATATCTGTAACTATCATAATTACGGTATTTATTCATAAACTGTTCAAACATTGAACATAATTTAGAAATATCATTTTGGGACTCAGTGCTATTAATTTGGGACTCATTTTGTTTTTGAAACTTATTTAGAGACTGTTCATTATGCTCAACACTATTTATAAATAGGTAATTATGAGATTGTCTTATCTGAGATAAGAATTCGGACTCTTCTATTGACTTAAGTTTACTTAATAAATCAATACAATCTTTGGGCTCAAATATAACTACTTTTTCTAACATTCCAGATCTCAGCCCTCGCATAATATGTGTCAGTTTTTCTTGTTCATCCATAAGGGGATTAAGTTTCTCACATAATCTAATTATATCATAATAATAGTTACTGACTGACTCATTGAGCTGTTGGTATCTGGTAATTAATTTTAATTGCTGAAATGATCTGTAATTTTTTGGACTAAAAGCGCTTTTAAGACCCTCATAAATGTCATCTAATGACAATTTATTTTCATATGTGGCATCTGTTTTAAGTTTAACAAAATTCCTATACCACATCTCAGCCATGCCTTTTAAGTGTACTGGGAGTCTCAACTTTTTCATATTATTGCTCCATTTATTACATTTAGCAATGTAAGTGTAATGATCAATCCAATCATCTATATCACCACTCCCATCAAAATTTTGAGGAGTTACTGAGCCGACTGTGATTATAGACTTAAATTCATGTTTGCCGTTACTTTCAAACATCTGGTTATTGTTAGTAAGGGTATTAGCTGCGTTAGTTACACAATCACATGTAATATTTGAAATAATTTTTGGGTTATTTTGAGTGTTACTTCCATGCAATGAGTTATTTGGGACATTATTAGTGCAATTATTTAGAGCATTAGTTTTGGAATTTGCTTGCAAAATGGGATTAGCAGTTATATTAGTTAAAGTGCAAATGTCATTTGAAATATTTTGGGTATTATTTATTACTTGTTCTAATGATATTACATTAGTATTTGTAAGCATTGGGTCATTAACAAGTGTTAAATTTGTTACATTAGTATAATCTAAGTTATTTTCAGTTTGAGTGTCATTTACAACACTTAGGTCTGTAATAGTTAAGTTACGGGCTTTTGAAGTATTTCGGGATCTGTTTTTACGCTTTTGCATTTTTATTGCTTTTGAAAGAGTTTTGTTGAAATGGGTTTGAAGTACAGTAATATATAGATTTAATTGCTTTTTGTGAATTAAGAAATATTTTATTGCTTTTTTACATGCTTATTTAACTCAACTGTACCATATGTGGGATTAACTATTAGGGACTAAAATTTGTAATACTTATTCAATTGTGATACTATTATAGAAATATTTTTTTTAAAAATCTAAATATAGTATTAAATAGAATATAGCATAAAAAAGGTTTAATATAGTTTTGTAATATTCAACTTATAGAGATTAAATTATTATTTGTTTCTAATTTTTAGGCCCAAATTATTCTTTAAAAAAATTGATTTCATTACTTGTAAGGATACTGTTATTTTTTACTTTTAAGACAATAGCATTCATTAATTAAATTAAGTATAGTTAGAGCAAAAATTAATATAAAGGAAATATAACACAAAACATCAATTTAATTAAACAAAATTATCAAAATATTCATTAAAATTTTGGGACATACCTTATTTAGACTTATGAGTTAAGTACTTTTGAAATCGTTACCTTTGCGACCTCCACCATATACAATATAATACGCGCGCGTGAATCGACTCGGGTGAGCGGCTCTTGAGTCCGTCCGGGCTGTCCAACCAATCATTAACGTAGAGCAACTCGCGGGACGACCGCCGATGACCAGTTGGTTTTCGGACACCTTTTGGTCCGAAATTGAGCCCTTCAGGGCTCGGGCGCTACCCTACCGCTAGCACGCGTACGGTTGTAGTTGTTGATTAAGTTGACACAATTTAAAGTGAATTAACTATTTATAAGTTTTATTCAAGTGGTTATCTAAAACTAGTCTAATAATACATTAGTGAATATATGTGTAGAGTCTGAGACTCAACTAAAAACTAACACAAAATACTGAGAGAGTCCCAGTACTCTCAGAGTCAGACTCTTATATCTCTGATCTGTGAGTGTCAGTCCCTGAGTTGGGAACAGTAGGCTTTTATATAGGCTGGTAGGGTATACAGTATATACTATATGTGGGCTGTACTTAATAGCCAATAACATGCAACAATATAAGTAAAATATTCATTATACTGTAATATCAATAGTATCTCACAAATAAACATTTCTATATATAAATAAAGTATTATATTGTATACTCTATTACAGGTTAGTAGTAATGTTGATAAAAAAATTTATCCGATGACTTTAGCCATCAATTGTATTCAATAAAAAATAGGAAATATATATAACATGTACTCAAAAATCAATATCAGGAACACATTGAATATCAAAGTAAGTCTAAAGAGAGAGAAAGAGAGAGAGAGAGAGAGAGAGAGAGAGAGAGAGAGAGAGAGAGAGAGAGAGAGCTTTGATGGTAAACATATGGTATGTAGTGTTGAAAAGTTTTAGTTAAGTCATCAAAGTATTCAAAAGAAGTCTACAATCGATTAGATCCGCGAAATGGCTTTTTGAGGGATTCATTCAAAACAATTTTTCGCTTACTCTGTGAACACAACAACCAATACAAACACAGAGCTAATGATTAAAATTGATCCCTCAAGTGATCACTTAATGGACTCACTCACTCACTCACTCACTCACTCACTCACTCACTCACTCACTCACTCACTCACTCACTCACTCACTCACTCACTCACTCACTCAATGTATATCAAAACATAACTCTTTTTTTCCAAACTGATATCATCAATGAATACAAACCTATAAAATTGAGATCTCATATATATATATATATATATATATATATATATATATATATATATATATATATATATATATATATAAATAATTTAATCTATAACAAGTAATGTTTTTTAAAAATGATTCAAATAATATTCACATGAAAAATAAAACTAAATTTAGACATAAGTATATATTTATATATTTACATGAATAAAATAATTTAAACAATAACACACACATATAGATACATAAACACACAGAATATTCTGGGAAATGTTAAATATAATAACTGAATATTCTGTATATAAGAATCTCCACTGCATTTACATTAAATGAAATTTCCATTAAATGTCTTTGCGTTTGACTCACAATTTGATTGATTATTCAGTTAATATGTATATTATTTATAGTAAAACATTTACTTAACTGGAAAAAAGAGATTTATGTATGTATTTGAGTTACAAAAAAATAACATTAAAAGAAATTTTTGAATAAAAAAATCAAATGGTTTTATTTCTTTTTGTATTTTTTCCTGAAAAAAATAAATAAAAATAATTTCAACTAATTATATACTGAATTCATTGTTTTCATGTACAAGTTATTGTAAAAGTAAACCTATAAACTATAAACTATTTATTATTTAAATAAATAGTTTAGTATAATTGTAATTTAATAATATACTGTAATAATTATCATATATATTATTTATATAACTAGATCTTGATATAATTATATAATTTTGTAAATCAATTAGTGTATTATATAAATGAAATCATATTATGATTATTATGCTATGATTACTCCATAATAAATTAAATGACATAAACTAATTACTAATAGATTTTTAGCGATAGATTCTTAGAAATTTTTATATAAAATATCATTCAATTTATTAATCATTAGTTGAAAATTATTATCACTGATGATATCATTGACATCAATTGTTTTAACTGATGTCCAAATAATTGTTAAACTAAAGTCGTATTGATTTTTATGTTGAGAAAAAAAACTATTGATTTTATCGACTTTTTTATTGGTAATAAAAATTAATGTATTACAGGAAACTTAAAATAAAAAGAAGATTTATTATTACAAAAAATAAAAATTTATTTTTAAAACTTTCTTGAAATTTCTATTTTTTCATATATGATATTCATTTTCAACGATTCAAAATGAAATTTTAAAATTTTATGTAAACATTAGTTATAAACTTTACAAAAAACATTAAATTTGTTTTTAAATTTTATTAAATAGAAATTAATTATTGAAAATTAAGATATTATGACCAATTGAATCGGTTTATACTTAATTTGTTTCATCAAATTTTTTAAATATTTAAATACAATAGGTTATCAAATTACTCAAAATATAACTTTACTGTAAAACTTACCAAAATAAAAAAAGCTTACAACTTAATTATAATTAAATTAAAATGTATTTAGTGGCAAAAATTGATATAATACACTGTTAATTTTGATAATAATAATAATAGATATGTGATAAATTACATGAACAATGTTGATGAATATAAATTTTGTTGAAAATCATAAACAATTAAAGTTTACTATTATATTAACAAATGTACAGTATTTTACATAATTTGTTTAAAGTACTGGTATTGTTTGTGGTCAAAAATTTTTAATTAGTTTAATTAGTTTTTCAAAAAAATAAATAATGCATACAATGTTTTCATTATATAATCAAAATAATATTAATAATAATCTAATTTTTCTAATATTAAATTACATTGATATTTAAATGTCATATGAATATCATTTATTGTCGCAACAATAGATAGAAAATACAATTAAATACTCTGTTTCTCTATTGAAAAATAAATATCAAAACTAGTATACAATGTATATTATTATTATTATTATTATTATTATTATTATTATTATTATTATTATTATTATTATTATTATTATTATTATTATTATTATTATTATTATTATTATTATTATTATTATTATTATTATTATTATTATTATTATTATTATTATTATTATTATTATTATTATTATTATTATTATTATTATTATTATTATTATTATTATTATTATTATTATTATTATTATTATTATTATTATTATTATTATTATTATTATTATTATTATTATTATTATTATTATTATTATTATTATTATTATTATTATTATTATTATTATTATCTACTGTATGTTTTTACCGAGTAATTCAAATGGGAAGTACACTGTTAAGCACCGGTATATAATGATATCATCCCACATACATATACAGGCATTTAAATATCTTATGATATTTGTTTCATAAAGTACTAACTTTTTTGTTGAATGTCAACAACAATAACAAAAAATTTCAATAAAAATTTGTATGTCATTCCTGTGTCTAAAAATATTAATTTTTTGTGTTAAATAAAATACAGGTTATTATGTATGCTATAAATTATACTATTTGTTAGACCAGTAGGTAAATGATAGCACTATTCATAATATTCAATACAATAGTATATAAAACTAATTATTATTTTTCTTGTGATTAGACTTTAACGATAATTATTGTTGTTTTGAAAAACTTTATACTTTTTATATGTAAAAAATATGATTAACCATAATTAATTATAAAAAAATATTTTAATATTTATTGTTAAATTGATAAAAATTGGTGTAAAGCTAAATAATCAATATTAATACAGCAACATATATTTGAGTCAACTAAAATTTAAACAATTTTTCAATTTATTTTTTAAAAAATTTAAATGGTTGTTTGCGACATACAAACAATAAACTAAAATAAAAATAATAGCAATTATAAATATATATATATATATATTTAATAGAAATATTTCAATATATTTAATAAATATATTAAATAATATTTATTTATTTATATTTTTATTGGCATATATTATAACTAAAATAAAAGTTATGTTTTTATAAAACTAATGCTTACCTATTTTATATATCTATTAAATCAAGAATTTTAACAAATAGTTTATTAGTGTTTAAAAATATTTATAAAGACATAAAATAATATTAACTTAATTAATTAGTTCGTTTTAATTAATTTGTTAAATCTATTAATTAACATTGTTTTTCAAAACAAATATTTTGTATAAAAATCAGTGTAATATTTGAAAAATAAACTTTTCTAAAAAAAGGATATTTGATTTTAAAATTAGTTTTATAACGATTTTCTATAAAAATCAAAAATAATAATAATAATAAACAGATAAGTGTTTACATAGTTAGACGATTTGTTGTTAAGAGAGATATTTTGGATGATTTAACAATAAATGTGATAAACGTTAACAACACTTGTATCTAATAATATAAATTTAAAGTTTGTTTATACAGTATATACTGTTGTTATTGTTGTTGCAATAATTTAAGTATATATTTTAAAAATCATTTATGTGTACTGTATCTGTATATTATATTATATACTAATTTAATAATCATATATTCATTAAAAAATAGTTTGCTTGAATTACTATGAAAATTTATTTTTAAACTACTTGCTATCATAATAATAATTGTGTAAATATATACTGTATGTGCTATACGTACGTGCAATGTAAAAATTATTTTAAAATTAAATAACTAATGTAGTGCAAAATTTTTTTTACAAAAAAAATCATATTAGGAAAAAAATTGTTGTTCACAAAATCAAGTTAAAAAAAATAATAATGAGTTATTTAATTTTTATCCTAAAAAAATTCAATTTTTTAAAATTTAATATAAAAGTTAAATGTAATTAAAGAATATTTAGCAAAAAAAATATTTAAACTTATAAATAAGTCAAATGGAAAAAATGTAAATTAATATACTTTATTAAAATGTTATTAAAAATAATAATAAGTCGTTTAAGTTTTTAAACTTATGTAAACACTAGATTACTGTTTATCTATATATATATATATATATAATAAATTACAATTAAATGCTATAATAATTATGAAATTGTATTTTTTTTGTTGTTGTAAAATATATTACTTTCGTTTAGTTGAAGATATTCTGGTAGTAGTAGTGGTAGACTTTGGTTTAATTGTTGTTTTAACTGTTGTTTTAACTGTTGTTTTATCTGTTGTTTTAACTGTTGTTTTAACTGTTGTTTTAGTAGTTGTAGTCAAAACTTTAAGTTTTTTATTGGGTAACTTAAACAATGCCGGATTTTTTAGGATGACTGTGCCATTGGCAAGTGTGCCATTGAATTGTTGTCCATATATTAGTTGCAATTTTGTCAATTGTTGCTTATATTGTTTAACATTTGTTATATGTTTATAAGCAGCCACACTACCGGCACCAACGGCAGCCATACCGGCGGCCGCAGCTAATGATGGCATAAATGGCTTTGGCTTCGACACAATCACTTGAGTTTTATCTTTAATGTATATAAAAAAATTTTGTTTGTATAAAATATGATTAATTAATATTATTATAGTATTAACAATAATACAGATAATGCCATTTAAATGTTTAAATTTTCAAGTAATATCGTTAATACAGTTAACTTTACGCTAAGCAAGGTAACTTAATATACAGTTACCATATATATATAGATTATTTAAGCTATACACAGTAAGTACCTTGCTAAAAGCATCATTACATAATATTACTCTGATTTGATAACTTTTAATTGGCATAAACTGTATACTCTATATTAAATATATAACAAACCTATTAAAATCAATGCAATCAAAGTGAATAATACAATTGAAAATTGTTTATTCTTCATATTTGCTATTTAAATTATTATATTAATAAAAATGGCTAATAAATACATAAATTTTTAATAATTTATTTTAACTTCACTTTTTTATAATTATAAAAAATTATATTAGTTATAAACATCTGTTTCTATTTGCAATAATCTAATATATACTTAGGGTTGTATCAAATCCCTGACTCGTTTTATTTTCCAAAAATTGTTTATATATTTCCCCATTCACTGGCAATTCTCAGGATATCTATTTTCTTTGAGTTACAACCTATTGAACCGTAAACAACAAATTTTATTATAAAATTTAAAAATAAATTTTATACTAAACTGTATCACTAAATTTATTAAATTCAAATTTTTCACTTTTACTTAATGTAATATTGTAACTAATCAAAAAAAAATTAATAAAAATATTTAAACTTATTAATAAGTGAAATTAATAAAAATAATGTAAATTAATATACTTTATTATATATATTATTATTTAAAAAAAATGTAAACTTGTTTTTAAACTTATGTAAACACTATGTTTCCTGGCTAATCTATTTATTCATATATTTATTCAATAAATTACAATTAAATGCTATAAATAATAATGAAATTATATTTAAAAAAAAAAATATATTAGTAAATTAATCGTCAGTTGAATTATTTGCTAGTAGTAGTAGTAGTTGGAGTAGTAGTAGTAGTAGTGGTCAATGATTTAGATTTTTTATTAGTTTTTTTAAAGAAAGTCGGATCTTTTATGATGACTTTGCCAGTGTCTTGTGTGCCATTGAAGTGATCTCCATAAATACGTTTCAATATTTTCAAATCTTTATTAAATTTTTTAACATTTTCATAATGTTTATAAGCAACCACACCACCGGCCACTACAGCTATTTCAATCAATGGCTTTGGCTTAGACTCAATCACTCGACTTTGATCTTTAATTAATTAATTATTTTTAGTTTTTGTTGAGATATAAATTTTTGTTTACGAAAAAAATAATATAAATTTTATATTATTATAATAAAGTATTAAAAATAATATATATATATATATATATACATATGATAAAATTTATAATTGAACAAACCTATTAAAATCAATACAATCAAACTCAATAATACAATTGAAAATTGTTTATTCTTCATATTTAGATTATTTTAACTAAATAAAAAAATGGCTAATAAATTAATTTTTATTTAATTATAAAATTATATTAGTTATAAACATCTAATTGTTTTTGCAATATTCTAATATCATATATCAAATTAATAAATATACATATATATATATATATATATATCATATACTTGTGTGTGTATATATATACTGTATATATAGTATATTAATTAGTATATATGTAAAACTAAATGACTGTACAGCTACAGTAGAAAGTTTCTAAACAAACAAAATAAACATTAGTCGTAATGTAGTATCGTCTCCCCAATAGGGGGGGGGGTTCACAACAATTATTGTTAGGTTGATTTGTTTTTTTAAAAATAATAAATATATAATAATTTTTGTTTTTTTTTAAATAAAAAAAATGTAAATTTTATTAACTGTGATATTGATGTCTAATAAGTGTAACTAAATGTCGAAAAATAGTAAATTTAATCCAAAAAATATTAAAAGCATTGGAAATGAAGACTTCGCGCGACTTGTATTTCAAGGGAAGTGTCACTAACTGTACGTTTCATTCATTTATATTATTCTTCAAGAGATTTGTGTCACTAAATATAAGACACAATTATCTCATTGATGTCTAACTGATCACTCGATTAAATGGTTGATTCAAAGATTACTGACTGACTGACTGACAAGTATTGGCATTACATCACAAATATAATACCCATTAAAATCAAACAGTCATTCATTTATATAAATTATATATATATGTAGACAACAACAACAAAACCAGAAATAACAACTATTACTAGTGTTATTGTACTGTATTTATAATAATACTGTATTTCTATGATTGACAAAACAATGCCAATACAATTGATATTAAGACATACAATAATTGCAAATAATTTGTTTTATTTTTCGTAAAGTATTGATGAAAGGGAGCGGCAGTTGTTGTTAAAACACATACATGAAAAAATAGAGAGAGAGAGAGAGAGAGAGAGAAAGAGAGGGAAAGAGAGAGAGAGTCATATATAAAATTGGTTTTTCATGTAAGATAATCGTGAGTGCAATACTAATACCAGACAATTGTACCAAAAATAAGAGTAATTCCTCACAAAATTGATTATTCAACCAAAAATAAAAGACAAAATTATATAAAATACAGAATATTCTGCTATTCTCTCTCTCTCTCTCTCTCTCTCTCTCTCTATCTATCTATCTATCTATCTATCTCTCTCTCTCTCTCTCCGTTCATCTTTTATCTTTATATATATTATTTTATCTATCGTTTAACCTATTATAGCATTGTTACAAATGACAACACTTTAACAATATTTTTTTCTTGTAAAACTCAATTTTTTTTATATATTTTGTTGAACTCGTTTTTATTTTGTCTATTCAATTGTGTGTGTCTTTACTGTATATGTGTTTAGCACACTATTATACAAAATTTCTCATTTATTCATATATTTACACTTTAATAAAATGTAAGTAACAGTAAAAATACTGTTGCATTATATTAAATATTTATAGTTTTTTTATCTCAACTACTGTAAAATGTTTCAATGTATGTTATTTAAATAAATAAATATTAATAAGTTTTATAATACAAATTTAAATAAATAATTTAGATAATTTTTTACAATATATTAAATGAATTGTAATTTTCATTTTGTTTCATTTTTTAATTTTATATTTAGTATTATTTTGCTCATCATTTATAACTGATAATATAATTTTTAACATTCAATTTCATTATTTTCTCAATAAAGTTAATACACATATAAACTCAAAACAAATTAAAAAAAAATATTTTTGTACCAAAATATATATATAAAATAAAACAAAACACTTAACAAGCAATTTGTCACAAAATAGAAAAAAATAAAATAATAGATAATTAAGTTTATGTTATGACTTTAACAAATATTAATGATAAAAATACAAGTTTATTAAATAATGAATCTTCACATACGAAACATAAAATTTTTTTTAGACATGACTTATAAACTAATAAATTATTAACTAAAACATATTTAAAGACAATGTATGGAAATATACTGAAAAATATAATATAATTTTTTATTTAAATGTAAACAAAATGTTTATGAAATCTATGCTTTTATTTGTATTTTTAAACTAATAGCCTAAAGTTATAATATAATTTGAGACAAATATAAGAAAAATTGAGTTTCTTGTTAAACATTAGTAAAGCATAAAAACAAACAAAAAATATTTTTTAAAATTAATAATTTAAAAAATATTAATCACATATATTGTAAATGAAAAATATAAAATAATATAATATTAGATAATAATAATAATAATATACAATAAACTATCTATAATAATAATAATAATAATACTCTATATACAAATTACTTACTAAATATACAGTATAATAAATACTGTATAATCATATTAATAATACAAAACTATAAATGTGCTTTTAGTTTTTAAATAAAAACCTTATTAAGTAAAAAAAGAAATTTTATCCAAAATTAATTTAATTTAAACTAACTTTAGCTTTCCAATAATTAATTAATTTATTTATATATTATATAATATTAATTGTATTAAAAAACTAAATAAAAAATTTAATAAATTAAAAATTATATAATGTCTTTGATTAGAAAAGATAAATGAGTTTGGATTATACCACAGATTGAATCGTTAGCCAAACGGGTTAAATCCAAATCACATAATAAACAAAATCAATACAAATGTCTGAGACATTGCATCAAATAGAGAGTACAGATGAAGTGTAAAGGAAATGAGTGAATGAATGAATGAAAGAGAGAGAGAGAGAGAGAGAGAGAGAGAGAGAGAGAGAGAGAGAGAGAGAGAGAGAGAGAGAGAGAGAGTCAGTGAATACAGTCTAATAGTACTGTCCATCAGCTTTTGATCTTTGATTAATGTGTTAGAGAAGTGATGTTAAATTAGAAGTACAGACAAACACACAAAACAATACAACACTTATGTCTTTAGCTATTGATTTATAATAATAATAATATATAAATAAATCTGTCGGTAGTCTCTGTCCTCAGACAACTATCAATGACTATGAAATGCCATTTGTTTGGACACAACAAATACACGACTATTGTTGTAGTTGAATGTCAATCATTAAATAACAAATTTTGTTTAAAACATTTTTTTAATTTGAAAGTATTTGATATACATTTGTTAAATGCAATAAATAGTTATATATATATATATATATAGTCAATATATCCTTTTTGCATAAATGACTTTTACATTTTATAATAATAATGAAAGTCAAATTAAACAATGTTTAGCAATTAAAAATATTTTTTTAATTACTAATTAATTAAATTGATTGATTGTTTGTTTATTGGATACATTGAAAGCTCTTTATAATTATAAACTTAATTACAAATTAGACAAAACCTTTCATTTATATCACTGTCAGCTCTCTCTCTCTCTCTCTCTCTCTCTCTCTCTCTCTCTCTCTCTCTTTCTCTCTCTCTCTCTCTCTCTCTCTTAAAGATTTAAACTAAAATTTTGTTTGTCTGTCAAAAAAACGATTTTCTATATTACTATTAAATATTGTTATATATATATATATTATCTTTTATGTTAAGTTACCGATTCATTGCGTTCACTACAATATTTGCCATAAGTATTGGGTTTATTTCTAAGACTAAATCTTCTTATATAATAATAAATATGTATTGACTCGTTGTTATCAATTTTGTTATGCAACCAATCTGTCCAACAATATTAAAACTATAAGCACTGGTATGAATGAATCGGTTAGGCATATGATGTGTGATATGGATTGGAGATCAATATAATGGTATATACATCTATATCCATATATATATATAGTATATGTATATATTCAATGTGTCATCGGATGGCAAAACGTCAGTAAATGGCATATAACACATATACAACACATAGATATATAACTTAATGTGTTTTTATGCGTTCAATGCAATTCAATAGTCGTTGTCTTATATTATGTTTGTAGCATTTCTTATAATATCTTATATAATCTTTTTTTTGGTTCAATAAGAAATAGATTATTGAACAGAGAGAGAGAGAGAGAGAGAGAGAGAGAGAGAGAGAGAGAGAGAGTCAATTGAAAGTAGCTTTTTCGAGAAAGACAATAATAATAATAATATGAATGTATTTACTGTACAGTATATAGGGTTTAGTATGAATGGCATTCAAAGATGATATCTCGGACCACAAGAAAGACAATTCATTATTATATATATTGAATATATTGATAAAAAGAGACTAAATTTAGAGCAAATCTGCTTTTGTACAATACATTGACAATATATATATACATTGTATTTATATGGCATTTATAATAAATATCAATACATACAGATTGTATATTATTTGACGACTTAATATTAATACATGACTGTATATAAACAATATTTAGATTGAATACCAACAATAAAATCACAGCAAAATATTGTTTGTTCAGTACTATATACAGTATATACTACTGTATGTACTGTATATTAAATATTATTATTTCAATTACGCAATATTCATATAATAATATATATATATATATATTAAATGACAATTTTTGATTTATGCTTATAAAATGTTATCATATTATAGGCAGACATATAATTCAAAGAAAAAGAAAAATAGTAGTAATGTATATAAAGATTAATTTACTCTTATCATAACGAAAACATAAAAATTATAAGATATTTAATTTAATGTAAATATCTGTTAGTTGACGGTTACATATATTTTTATATGAAATAGTAATAAAATATTTTATTAATATTTAGTTATAATATTAAGATTTATAAAATTACAGTATAAACATTGCACTTATAAAAATAAATAAATTGAATATACAGAGTAATATCAAGTACTGTATTATTTATATAGTAATATGGATTTTTTGAGTAACAAAAAAAATATAAATATTTATAATAAATGAAATCGATTTAGCATTACACAAAAATTTTAAAAACTAAAAAAATGTGAGTAAAAAATACATTTAAATTTATAGATTTATTAACAGCAATTTTTTTTGTTGTTGATGAAATACTACCAAAAATATAT